ATTAGATGTCAATCTATTGTATTAGATATTTTTAAAAATTTAATTAAACTTTTTTTCTGTTTCACCTTTTTGTTTCACTGATATTTCAAAACATTTTTTAAAATTTAAATCGTATTATTTTTTTATAAATAATTTTATTTATAAATATACAACTATTAAAATCTAATTCAATTTTTAACATAAGATTAATATTTTCATGTATAATAAAAAGCAATTTTAATTTAATTTATGAGTAATTTAATTTTTATTGTTTAGTTTTATATAAATAGCATTTTTTCAAAAATTGCACTATTATCTTAAACTATTGAATTAAAGTTGATTATATAACATAATAGTAAAAAATTAAACTTATGTAAAATCATATTACCATAATTGTACAAATATTTGTTTATTAATATATTATGTAATTAATTTATATTATTCAATAAATAAAATTTTAAATAATCTGTTAGTTTTAATTAAAAACAAAAATAAAATTTTCTAAAATATACTATATTTATAGTTAAAGTTTGAGTTTTTATAAAAATTTTATTGTAATTAATAATCCAGTTCTGCTTTTTATTGTTTTTGAATCTGAATTTATTGTATTTATTAAAATACAGTAAAACTTCAATAACAATATATATAACAATAAAATTATAGAACTTTGGAGAAAAAGCAAAACTTATTATTTTTTATATAAATCATTGATAAGACATCGATATTAAATTTTTAAATAAAAAATATTTTTAAATTTATATTATTATAAAATAGTATAAMAGTAGAATATGAATTAATAAAATTATTTATGTGTTTGTATTTRATTATTATTTGTGTAATGCTATTTTTAACTACAAAAATAGCATTATATCAATTTATTATATGAATGAGTATTTTATAACAAAAATAAACTATTTTTATATTTATTRAATATTCTGAAGACATTAAATATATTAAAATATACTATACATAAAAACATAATATATATAATATAATACATATTCTATATAATTATATGTCAAAAGTTTAACATAAAAACATTTTTATGTCATACAATCAATGTCATCAATGTCTTGCATTTATTTTGTATATGAATATCTAAAAATTTAAATTATATGATAAAATGATACTGTATATTAATTTATAATATAAATATATAGTAGATTTAATATGTATTGTATAACATAAATTTTGATTTTATAAATTGTTTGCCTATAATATCTATAATTAATAATTTAGTAATATTAATATAACTTAACTAAAAGTGTTAGATTTTCATTCTTATATATACTGTATATATATATCTTTTACATTGTTTTATGTGAAGATTACAAGGACTCACTGATCTAAACAATTGTTAATTTAATTATTAGAGTAATGTCTGCAATACTTTAGTAATGTTCAGCATTTTTTCCGATTCTTAAGTTAATCATCGAAATAATAATTTGAAAAATAGTAGTGTTGTAAATACGTTTAGTATTTGAAAATAATGTATTAGAAATATACATATATTATAATACTGTATTTTTGGACAACAATTATAATATTATGTAGATTTTCTGGATTTTATTTTAAAATCAATTCATTATATCTTTAAATCAGTTRAGAATGCTATAAAGCATTGCCCAGAAACAAACTTTAATGGAATAAATTACTTCACATAAACATTATAATATTCGACATATGCATTACTAAAATTTTATTGTCTGTATTTATCATTATAACATCAAAAATATTTAATAGAAAATCTGTATTTTATTTGAGACAAAGTATAACTATAATATAATATAATATTTATTGCCGATAAAAACCATAATCTATATGAATCATATTGAAACCAAAATGTCAATTATTGATAAGCATTAGTTTATATGAGTCATATTATAACTAAAATATTTATTATAATAATCATTAACACTAATATAAGTCATAGCATAACTAATATATTTACTGCTGATAGCCATTAGTCCATGAGTAATATTGTAACAAAAATGTTCATTGCTGATAACAACTAGTCTATATGAGTCATAATATAATTAAAATATGAGTTAATTTATATTATTCATATGATATACATTTTATATCATAAATGCATTGCTAAATTCACAAAATTTAAAAAATAAATAACGAATAAAATGCGATACACAGACAGACAGACAGACAGACACACAGACAGACACACACACACATATACATTCCAGATACCAATTTYTTCAAAGTCTGTTTGGATATTAATAATATACCAGTTTATGAAAGGGTCRYCACATTTGTAAACTTAAACCTTAAATTAGGAATAATATCAATAATATATTAAATTGTTGCACAAAATTTAAATACTTGGAATTTTGTCAATTTCTATAAATCATATAATACTAGTTAAGTCTATACTTATCATAACAACAACAACAACAACAACATTGTTAGTATTAGTTATACCTATACTCTCAAAATAAATAACAATATATATATAGAATCAGTTGTACAACTCGTATGTGAAAATTTCTGTCATTTTATTTGAATTCCGATTCTGATAACTAATTCTTTTAGGAATTCTTTTATTTAAATTTTTATTTTATTTAAAACTATTTTTAGATAAAAATAAAACGTTTTGTATTTRAATTTTTTATCAAAAATAATAAATGTTAATTTATAAGATAAAATTAAATATCAAAAATATTATTTAAAATAATAATGACTTCAAAATAATATAATTTTCTATAAATTTGATTAAATATAAATATAATAATTATATCTAAATATACATTCTATAAACACATATTATAATACAGTATATTGTTTAATATTACTTTTTTCTTAAATAACTCTTTAATAAAAATAGATGCTTTAATTAAAAACTTATATTGATCCCAGTTTTTTTTAATCATTATTAATTGGCTAAAATAATCAAAATAAATACACAAAGAAAATATTTTTCAATATTAAAATTTAATTATAAGTTATAATTATTAAATCATCTTGAAGAATAAATATATTACATTATAAATAGTAGTATCAATGTATTTTATATTGACAAATAATTAAACATCAATATAATTCTAAAATCCATAATTTAATTAAAATTTTTCAATGTTAATTTTGTTAAATTATTAATTCTTAAAGTTAAAATTAAATTTTTAAAGTTTACTGTATATACATATATAAAAATCAATGTTAATTTATTTGAATATCTTAAACTAATGCCCGATATACAGTAGTATTGTTATTAATTGAAAGTAATACCAATAATATTGTTTATTAACATAATTTATTTTATCAAAGATTTCCAATTATTAACAATACAGTCTAAGCTATGGTTAGTAAAAAAAAAAAAATATACCAAAAATGTCAACAGTGTGTGTGATTTTGTTTAGAAAAAAATCTTTATAAATGATTGCTATTCTAGATATAGTTATATTTCAATATTTTGACATTTTATATATTTATTTATTTATTTAAGCAAATGTATATATTATAAAAACATATTAAATGATAAAATATTTCTTGATATTTTAATATATAATTCATATTTTTTATATATAATTAATAAAATTGACTAAATAACGAAGATTTAATATAAATTATAAGCTTTTGAGATATATAATTATATAATATATACAATTTAGACTAATTTTATATGACATAACATATATCTAATTATAATTATACTTATAAAAAAATAAATTTAGATATCATATAATAAATTTATATCAATATACAGTATCTAATGTTTTATTATTTATTGTTTGAATTCTGTTATAAAATTTATTTAATGTATTATTATAAAGATAATGTTATGTAATTACTGTTTTTTGACAATCAGATTTATTTTTTTAAATCTACATAATTTTTTCTTGTTAATTGTAAGAAAACATAAATTTAAATATTATATAATTGATTAACTAAATCATAGTCTAAATACAGTATATATATACAGTACGGTTTCATAATAATTTTATGCATTACTACATTAATTTATTGTAAACGTATTATTATATTTATATATAAATAAAAAATAATTGAAATATCTAATTTGAAATGTTTAGAAAATCAGTTTATCAAATAATTTGAATAAATTAATGTTTATGCAGTGTGTTTGACTGTTTTGAATAATTTTTATAATCATATAACATTGATATCACGATAATAAAAACGTCATAAAACTATTTTAATGTTTTTTGCTAATTAATATTAATATTGATTTTAAAATAAATTACTAACTCATTATCAAATTGGAAAAAAATATTTTTTATTATAACAGACTAAGTAAATAATTATTTTTTTCATATAACACTTTAACTATATCGTGTTGACAATTGAATTCAATTTTATTTTTTAGTTATTTAAAAAAAACTATGTTTCAGACGAAATTAAAAACGGTGAAGTTATAAATAATTTGTGTAATCAAATAAACTAATTAATTAGTAAATCTAATTTTTTCATAAAATATAATGGCATCTAAATATTTAGTTTCTGAAAACTATAAGTTAAGCAATTATTAATTATTTTTAAGATAATTACAATAAACTATACGTACTGTGTATAATTTACAATAACATTAAGTTATTATCAGTATATTTAATAATAAATAATGATTTTATTGATAACAAATATTTAAAATTATAATAATATTAATTTTGACTATAGTAAACATAATTATTTTATGAACAAATTTTATTTTGTACAAAAAATAATATATTGCTTATAAATAATTTATTATACAAAAAACAACAACAAAAAAACCTTTCAAATAAAGCACACAATTTATATCAATAGTATTAAATTAATTAAGCTTAAAAAATAGTTGTATAAATGATAAATGTACCAGTTTGTAAACATTAATTAGACAATTTTGATATATAACATAAACACAAATACAATTTTGTTTATTTGTTTTATTATTATGTTATTTTTTATTATACAAAAACATAAATACAAATAAAAATAAGTGAAAAATAACTAATAATATATTTGTTTGAATATATCAATAGTATATTTATATCTTTATAATGTAGAGAAACGTCTTACCGATCAATACTAGTGGCAGATATGGTGAACACCGAGACAGAGATGGATAGGTTGGCGATAAAGTTGTTGAAAATACAGTAAAACTGACCGAAAGGCCAGTGAGAGTTCAACATAAAGACAAAGTTGAAGATAGCATTGAATACGGCTGTCGACAGATCAGCTATTGTCAGATTTAATAGAAAATAGTTGGTCACTGTCCGCATACGGCGATTGGCCAAAACAATCCATATGACCACTAGATTACCAATCGCTGATAGCAGAACCATAACACCAAACAATAGTGACCAAAACAATTGAATCCACCACCGAGGAATAAATGGTCGCTCAATACTTGTTGTCCCATTACTCGTCATATTCTGTATGTTATCCATTGACAGTCCCATTGAATGGTTGGTCTCATATAACTGATAGTCGCACTGTTCACTCAAATTAAATGCTTTCACCCAAATCTCATTCATACAGATTTCGTTAAAACTTAACTCAAATAAGCCCTCAGTGTCTGTATTGTTTATATCATTTAAATCAAATGTGTCCAACAATTGATCCATTGATTTCAATTATATTAAAATAGATTAATAATATTAAAAGTTATTAATCAAAAAAGCACTTCATTTGTGGTGATATTTATAAGCAAATAGTAAATCATGTGATCACACAATAAGAAAAATCAAACTTTTCTTTCAAAAAGTTTTATGAAATGCCATTGACTTTAACTTTAAGTAACTTCAATAAGAAAATGATTTTCTAAATGAAAAGCCATTTACCATAAGATCTGAGACAATGATTGTTTGACTTTTGAGATCTGTTGTCTATATAACTCTTAAACTATTTATTCAATACTCTATTGAATGGTAAGAGTGCTCTCTGTTCTCTTTTTTCACAGTCTATCTCATACTATCTGCCTTTCCCTGTGTTGTGTCATACAAACCAACCCAACCCATGCTTTAGGTTTTTCCAGTGCGCGCACTCACTCTTACAGTACAACTAATACTATACATACCGTACAGTAAGGTATTATTATTAATAATAAGAGTAAAACATTTTAGTCTAATTTTGTATCATTGATTGATGAACTAATAATTAATGTTTACCTATCAKATGTTACATTAAAAAAAGATTATATCTCACAAATTTTATGTTCAATAATATTACAGAATTTATTTTTTAATATATAAAACTGAAACTTTAAATGTAAAGCCACTTAATGTATAAGTTATACAAATGATTTTTTTGATAGACACCAATAAATATATAGTTGAGAAATAATGGTTGACTTAATTTACTGCTATGGCTTCTCCTTTCAATGGCTATCCTCTCAAGGATTTATTTATTCACACAAATAGCGCAATTAATTGCACAGAAAATTTCAATTTATTGTAACATACGGTCAGACAAACGTGTGTTTTTCATTAAAACTATTTAAATAAATATTTGGGACAAACTATTATTGGATAACAATTGTTATAACAGAATATTCTGTACTAAATAATTTAATTTCGTTACATAAATCAAATACGATTTTGACAACTATAATATAATATGTGACTTTCTATTCTATATATATTATAATACTTTATTTTATACATACGATATATACAAAGTACAGTATATATAATATTTTAGTTTATTTAAGTGACTTTGTGTTGTAATTTTTAGACTTAATATCTTATTTTTAACTATAGTTGTCATTTAAATTAATTGATGTCAATATTGACGAAAATAAATAACATTTTTTAATTAAGTAGACTAATCATTTCACTTATAATTAATTTTTACAGTAATAATTAAATAAATGTTGAAACATTTGAAAAAATATACAGCATTATTTGTAAAATGTGATTAACAACTAATTAAATTTTGATAAAATACTAATTATGTTTTATCTGATGTATATTTAATATCTTATAACTTATGTTACTTAATTGTATTTATACAACAAACAATTACTATTCATATTATAGGTAATTAAATTAAATTATTATAAACAAGTKCAATGCTCTCAATTGTAAATATTTACATTAAATTTCATAATTATACAAAATATGTAAAAATTTGACAACTAATATGCGATTAATCAATAGAAATAACTCCAAAAAAGAAAACAAATGTATTTTCATTGAATTTCATATATTAAATGATCCGTATATTTGTGGTGTAAACTCAGTGTTATGTTTTTGAATGTATGGATGAAAAAAATTGGTCAAACATTTATGTTGAGCTGAGCCGAGATTAATGAGATTTTTCCGCAAGAAGTTTACGCAACGCATAACATTGTCATCAAAAATATTTGTATGTTTTGTATGTAAAAATAGTTTTTGATTAAAATATATTATGCTTTTAAATTACACGATATTAAAACTTTTTTAACGATTTTAATAACGTGAATGGCCTTCACTTTTATTGCTATTTGCAACTAAATCTTGATTTAATTAATAAAAAAAACATCAATTTATTCATTAGATTATTTTTTTTATCAAATACTTATAGAACATATGACAACAAAATTAATTGATTTATAACWAAATTCATTATTTATTTATTTTAAACTCAATTAATAATTTACGTTTTTTTCTATATATTATAAATAAGTTTTCTTAATACAGTATAAATAATATTTCAAATTATTATATTAAACAAAAGCACATAAAAAGCTAATAAAACTTATTTATTATTAGACTTAAAACGTTTTGAATATTTAATATTTGTGAAATATATTGTGTTTTTTGTAAAGTATTATCAAATTTATTTTATTAATTATATACTCTATGTTAAAATATTCATAAAAAACAATTTATACTTGAAATGTAATAATTAATCTTTATTTTAAAGTTTGTTAACACAATAAACAATTTGTTATATTTGTTAAGTTATAATATATTTATTTATAGTATGTTTATGAATAATATATATATAAAAAAAATTATATTATTTGAATAAAATTAATTAACATATTAAATAAAATGTTTGCTTACAAATTAACAACATATGAATGCTAATGACTGACAGGTTTTGTACAAAAGCTTTAAATCTATTAATTTTTATTTCAAATTTTAACAATTAATATTTTGTTTGCCATTATTTTGCTAAAATAATATGTTTTTTATAAACACCAATGTTAATAGACTATTATAGAATATTAATAATAGTATTAACTTTATTCTATGCAATATAAAAATAACACATTATTTCAATGAGTTTAATAGTATAGTATAAATTGTATCTATTAAATATTAATATTACAATTATATATTATTATTTTATTTGTATATATAATATAATTTAATTAAAAATAAAATGCAGTAGTGTTTCTTTGTGACTCTTTATTTAAATTTATTTATTTAAAAATGCAATTTATTTTTTAGTTTGCGTCAAAAGTAACACTGTTTTTAAAATACTAAAATGATTTACTATACTCTCCCTTAACTTATATCCGTCTGTATATATATTTTTTAATATTTAAGATGCCATAAAAATTTATTAAAAATATGATATATGGGTTTTAAGAAATATATTTTTAGAAAATCATATTATATAACACATTCTCAATAAATGTAAATATTTAATCCAAAGCAATATTAAAATTTAAATATCTAAATAGGCAAATCATATCTATAATTATATACTTTATAAATATAGTTTTAGTTTTGCATATACTAAAACTAATTTATTATTTTTCTGATAAACTTCGAGGAAGATTTACGATTTTAAAATTTTATTTAATAATATTATTAAGTGATAGTTAAAAAATTTTGTTTTCTATTATTTATCTAAAAGCTCAACAACTTTTTAATCTTTTGATTCGTTTAGTAAAACTCAAGATTCAAACTAATCATTACATTACTATTTATATTCAAAAAAAAAATTATTTGCTTTAATGATTCAAACATTTTAAGGATATTATCAATTATCTAATGATAACAAGTGCTTAATTGAGCAAATAATACATAGCATTGCTGAGTGTCCAGTATTTAACGTCAATAGATAAAAAAAATCATTTGGATGATTGTGAATTCGCATCTCTCTCTCTCTCTCTCTCTCCCTCTCTCTCTCTCTCTCTCTCTCTCTCTGATTTAGTATGTTTTGTGCGACATTTTTAAGTTTTTAAAACTTAATTAACACAAACATTATGCGAGAGTTGAAAACTGTAAAAATATCTGTAATCAACAAAGATAACAATAATAATAATTATTATTATTATTAACCTGGACGATTCAGTAACGACAAAAAATTGCACTAAAAAATTAATTACTTATTTTTTAAATTTTACATGAATGTTTAATTAAGAAAATTTTCCAGTATTTACTTAAAATAATTTAACATTACTAATAGCAATTAGTTTTGGAAAAATGTATAATATCTTTTTATATAAGCGTAAATAAATCAACACTATAATATAACTATTAAAAAAAATTATAGTGCACTTAACTAGTATTAGACTAAACTAACATTTTACTTATGATTAACTAATTGAAAAAAATATACTGTATTATACACCTTATAATGCATATAGATTTAATATAAATATATACATATTGGATATATTTACAGTATAATAAACTTTATTAATATTAAAATAAATTTTTATTATTGAATAATTGTTTTCAAAATTACTTTAATATAATTTTGAATTTTATTATAATTATATTGTGATGGTCTATACATCACTTAAGCGGTTCCAGTGTCACCAAAACAATACAAAGTTACTTTGTAGTTATAACTATACTAAACTGTATATATTTAAGCTTCTCTATATATATTTCTCTATTATATGTTAAAGTATATTTTAACAAAACATAGTTATTTAATTATAATTAATAATATATAATATTATTTCCACTTTTGAATTTAATTATTATTTCTTAATATTATGTTTATTTGTTTAAATTGATTTATGCTTTATTATTAATTATGTAAATAAGTTAAATTAATTATTATTATGTTTAAAATACTGTAATTAAGAAATACATGTATTTCAATGACTATCTCATTATATTTATCAATAAATCATAGCTCAGGCTAGCAATAGCTAGTCTAGGAGGGGCTTCAAGGCTCACAAACAGTTGTACTAATTATTTGAATAGTAAGTGCAAGCCTTAGGTGTAACAGAGTTGGGCTATAATTCCGTCATTTTGCGGACGAGTCCTTCCGAGTTCCGATACAAGGCTTCCGATACTAAATACCGATATATAAGCGCAGTTACCAGTGACCAGAGCCCCGAATGGGCCATTCATATATACTGTGGCGTAATAGATAACCCATACAAATATACCGTAACGCTTAAATAGACTTCATATAGCAACCCGCATAGTAATAACGTCACAGTTCCCTACTAAACATATCCCGCATTGCATATTGCTTCGTAAAGTCTACTTTACGGGCTATTGACGGGTAAACACTCATAAATGCCCGTCACAATATAAATCAAAATTTGTTGTTTACTTCAAATAAAGTATAAAAGTAAAAAATTATCATATAATTTATTTCATGTAAAATATTTTACTTTTTTATTGTTTTATCACAAATGATTTGAATTCTAAACTCATAATAATATTATATGAAATATATTTTAAAATATTTTGTATTTAGAGTTATATAATTTTCATTTGTTTTTGAAATAAATTATTAAACTTAAGAAACATATGCTTTTTTAAATATATAAAAATAAATTTTGTAGATTTCTATATTAAAATTTTATTAACAATCTAATGTATGCACAAGTTTTTAAAAAATAAATTACAAAATAATATGATTGAATTATTTTAATTATTTTATACTCAATATTAGATACCAATCAAATCAATTGATGTATGATTTTTTACTTAGTTATAACTAATATCATAAGTAACAGATGTTTAGATCTATTATAATTAATGTTTAAAATATAAGATAGTTATTTGAATAGGAGTTTAAACTTAGATTTAAAATTAAAGAGTTTCAACACTAGTTTGACAAACATTTTTTATTAAATCTATTATAATATTTTTATTTTACTATCAATACATAATAAATGTGTATTTATAACAGATTATATTTTGTTATTGTTTACTTTCAAATATTAAAAAAATACAGAAAATAAATTTAGTAATTTCTTACAGTAAATAAATGTCAAATAAAATAATTTAACAAAAAAATATGTTATAATTTAAATCATTTATTAAACTTTTTTATATTCAATTTTATAGTATAACAAAAAATGATAGAAAATGTAAGAAATTGTTAATTCTTTAAAACAAATGTTATTTTATAATATAAAGTTTTTTCAATAAATATTTTGCAACACATAAGACGCAACAAATTTTTAGAAAATTTGAAAAATTATTAGATTTATTAAATTCATCATTTAAATGTATATTAATGTTAATTTTATGTATTTTATTTTAAGTTTGTAAAATTTATTTATTATTATTAGAATGAAACTAATACCCATTGATTTCCCCGATTTTGTCTTTTTTTGTAAAAATCCCAAAGAATTATAATAAGTGTGATTTTCCCCAAAATTTGATAAAAAATATTGTATAAAATAAAAATCAAATTCATGGTTAATACAACACTTGCGATACACTAATACAATATTAACTCAATATAATAAATAAAAGAAACATTTATATCACAACTTTGTGATACTTATATAAATACTGTATATAACATGATTTGCAACGAATACCTGCTTTTTCTATGAACGATAGAAATCATATTTTTCTATATTATGATTATAATTACGGTTAAGGAATACAATTAAAAGTAAACAAAGTAGTTGTCAGGATTTGGAATTGATGTCCATATCTTTATTAAAATTTAACATAAAAATCTACTAAATAAATGATGAATTTTAATACAAAAATCTCATTTATTTATTAATGAGAAAAATAATATAGAAATATAGGTTTTTAAATAAAAACAACTCAATTTAAAAACGACTAAAGTTATTTCGTTATACTAATAAAAAATATAAGTATATTTAACTAATAACTTAAAATAGTTTAACAAAATTGTAATATAATAATAATTTTTCACTTTTTGCCAAAGAGTAACCAGAAATATAAATATATTAGTAACCTTATAGTAACCTAAAAATACATAAGATTAAAATATTAAAAGAAACTAGTGGTTACTCGTTGGTAAAATTGTAAAATTTAACAAAATGTAAAAAATTATATTTTTATATTATCTATAATTTAACAAATACATTTAATTAAAAACATTTATACACGATATTTTGTGATGCTATACATAATTTAACTGAAATAATATAAATTATTTTAAATATACAAAATTTTCTATAACAGAAAGTAAAATATTTTAGTTATTTATAAGTTTTTAAATTATATTTTCAGTTATTTTATTCAATCATTTTTTTTGTTATAATAAAATGATAGTTTATTTTTACCATCGTTTCGATTTATTTACGTAATTGTCGGCAAATTAGCCGACAATATAACATAATTATAACTATATATAATATTTTTAGAATTATTTATTATAAAAGAAGAATAAAATGTCTAATAATAATAATTTTGTTCACAAAATCACAATTAATATTAATATTACTCTTATTCTAGCATTTTCTACATACTGTGAGAATTAGTGATATTATTTTTATTAATATATATTTTAGGTGACAAATAAATGTTTTTTTTGTGTATAAAACTCAATTTTATTAAAAGTCGTTAAATATTAAATTAGTCAAAATTTATTCGGTCACAATATAATACGATTCATCACAATATTATTAATTTCTAATCCTGACAAAACCTTTAACAGATATTTAATAATAATTTTAAAAATTTACATTTAAACAATTAGTATGATAAACTCATACTTATTAATTTAATATCTATAATACTACTATATTTGTAGAATTTAGTTTTATAAAGTTTAATTTTAATGAATGCTATAGACTATAATGCAAATATTTTAAGATATAAAAAACTGTACTAAAAAATAACATTTGAAAATTGAAATATTTAATTAATGTATTTTTAGTTAAGAATTTGTAAAATTAAGTCTAATATAGTTTAAAATCTAAGTTAAATTGATTTTTAAAATTAAAAAATTAAAAAAATATATCCAATTTTATGCCAAATAGACTATTTACTATTATTACTATAAAAATAAATAAAATTGAATTTCTTGATTGTTTTTTACTCCCGATTTTGACCATTAAACTCCCGAAGATGCATAACTCTAGTTATAACTTATACACTGTATAATATACAGTACGTTATTACAACCTAAAAATAATATACTGAATTGAAAATATTTATTTTATATTTAAGATAACAAAACTATAAAAATAATATCAATATAACTGCTTTATTGTTTATAAAATGTATTTTTCCTTTGAAAAAATGTTTGTTTGTTGTCAATTTTAAAAAATATAAATATCTTATATTTAATAAAATATCAAAATATATTTTTAAAATTTGAATAACAAAATATTTTATTAACGTTTTGCTAATTATATAAATAAAACATATAATTTATTTTATATACAAAAAATTAATTACTTGTGTATTCAAAAAATATAATATTAGATAATCTGCAATATGTCAATTAATTTTACAAATAAAAATTGCATTAAAAAATATCTTTATAACTACTACTATATTTAAAAATAAATTATAAATAAGTATAAATTAACGATATAGTAAACTAACAATTTATTTCTATAATTTTAGTTTTGATAGAATACTTTTATGAATGCAATTAATTATAATTATTTATAGTTTTATTTCTAAATTCTAAAATATAATAAAAAATACTATTCAACAAAATTGACATAAAAGAATAAACATATAATTTTTTAGTAATAATGTTTAAAAAATAAACTTTTTACACTTATATAAATATTTTACTAAATTATTTTGTGATTATTTTAAAAATTAATATATAATGTAATATAACAATATATATATATATAATATATACAATTTATTTTTAAACAATAATTATTTTAATAATAAAATTCTAAGTAAATACAAGAACTTTTTGTTTTTTAACAATGAATAAATTTATTACAAATTATTATACAATTTAAAAAATATTACTATTATAATATATTATAATATAATATAATATAATAGTAATATATCAATATTTAATGATAACAATTACCAGATTCTGCATTTATTTACCGGATTCATAGGACTTCCATTGGAACAATTAAAACTGTTAGCAAACTCTATTAAATTAGATACGGTTCCGATTACCCTGGTCAATGATTAATGTAATTTACATTTTTAATGTTTAATAATCATTGAATGACATTTAAAATGACAAAATATATAACAGTAATACCTAAACCTGGACGGACAGTGCGTTTCTTCACTAATAATCATTTTTGTCATTTCAGGTCGGGTTTTGGTACACCATATCTAATGTATTATAAAGAAAATAATTGAATAATATTTAATAAATAAAAAAATATTAACATGATACATTTCCATATGTAATCCAAAATAGTTGTTCGGGTGTATATTTAAGCCCAGGTAGCGTCAGCTCTGGACCTCTGGTGCTTATATATGTCTTATAAGCCCTGAATGCTTCTCTAACGCCCACATTATCGGCAATATTTTCTCCCAACGTTTTCATACCATTTATCTAAATGTCATTTCATAATATTGTATTTAACAACTCTATAGTGAAAATCAATGTTTGCACACAATTCTAGACATTTATAATAATAAACTTCAATAGACTTACATTTACTTCTATTTCAGGCAAAACATAATTATTGTATTGATTTATAAGGCATTGACTTTTGTTATTAAATAAACTATCGGTCCGACTGTCCCACCAGTTATTGTTATTACCGTTTTGGTCAAACTGTTTGCCGATGTCATCAAATGCATGTGTAATCTCGTGTGCAATCACTGTCCCAATGGCACCAAAGTTTAGATAACTACGGTATAAATACATAAATATTTTTAATTATGGTTTCAAAAATGATAATACTATAAAAATGTTATAATTTTAGCTATATTTAAATTTTATTTATATATACCAATTTTTAACTTAAAATAGTATAATATTTTTTAAAACTAAAATAATATAAATACTGGATTAAGTAATATTTTTGTTTTGAAGTTAAAAAACGAAATAAATAAAATAAAATCATTTAAAGTATGAAATTGTTGTGATTCTTATAATAATTTGTTTAATTATATTATTTTTATGTCATCTTCAAAGTAATGTTTCACAAAATACAGAATAATTATTTTAATGTTAATTCTATCAAGAAATTTAAATAAAATTAAATGTTTAAAAACTATTTATATTAAATAAAATTCATTAAAAAGTAAGTATAATTTTTTATGATGATAAATAAAATATTATATACTTAGGGTTATGATAATTGAAGAATATTCCTTGCAAAATTCCCGCCGGAAATATAATAGCATTTTCGACGGCACTATAATAAGCGTTAACGACTGCTGTGTCCGCAAAGTTTTGCCAACTGTTACAACAAATAACATTATTCGAGAAAAAAACACAAAATAATTGATAAATTACTTAAAATAGATATAATCTAAAACATTACATTTTTTATCATTGCATTTTTCTTATTATATATATATAATGGCATTTTTTGTTTAAAATATTTGTTATTTTTATATAATAAAGAATACATTTTATTTATATACAGTATTATATAAAAATAAAAATATAATAATACTATTCACAGATAAAGCAGTTAAAATCCATATGTGGTCAATGTAGCGCTCAATGGTATACAATGTACAGTATAAGTAGTACACAATGTACTACACATAAACTTATATAAAAAATATTTTGTGTAATTTATTTTATAGAATTAAATACAAATTCTCCTCAAAAATTCAAATAAACTATTAACAAAATAAATATTTTTTTTATCTTATTTATTATAAGCAGATATTTTTAAAATTATAATTATTGCTTTAAAGTAATAGTTTATTATTTTAGTGTCAGAAAATAATACAATATTAGTGATTCACAAATTGAAATGCAGTGATAGTCTGATTATAATTTAATAATTATATAATATAATTTATATTAATACTCTTATTAAAATTAGTAATATTATATGCTTAAATTATTAAAGATTTATAAATTTCTTAGTAATTTAAAAAATAATCTACTCAAAAAATCATTTAATCATAATAATAATCCCTGAAAACTGTATATTGTTATAGATATAACATGATTTTTATACACCACATTAGTCGCTGATAATAATATACTAAATGTGTAAATCAAATATAAGTCAAATATAATTTACTAAATGATAAAACAGTTAAATGCCTTAATAAGCAGATTTGTCTAAACATAGACTCATTTAACACATAAATCATAATACAGTATAAATATTATAGTATTTACTGTATATACTGTATTATATCATATGAGTGCTGTAAATCAATATTAACGTGTTTATAAAGTTACATAACATCTTTGATAACATATTAGTAATTAGTTATAAATTATTCTCTAACTAAAGTAAAACAAAATTATTATATAATTATAAATAAATAATATTTGATAAAATTTTCTAATACTTACTTTCCTTTATTTCTAGATTCACGCAAATCTTTATGTGAATAGTTTGTCAACCATTTCATCATTTTTAAAGTATTTTGGAAATATTGCGAATCATCAAAATCATCAAGCTAAAATTGGAAATTATAAAAACATTAGACTTTATAAATTCAAAAATGGTCATTTAAAACAAAAAAAAAGTTTAATAATTATATTTTTGTCTAATATATTAATAAAATCTAATAATTAAATCACACATTCAAAATATATTATAGACTTTAGAAAATAAATAAATTATCAATTAATCTTTTATTAAAGCTTTAAGAAAAAATTATTAACTATTATATGTTAATCACGTGTATGCTAAAAGTACAGCAAAATAAATATATAAAACATATTTTTATCTAAAAACATAAATAACATTATTGTTAACCAGATATTTGTTTTGAAAACAATTAGAGTTTAATAATTAATTGTTGCTTTTATTTTATTTTTGTTTCTAAAAGCATATTCAACACTCTGGGGGGTCATTCAAACAATCAATATATAAATAGTACAAAAAACAAAATATTCAATATATTCACAAAATAATAACATAAAATCAAATAAAGAATATTCTGTGTAATATAGATTTTATGGTGTTTTCAAATATATTGTATTTACATAATAACATATTTAAGAGGGTTTATATTTGACTTGTATTTTGATATATAAATTTTTAGTGTATATTATTTGTGTGTTTTTATTTCTTCTCATAACTTTTGGCTTACATTTTGATAAATATTTGCAATTTGGCTGTCATTGAGTAGTTGATCGGGAAAACCAATATAACTGGTAATAGCTGTGGCCTTTTGTATGGCCCGTTCCCTTGTCAATTGATCCATCCATTCAATGTCATCAAACATTTCAATGAACTTTTTATGAATAAAATAAACCATCTCTTTGGCCTTATATGACAAATCAATTACATAAGATTAGACAAACAAATTACATTTGATTAGATATAGTATATGATTGTATATATGATTGTATATATGATTGAATTCAATAAAATGAAATACTTTTTGTTTGCTTTCTTTAGCAAAATATTTGCGGACATATAGTGCCGAAAATGCAACGCTCAATGAAGCGGCAGATTTAACGCATGTTTGCCATCGGGGAGGTATCGACTGGCGACCAGTTATCCGATTTAAATACATTTCATTCAATTGAAACCATTTTGGATGTAATAGCGATAGACTTGTCAGCACAATATCTGCCAACATGTGATTCGCTAATATTCTAGTGTTTTATTCAAATAATAAATATTAAAAACTAAATGATCAAAATGATCATAATTTTCTATAATTTCATATAATTATTATTTATAAATAAAAAAATAAATCTCACTATTTGCTTATACTGTACTTAAGTAAAAGTATGTATACTATTAAATAATAACTAAATTAATAAATTACAATTAACTAATATGAAATAATGTTTTATAAAATTAAGATATCTTGTATAAATTATTAAATAGTTTTATATAAATTTTATTATTTAATTATTATTAATGTATGATTAACTAATTTTAATGCACAGTACATAAGTGTATAGTTAATATAAGTTATACTGTGTAATGGGTCTATTAAAGTATTGTATTATTTAAATGTTAATAATAAAATTTTATTGGTAATAAAAATAGATGAAATAAGCAATAAAACTTAAGTGTACACAAGTTATTATTGATGTTAAATACAAAAAAACTGTTTACTGGTTACTTAATCACTTACTAAGTTAATTATTTAGCATTAATAAATTAGATTATAATTGTAGAATTAAATTTATATTATTGTCAATAATATAAAATGATTAAAAATGCTTTAATAAATTCAAAATAACTAAGCTTGTTATACTAATGTGCAAAATTGATATAGGTTTTAATATATTGGTTATTAAGGGTTATAGAGCATATATTGTATAATACAATATAATGTTCCTAATTATACTAATTGTATTACTAATTATATAATAACTTTTGTAACCTTTTATTTGTAATGTTAATCAAATGATCGACTTGTTTAACATAATAAGGATTATTAACAACTATTTCATCGTTTAAATGAATAGTTTGTCCAAAAATAGCGCTTAAAAGTTGAAGCCATGGTGTCTGAAATAATTCAATAAAGATTATGTTTTATTAGAGATTATTTTAGAGTAATATAGAAATACTTTACATTTGTGTAAAAACTAACAAATAGTGTTTATTTAAAGTTAGATTTTTGAAAAAAATAATACACTTTATATTAATATATCAATCTTTTTTTTTGTTTCTTCTATTGATAATAACATAATTTATTTGTTACTTAATTAGTAATTATAAATTAATGAAAACATATTTCAGTTTACAAATTATCATTTATTTATCATTTATTTGATCTCTCTTTCTTTCATTTAATTTGCTTAATGTCTTTGAATGAGTGAGTGTTAGTTAATACATACATTTGGTGCCAATACTTGCAACTCTTTAACTGTCATTTTATTGTAAAGTTTGGTCACATTTCTTGTCTCTTCCATCGGTTTTGTCAACTAATTATGTGATCAATAATAGCAATGCATTAGGATTTTAACAAAAAAGATCAGTAATAATATAAAAAGGAAACAATAAAATCGATTAATTAATTGAAGCAATTGATTGCAAAATAACAAACAAAAATAACATGACTTACACTAATAATTTTGATTTGAAAATCAATTAAATCTTTAATTTGATTAAAAGGATTGCCATTAGTCTGTTTGACTCCAAGAAGTATAGCGCACTCCACAAGAAGATCATAATATGCCCTAACATTTGGATCATTCATACCGTTAAGCATAACATTTCTGTCCCCAACTCCGGGTATAATCTCTGCGATCTATTTATAGAGTAATTTAKAAAAATTATATTTTTTAGTTTTATGTTCGGATATCCTTACAGTTATTATGTGTTTTGTATTGTTTTTAAGGTCCAAACCAACAGATAAATGATAAAATTGGTTAAAAGGTAATCCCATTTCTCTCATTTTCATATTAGTCTCAATCCAATTAAACTGCTTTTCTTTCCACAACTGTTCCTCAATTATAGGCCAACCGCCCAACTCTAACAATATTTCAATTAAAGGTCCGTCACCTATCTGTATGAGCTGACCTATTGTTAATATAATTTATACTGAGTTTTGAACAAATTAATTAATTTTTATTTTATTTATTTAATAGTTTAAAATATTAAAAACTACAGTTTTATGCTGATTAAGTTGATTATGTTGACTTTTAAAATTTTTTATTATATATTCTATGTATTAAAGTATTTATAGAATTTAATTTAATAAATTTCTGATCTAAAATAAAATACTGTACTTTGTTTAGGTTAAATAATAAAAAATAAAAACATTAGTTTTAATAAAATAATAATATTTAATCTTTAATAAGTTTGCAATAGTAAACAAAACTAAATTATGGCAATACATACAAAATTATATTTATCATTAGATATGTTATACTATAATATATTTAATCTAAAAGCAGTTACAGTATAATATTAATATTACTACAGTATTATTTTCATATTAGATAATCACCTGCATATGTAAAAACATTATAAAAATTAAATACCTAACAAAACTTAACAAAAAGTAATGAATACTATTTATAAACATTTTGATAAATGGATTTCATATTTAATAGATGTTATAACATAAACTTTTTTTAAAATATATATATATATATTAAAAACATTATATATTTTTATTATATGTTTTTAATGGATAAAATGATTTATTTAAAAATTTTAATAATTTGTCATTATTTAATAACTACTTTTATATATAATATTATATATTGAGAAAATACTTTTTAACAGTTTGATAAAACGTTTCAAAATATGTCTATTTAAATATAAATTTATTGTTTAAAATATTTTACTTTAAATCCATTTATTGAGCTATTTTTAAAAATTCAAGTATTTCCTTCAACCGCTATTAGCATAATTATTTTAATAGTTTAAGTACAACAAATAAAATTTCACTAAAAAATGTAAAATGTAAATTGTATAAATGTAAAACTTTAATTAATTAAGTAAATTATTTTTTTAATAATTTTGAAAAGTCAGAATAATTGTTAATTATTTACCATATTTTATATTCATTATTTATAAATGTTTAATAAAGTCATATATTTGATATTTCAAAAAAAATATTAAAGAAATTTTTTTCTGAATTGTATGTGTGTTTGTATGTGTGTTAAGTTTTTTTGCAATGCTTTCTAGCATTCTCAACTTGTTTTATTATATTGTAAATCTTAAATATTACTATAATAGTAAGTTAATTTTTTAAGTTGTTCAGTTAGCAAATAATTGATTGCAGTTATAAATTACTAAATTATTAATAAAAAACAGAAAATTACTATTTTTATTTAATAAATACAACTAATAAATAATAAATAAAAAAATAGATTAATTTATAAAAATTATTAATATATTGTTAATTTTAATAATTGAAACAAATACTGTATTTATTAATGTCAATACTAAATTATATATATATATATAAACAAAACTCTTATTAGTACAATAAAACCGTTAGTCTTATATAATTAAGTTATAAAAATAAAATTTTGTCATTTATTTAATGTGTTGCTAAATAAATAAAATTAATTAATTAATCCAATGCTTACTTATATTAAGACACGAAAAATATAATTTACGGATATTATTAAAGACTTTAAGATCATCGGGTTTTGGCCTCTCTTCGAGTAATTCTTATAATTAAAAAAATTAGTTTATTATAATTTTATTTCAAATAAATTAAATGTTATTTTTATTACTATTTTTAGCTTTATTTTCTTAAAAAAAAACAATTTACTTATATTGTTATAATAGTACTGTAATTCTAACCTTTAAACTGAAACTCTATGGTTTCAACCAAATTACCAGCCGTTGATATGCCGATCCTATTGTCGGGAATTAATGAATTTTTAATCCATTGCCCACAAGTAAACCTAAAAAATAAATAAAACCAATTTTTATATATAAATACTTTAATTGTTTTATATAAAGAAAAACTCATACATATAAAAGTCATCGCACGGGGATATACTCTCATCTATATTACTCAAGAATGTATGTGCTATTGATTAGAAATAATAACAATAATTAAATAATTAAAACAAATAATATCAACAAACCAAACATACCGGTGCTTATACAGGAAGAAGTCAAACATATCTGTGGATAAACTTTGTCTTTTGAGTACAACTGTTGATTAATTGATGTCTTCGTGTAATTCAATTGATTTTCATTTCTCACTACTTGTTCTTCATTTGGCTTTAAAAATATCTTTAGTTTGTCACTCATTTCAATAAAAGTTATAAATAAAATCAAAATCATTGATAATACAGATAAAACTGTTGTCAATATTACAAGTTTTTTCTCAAAACTTGTCCTCCGTTTCCACCAATTATTTCTATATTTGAATACATATTCGTAAATAAATATTATTTATCTTAAATAATCTATTAATATAATAAAAATAAATTAAATACCTAAATATCTTAATAAATATCTTAATAAAAAACTTTAATTTTAAAAGTAAAAGTAATTTAAGAATATATTGGTATATTATATAATATCAATAAAATATTTTATTTATTAAAAATTTATATTAAATATAATTTTATTTAAAAATACATTTATAAAGTCTTTTAATTAAATATTTTATAGCTATATTTTAAATTAAAATTATTTTTATAATATTAAAAATATAAAATCTATTTTTATATGAAACAAATAGAATCACAAAAAATATTACAAAACTAAGAGTAATTTTTAGCGCTTTATTAAAATAATATAAATACTAATGTAAGAAATATACTGTATATTTAATAAAATTATAATTAACATTTTTTTACTTTTAAGTAAAATTTTGTAACATTAAACAAAAAATAACTAAAGATTAGGGATGAGAAACAAAAAATTTTAATAAAATTCTAAATATTTCTTTAAAAAATTTTAATAATAACTTAAATTATGGGATCCACATATAAATTGCCAATAAATATTTATATGTAAATTAAAGATAAACTTCAAAAAGTTGTAAAATATGTGATAAAATTATTTATTTTATTAACTTAAAAAATAGCTTAAAATATTATACTGTTAATAATATTTAATTATTAATAATTTTCAAGATAACAAATACAAGATAAGAAAAAATTAATATACTATTACATTGAAAAGATTTTTGTTCAATTTTACTATAAAGAGTCAATTAAATAAAAATATATACGAAAATACAATTTAATAATTCAATGATTCAATTGATTGAATCAATGATTGATTCTTATATAATAATAAAATTATCATTAATTATATTTTAAATTATAAACTTATTTGTAAATTAAAACTAGTTATCTATTTGATATAAAATATTATTTAAAGTTTTATATTAAAATACACAAAATGAAATAAATAATATTTTTTTCTTAAAAATTGATTATTATTTATAATATATAATATATACAGTATAAATCTAAATAAATAATACTAATAATTTTGCATACCGGTACTTGTTTTTTAAAAAGTTTTAATCAATTTAATTTGAATTTAATTAATTTTGTTTATCAAAATAAAGTAGAAAATTTTAATCAAACGATTTAATAACAGTAGTTAACTCTTTATTTATCAAATTATTTGAATTTGATGAAAAATTAGTTTAAAATTTAAAATTATTATTTTTACTAATTATGAATAAATAGATTTGATATGTAATAAAAGTAGATTCTATAAAACTAATAAAAAATTAAAAATTCTTAACAAATTTTATTTTATAATTTTATTGAATTGAAAATTTGTCTACTGTATAAAATTCTATAATATTAATATATGAAAATCTATTATAATATTGCATAATATTATTTTTTTACACTATTAAGTAATTTACATACAAGTACTAGAATAGTTTTATATTAAACAAGTACAATATAATTAATTTTATTTTAAAATAATATTTTTAGAAAACATGTTTCAGCAATAGAAAATATCGCTTAATTATTGTTTCATTGAATTAAATAATTATATTTTAAACAATTAATGTTTTTAAAAATTATATAATAATTTAATGATTACATTAGATTATGCTTATGGGTTTTGCTAGTATGAGTTAACAATTTATTAATGACTGTGAAACCGTTAAACAATTTAAATTATTTCTAAATTTTGATTGGTTTATGTATTAATTCAATATTAAATTTTACAGGTCTAAGAGCGTTAATTAAATATATTTTTATTGTTTAAATGTTTAAAAATTACATAATATAAAAATTTATATTTATTTTAATTTTTTAAAATCTTAGTTATATCATCTTAATTTACTAAATTGTTGTACTTATATTGTATAGTTGTTTACGTTTAATTTTTAAATATGATTTTGTGATCAATCATAATCATTTTTTATTTGAAATATATGTTATAAATTTTTAATGGAAAAGTTTATTTTAATATATTCTAAGAGTAATTTCACAATATTTTTATAAACTAAAAATTTATAATTTAATAAAATATTTTATTATTATTTTACAAAAGCTCATTACTATACTATTACTTACTACTATATATAGTATACTAACTTATTAGTTTATTTCTGAAATTAATAAATATTTTTCATATTATTAAATAGTATTTTATTTTATTTTATATAAATAAATAACAAAAACAACTTACTTTTTATTTGCATTAAATACAGTATTAATCGTAAATTTTTCCATTAGTCTTACAAATTGTAATAATAACTGTATTTGAGAAAACTTTTTATATTAAATGTAAATTTTATATTAATGTTTATATTAAATATATACTCAATTTTTAATTTAGAATAAAATATTGAAAAATATTTATTTTAAGATACTACTGTAAATTGAAAATAAATTAAAATTCATTTTTTAATCAAAAAATAATACTCTAAAATTTAAAAACAACCTTAAGTTGTTATACACGTAAAAATAAAGTCTAATACATTTCAATAATATATAAAATTCATTAATTAAGTAGAGGTATAAATATCGTAGACATAAACTGTTGATTATATTACATAATAATTAATTGTTTGATATAAAAATAAACTTTATTTTCTGATTGAATGTATAAAGTAATATAACTTATGAGTAAAAAAACATTATTCAAAACTAATCTGAAGGTTTTTAAATAAATTGAATTAAATACCATTTTAAACAAATAATTAAATTCCAATTTTACATTTAATTTTATTTAATACTGATTAGACATCAATTTAAAAACTTTTATATTATATTAATGATCTTTTTTATAATTTATATATTTAAGATTTTATCATTAATAAATAAGTAAATAGAGTATAAATATTAATAATATTATTTCAACTTTTAAGTTGATTTTTAAACATCTGTATGTATTATATTGTTTATAATACGTTATAAAATTTTATACATCAAATAATTGTATAATATTTTCTACAGTATTTTATTACTTACAGTTCTATTGTACAGTAAATTATTATTAGATATTAAAAAAGTATTTCAAACTTACTGTATATAAGTAACACAAAATTGTCTTAATTAATTAAAAAGTGTTAAAAACGAAAATTGAAAGATTTTTTTAGTATATAAAATATTCAACAATTTTGAATTTGGTTTAAAAGATGTAAGAGTTCTCTGAATAGGCTATGAAATACATATTAAAAAACTAAATGATAAAAATTCATGTCATGTAATCATAAATTGTGGTAATATAAAAAAAATCTGTTATTTACTCAATAATTACAATAATATTGTAAATTTTGAAAATGATTTTTATATGCAATTCTAGTGAGCCATTCGTTCATATTTACAATCATTTAATTAAATATTTACTATCATTTAATTAAATATTTACAAACATAATTTATTATAACTTATATTATTATATACAGTATTACTGTCTATTGTATTGATAACGCTATAAACATATTCCAAATTTAATGTATTTAAAAATACTTTATTATTCTGTACTATAACTTATAGAGTATCAGATATTTAGAGAGAATAATGAATTTATTATTAAAATCAAATTACAATTATAACAATAATATATCTATTAATTGATTTCCAATTGATATAAAATTAAATTATAAAAATATTACAATAATTTTCAACTATTGCAAAAAAGTGGATTCATTGAATAGTCTTACAAATTACTACTACTTTGATAATTAAAAACGAATAAATTAAACACAATTTTCTATTATTATTATTACATTAATTGAAAATATAAATCAAACACTATTTCAATGAAATCGATAACAAATATAATAATATTTAAATTTTTATAAAATTCTTAAATATACAATAGTATAAAATTAATTTGACATTTATTCAACAATATTTATATTTTGCATAAAACAGTGTTAACTCTATTCACTACTTACACATTTCAAACATTTATAAAAAACATTAAATGTTAACAAATAATACAATCAATACAATTGTAATTAATATAAATTTTATTATAGTTTTAATTTAATTTTATAAATTTGTTACACTGGGTGTCAATAAATAATACTGAGTTTAGTTATCAATTTATCGCTGACTCAATCATTACGCCTAAACATAATACCGTCGGACGGGAAATACACGGAACCGTCTGAACCCATGTGTGTCCTCAAGTCTGAAGTCATCACCACTTTTGTAGCATTCAGTTCTGAAAATTATAAGATATTTTAATAACATTTACGAGATGTTGACAGTGAAGGTCAATACTACCGATACTATTAAAGTTGTATTGGGCTCTAAATCCCGGACCGGTATTATTAGTACTGGTGACCAGTTTGATCAGTAAAAGGTTGCCTTGACTTTGATACGGCGCCGGATTGTCCTATAAAATGAAAATATTTGTTATTTGTTGAAAAAATGAATGATAATAATGCCATACATCGCCACAAATGCGAAGAACTCGATTGGACGGCAGATCCTCTCTTCCCTCGTAAACTTCGACATAATTGGTTCGACAGCCGATGGTTGAGGACAGTTGGAAAAATGTGAAGCGAAGTGTGAGTGAATGTAAGCCAAATGAGTGGACAAACCAACGACACTCACCGCTTACGTTATACGGCGATGGATATAAAGGACTGGTAAATGTGCCGTTAAATGAGGTCAGATTACCACCTATCGGGTCGTTAAGTAAATTTAGATACAGTTATAGTAACCTTGATTTGAAATACATTGTCATTACTTACCACATCCACGACCAGCATTTGTAGTTGAATATGATATAAACCACTTCGAGTAATACCATTCATTACTTTTCACTTCAAGTGATAACTGGTTTCCGGTCGAAAATATCGGGTCAGGGATTGTAGTGCCGCACAGAACTTTAAGTAGCGGTGAAGTAGTGTCAATACCTTCCCTAATTGTCATATTGCCCCGGGGACATCCAATTCGGTTATCACTGTTATAAAATCTAAAGTCGTTGAAATACAATGCAATAGTGTGACCAACTTTGGCTGTTATATTCATCCAACAATATTTGGTAAACTTAGTGTCAGGATATCGAGTATTGACTATTATTCCCGATTCATCACTATATGTCATATTACAGGCAGAAAATGTATATTGAATTTTGAAACCTTTATGATTAGCGACTGGATTAGGACTCGACACAAATGTTAACCATAAGCCTTGCCTCGAGATAATAGACGGCGGAGCCTTCAGACCACACATACGGTACGGTTGGATGTGATTATGGGAATAGGTATCAGCACTGAACTCTATATAATCTTCATTATTACAGTTAACATCCAAATCAATGAATTTAATTCTAATGGCTTTCGACCAGTAATTGGAAACTCTGTCAAATATAAAGTGATATTTGCACCGTAAGCTTGTGGGGTATGAGTTCGGGTAATTGATTGAAGTTAATGTTTGGGTCATATTTGTCACATTAACAAAACCACCGCATATTTTGTCAATTGACTCAAATTTTGCTTTAAATCCTGTTCTAACTTCACGGCTATCGGAGTAAAATTGAAGAATCAATTTATTAGAAGACCCAATGATAGGACTAGGAATAGTTGATCCACAATAGCGATCAATGAGTGCACTTCTGTGAGTAATACCATCTCTTATTTCCAGGTAATCATAGATACATTTTGAGCCATTGGAAGGGCTTTCTTCGATATCTAGCTTTTCAAACGTAAGTTTAACGACTTTATCGGATGGCATTAATATGGTATACCAACAGTTGAGGTCTAAATCGTATTTACCGTTATTGTCGACATCAGGGGATTGAATATAACCTTGACTTACATTATAAAATTTACCGCCACATCCCTGAGCCGGACTCAGAGTTGTTCTGTAACTTAAACTAAAGGCTGCTCTTTCGTAATGCCCTTCTGTACGATATATAATCCATAATTTATTTGTTGTCGATTTAATGATGGGATCAATATCTCGATCTGGTTTACAAAATCTACCGATCAATGGAGCGCTACTATTGTCTCCATCTCTGATCTCAACCCCATTCCAGTAACAACTGCCCCATTGGTCAGTATTTATTGAATTAAATTGCAATTCAATGACTCGATCTTCACTAACAGTTATAAACCAAATACAACTCATTCTTCGGCCATAAATATTAATTGGATTTGTTATGACACCCGAGTCATCGGTATAATTGCCTCCACAAGAAGTCACAGAGAAAGATGCCTTAAAACCTTTTCTTACATAACTATAATCACTTCTAAAAGCTAGAAAAATGGCATTATTAGAGACAGTAATGGGTGGCTTATCTCGTCCACAATAGGTTCCCTGATGTGGTGAACTTGTATTGTTACCCAGGTATATATCGATAGCATCCCACCGACACTGTGATCCTCCATACTCTACATCAAAATCGTCATCAAATTCAAGTCTTATATAATCTTTAGGACTCCGTTGTATAAGATATTCGCAACGAATCATATTATTATAAACATTAGGATAGTTAGGACTCGTAAAAACACCCGTACTTTCGGTAAACACTTCTCCACAAACCATTTGATACGTTAATTTAAATCCGTCTCCATTTGTGGCTTCATTACTATGGAAAGTGACTCTAACTTTATTAGTCCTTGACTTAAACGATTGAGGCTTATCGAGACCACAGAACCGACTAATGGCTGTCCAACTGTTATCATCGTCAGCATTGGCCAACTCTTCAAATAATAAGTAATCGTTTACACAATTTTGTGACTTTTCGATATCGAATCGGTCTATAAATGTAAAGTTCAAGTGATATCCGGTATGCATTTGAATGATCCAAACACACTCAATACTATTGGCATATCTTGCAATTGGATAGTCTAACGTATGAATGGTATCTATTGGRTTCAACATAAGACCACCACAACCGTGCTCTACCTTACGGACATACATCTTAAAATTACGTGGACTTTGTGTAGGATTACTGGCAGTTGCCTTAAACATAACTTTCATTTTTCGTTGAGTTGAATGTATTTCTGGTGGTAATGTATTTCCACAATATTTGTCTGATTTGGGTGAGTCAGACATATATCCCTGTTGTACTTGAATGTAGTCTTTTTCACAATCACTGCCTAAACTAAAGTTAAGAAATGATAGTCTTAATTGTTGTCCCCAATCGACTGCGAACTCCCAAACACAGTAGGAAACTATTGGATAGTTTTGCGGAAAGTTAGGTGAAGTGAACTCTCCGTCGGGATTATCGAAATATCCGCCGCACTCTTGGATATAATATTTTCCACTAATTCCTCGATAATTGTTGCTATAGTTAGTGGACAATAAAAGTTTTGGTACACCATAATTGTATTCTCCCTGATTTGGTGCAAAAAAATCAAATTTATGACCATTTGTAGTCTTATTACCACAAAAACGATAGCCTCGACTCCAAAAGTATCGGTATCGTCCTAAATGAGATGACATTTATTAATATGACGTAAATGGATGTCTTAATTGTATGATTTACTATTATAATACTCCAATCGTATGGACCCATCTTTACATAATTCTGACTCTGGTATCTCAAACACATCAAAAACGAATGCAATGGTAAAATTGGTGCTTTGATTTGGAGGTTGTATTTCCCAAATACAATCAATAGGATCAGTATAATTGGATTCACCAAATCTATAAGATTCTATAATTCCTGATGTGCCAGATATTAGTCCTCCACAAACTATTCAATTAAATGTGATATAAAATAATATTAATAATACAATATAATGACTATTTTATATATTAATAGATATTATAGACACACATACCTTCCTCATCATCGGCACTGTACTGTATACGGAATCCCTCTCTGGGGGCTAAACCTGAATGACCAAAGTTAATGACTGCCATATGACTTTGAAATTGAATTGGATCGGGAAGTATAGCATTGCACTGCATTTTCTGTTTAGTTGAACCATATGTACCCTTGAATATCTGTAATGATATCAATTTAATCAATTGAGGATAACATATGAAATTTATAATAAAATATAAATAGTTTACATTCAAGTGATCTAAACAAAGACTAGTATTTCTTGGATCTGCTTTTAGATTATAATCAAGAAATTCAAGTCTCAAACTTCTACCGGAAACTGATGTCAAATACCACGAGCAGTACCGTCGTTCAGATACGGCATTTGGATAATTGAAACTCGTTATGACACCATTTGTGGCTATATTTTCTATAGTATCACCACATTGTGTCCATCTGGTTCTTACACTTAGCCTTAAACCTCTACCAGTCAATTGGGTATCACTTTTGAATATTATATACACCGATGAGCTCTCAGATTTCAATTGTATCGTTGAATTGTCTTCATTTCTACCACAATATCGCCCAATTAGATCACCAGTTGGACTGTTATCATGAAACTCTACATAATCTCCTGTTACCGAAAATATAGTGACAATAATTATTAAAATTTATGTTATTATTAATACTATTTATTTATATTACCTGAAGAGCAATCAGAATTGCCAACAATATCCATAAAAGTGATGTTCAAATCCATTAAATTATTATTGTATGTCGTTTTCAATAGATAAGTACACTCCATATTATTAGTATAATTATTTGGATAATTAAATAAATCAATTGATTGATAATATGTTATCATATAAGTGCCGCCGCAGTCATTGATCTGAATTTTGGCCTTAAAATTGACTAATTGTTCGGTGTTTGCCGTAACAAAACGGACAAACATATAACTACCGGAGCTTTTTATACTATTGGAATATTGAGGCGGAACACAGTATTTATCAATGAGTGCCGATACGGCTGTCCCTCCATCGCGTATCTCAACAAACTCAAGAGTCTTATTGCATCTCCAACTATAAATTGATAAATTATATAAAAACTGGTATCAATTAGTTTAATTAAATAATAATTATATAATAGATACGTTGGTGAGCTGTCATATTCAAAGTCTAGACGGATATTAGTGTTGTGAGGACTCATTACAACCCAATCACACTCCATGTTATGCGGTGGTAGTAATGGATAGTTTGGTGACATTATCTCAATCATTGTGTTGGTATTTGTTAACTCTATCTGTCCGCCACATCCTACAGATACCTCTTCATACAGCAAACGAAAGTCCTTTTAAATAATAAAAATAATTACTTGTTTTTAATTGTTTTTTAATTAAATAATAAAATTAACAAACTGTGTGCATATCTCTTCGGCCATAAAATTCAACCATTACACGATTGGATGCACTTTCGGGAATATTAGGTGGTGTGCGCCCACAATAACGCCCGCCTCCTAAGGGTGGTGATGACTTTTTGTTACCATTTCTTATCATTATATAAGAGTATTGACAGTTGTTGTTGTCGGAAATATTAATGGATTCAAACGTCAATTTAATAGTCCGACCCTCTCTTACTTTTATAGTCCAAATACAATTGACTGCATTTACTATATCATCAGTGGTTATATACCCTCGCGATCCATAAAGATTTGCGCCGCAAACTGATTGTACTGTAAGATCAAATCCGGTCAGATTATACCAATCATTGGTCCGGAAATTGATTCTCAATTTGCTATATAGTGGTGTATCTAATGATTCCCGATATCGACCGCATAATGTTTTGTTAATTTTCCAAAGTGTGCCCAAAGTATTGCGAGGCTGTAGAAGATAGACTCTATCGCCATAATAATTACAACTTCTGTTATTTCCCGGTAAAATCATATCCGTTATATTAACCATAAAATGATAAGTCGGTAATGTATGGAAAGTCCAATTAATGTTGAGGTTTGTTGTATAACCTGTAATATATTGTCACAAAATAGTTGACAAATTTTACATTAATAAGCAAATATTATACCATTAGGATATCCAGGACTTAATAATCTATATATCCCTGTCCTATTAAGTGCCATATCAAACGATGAATTATTTGTATCGATAGTCACCGGTTGTTTCAAAGCAAGAGCTGCCGTTTCATTGATGGCATTCCACGTTAAATAAAACTTTGCTGGCATTGAGTTAGTCATAATGAAATTAACTGTCAATGTGTTTGTAGTGCTAGATATGGTGTCGGGTATAGTATATCCACAATATCTGCCTATTTCTGGACCCGATTCTCCGATGCCATCTATAATGGATACATATGAAGTGCAGGTGCCGTAACTAGGAATTGATATTTCTGTAAATGTTATGCCAATGTATTTATTTTGCGATACTGTTATAGACCACGAAAAACTTGTATCTTTKGGTCGCATATCGTATGGCCAACCTTTGCATTAATTAAATACAATTATATTAATATMTTTTAAAAGTTTAAGTCTAATAATACCTGGATTAGCAATAGCTCCTGATTCGCCCACTAAATCGATTCCATGTTCGAGTGCATAACTGGCCTGAAATCCCGGCGCAGTACCCGATTGGTCGGACCGGAATTTAACCCATAGTATATGTGTTGAAGTAAAGTTGAGTGAAGGTATTTGTTGACCACAATAGCGACCCAATAGCGGACCGCTCGAGTCGTTTTCACGTAACTCTAGATAATCTGTATTACAATAATCACTTTCTTCAATATTGAATGTTATAAAATTGAAAGTAACTCTATTTCCCGGCGAAGCACTTATTATCCAAATGCACTCAGTTTCCAATGGATAGCTATTTGGATACGCCTACAAAAAATCAGTAATTATAGCAAACATTTGCTAAATTTATATTAAATTAATGATTACAGGAGATTGGAAAACACCCTCATGTGATGTAAAGGTTCCGCCACAATATGATGTCGATGTTGTATATGTGGCCCTAAACAGACCAAAGGTGTTAACAATATAAAGTGAATTTCCCAGTGATGTTATTGGTGGCGGAACTTTATCACCACAATATCTTGCCAATCAATGGCGAGGAAGCTGTTGGATTTGATCCACCATCTGTACCACCATTATCGCCATCACGAACTTCAACATAATTTTGTTCACAATCTGTACCACTGATATCAATGCGCGTAAATGTTAGGGTAATGTGTTCTTCAGGTTGAGAAGCAACTAAAATCCAGTGACAATCGGGTTTATAGACAGAGTGATGGGGAAAGTTAGGTGATGTTAGTTCTCCGACTTCATTACTGCCCAATACTTTTCTTCCGCCGCATAATGTTTTGTATGATATCTTAAACCCTTTTCCAACTGAAAATCCGTTGGCTTTCATTCTCATATAAACCTTATTACTGGTACTTCTAATAGGATTAACAGCTGGAAGACTTGTACCGCAATGTTTTATAATTAATGGGTCACCACTTGATGAGCCATCATATATGGCTAAATAGCTGTCCGTACAGTTAACACTTAAAGGTATACCAAACTCTTCAAATTTCAGTTCAATGTCGTGAAGCCCTTTGATATCAATTGTATACTCGCAGTCATCATTTGAATCATAATTTAATGGAAACTTTGGTGATGTTATGGTTCCGGTTTCTGTATTATATATAGCACTACAAGAAGCAGCCATCACTTGAAATGAGGCCATAAATCCTCGTCCTATTTATCAACAAAAAAATATTTTAATTTTTTAAATCATAACTATTACTTTCATTACCTGAAACCGATGAATCTGTCCTAAACTTAACAGTCATTGATCTACCCATTGAACTGACCGTTTGAGGCGATTCAATGCGATGACATAAATTAAGAAGTTGTGGTGATGTCTCATCGGGACCACCATGGACATGTATATAATCAAAACTACATCCCTGGACACCTTCTATATCAAGTGTATATACTGTTAAGTGTATTGAATAACCATAAGAGGCCTGGATGTGCCACAAACATTCGGTGTCGTGAGGATATCCATTAGGATAGTTGGGTGACATAAGTTCGCCATTATTTTTGTTAACAAAATCGCCGCCACAGCCGACACTAACCCATTCAAATCGGAACCCAATGTGAGCATCAAAAGCGTCGGTCACGAAGTTTACTAATGCATTGTTGGTAGTGGTGTTGAAGGGAATCGGCAATTGATTAGATATACCACAGTATTTGGCTATTTGTGTTGAATTGTTGATCTCAGGATAATAATTGGATATTTTTAGATAATCGTATTGACAGTTCATATCGGATTCAATGACCATTCGTGAAAATGCAATTGTGATATTATTACCCCGGGGGACATTAATACGCCAGGTGCAATTTGCATTATTATTATAGGGTTCCGGGAAGTTCTACATTATTTGTAATAAATTTCTCAAAAATATTAAACATAAAAATCACAAATTATTTCAATCAACTTACGGGACTCTCAATGACACCCCTATAACCCGACAAAATAGTCGAGCAATTAATTTGATAATTCAATCTAAATCCGCGACCCGTCTCTGAAGTATCCGTTTTAAATTTGATGTACATTACGTTAGACTTTGATTGAACCAAATGGCTATTCATACGAGAATTACAATACTTTCCTAATGATGGCGACCGATCAGTATTGCCGTCAAACACTTCCAGATAATCATAACGACACGTTGTATGGGCTTCAATGTCTATATCAGCAAAAGTTAATGTTATGGTCGACCCTTGAGAAACCCTAATAAGCCAAACACATTCAGCATTATGACTATAAGGTTGTGGATAACCAGGACTTTCAATAGATCCCGATTGTGAGGTGAGTGTACCGCCGCAACCCGTTGTTCCGCTATTGTATGTAATTTCAAATCCCTTAGCGTTTCTACTGTTGTCGGACTTAAAGCGGAGAAATAATACATGACCTATCAATGGATGTTAAAAGCATATTATTATTTCAATTAATTTATTCATAAATATTAAATATTTTGACAAACCATGAGATGTTATTGTTGGAGGAATGTTTGTACCACAAAAACTGCCAATCAATGGTGATCTCTCTTCTCTACCATTTCTAATCTCAAGAAAATCGTAACGACAACCGGAAACTCCTTCCAGTTGAAAGTCGGTTACATTTAAGACTATTTGTCTCCCATTGTCAACTTGTAAAACCCATATACATTCCCGGTTTGGTGGATATCTACGATTTGGATATCCTGGTGACCGTATTATTCCCGAATCGGTAAAAAAATTACCGCCACATGAATGGCTTAGATCTAAGAATGAATAGGCGGCTGCAAATCCTTCCTGTGCTCGCAGAATATTTGACACTTTAAATGTGATAAATAGTTGATTACCACTTGACGTCAGTATTGGTGGTAATCTTGAACCACAATATTTGCCAATCACTGAATAAGTTGAATCCCTGATCTCCACATAATCATCGCTACAATTGGTTTGAGCTTTCAATGCAAACATTGTAAATGTAAGCTTTATAGCAAACCCAGGATCAGTCCTCACAAGCCATGAGCATTGGGTACCACCCTGTGTTATACTACTTGGACTTGATATTACGCCATGATTTGTGGTGTAGACACCTATTATCACATACCATTAAATCAGTATTTGATTAACTATCGTATAAGTTAGACACTATTATTAAGTAGTACCTCCGCATCCAATCTCAATACTGGTATAATTAGCATAAAAGCCTTTATTGTTGTTTGATCCATCCGTACCAAATTTCAACAACAATTCATTAAATTTAGATGTTATCGGATCAGGTATAACAGTTCCACAATATTTGCCAAGTGATGTACTATTTTCACCCGATTCTTGAATCTCAAGATAATCGTATGCACAGTCAAGTGATTCCTCAATATTAAAGTGTTGGAAATTTAGTTGAATCAAAAATCCGACCGGAAGTACAATATGGTAAAGACATTTGCGGTCAGATGGATAGGAATCGGGAAAGAATGGCGATGTAATCACTCCATCCATATCTATATATAAGTTTGAAAATATTTTTATTTATTATTTATAATTACAATATACTCTTTGATATATTTATATACTTGTATAAAGTCCTCCACAAACGGTTGTCTATAAAAATAAAAATAATATAAATTTACACATTATTTAACATAAAATAAACTCTTAATTAACACGACATACATATTCAGCTCTAAATCCTTGTCCTGTCTGTGAGACATCAGCTTTAAATTTAATCCACAATTTATTACTGTTTGAAACAATAGGTCGCGGCATTTGTTGACCACAAAGTCGGTTAATTAGTGGTGACTCACTATTATCACCCTCTCTGATCTCCAGAAAGTCAAAAGAGCACTGATTATGACTTTCCAAATCAAACAAAGAAAACTTAATTTCAATTCTCTCCATTGGATGTACTCTTATAATCCAATCGCAGTCGATATTGTTTTCATATCTATTTGGAAAGTTAGGTGAACTAAGGGTACCCTTTTCTGATGGTAATAAATAATTAATTTAATTAATGTTTACTATATATTTAAGTAATAAATACCTGCAGTCAAAGTCCCCCCACAACCCGGTATTCCCGCAACTGAAGCATATGTTATGTGAAAGCCATTGTCATTAAATGAATCGTCTGAATGAAAGTGCATCAAAACATAGGCGCCGGCACTCGTTAGTGGTGCCGGAGTTGATGTGTTACAAAACTTTCCCAAAAGTGGATCACTTTCTCTTTGACCATCAAATAATTCAATGTAATCAAAACCACATGTTAGGTGTGCCTCGATTTGAAGTGTGGCAAAATGGAACTGGATCCTTTTGCCCAATGGCACCCGTATTAACCAATAGCAATCTCTATTGTGGGGATATTTTCCCGGATATCCGGGAGAATTGACTGATCCATAATCTTTGGGTTCGAGTTCTCCGCCGCAAACTATTGCCAATTAATAATTATAAAATAAAGTTATACTAAAAATTTTTATAAATTTTTTATAAATTAGAGATCAAATAAATACCCTAATCCTAATCCTAATCTTAACCCTAACATTGACACCAACACTAACACAAACCTGGATCAGTTGTATTCCAATCAAATTGAAATCCTTGATTACCCACAGAATGGTCAGATTTAAACCATATATACAACTGATGATGTGTTGCCACAATATTTCCACCAAAAGGTAGTCTAGTGCCACAAAATCTGCCCAAATTATGAGAGCCGGCATTAGGTCCGTCATTGATTTGCAGAAAATCATACGAACAATCATTGGTGTACTCGATATTAAATGAATGGAAAGTTATGTTAAGAACTTTACCACTAGTTGTGGTCAAACCCCAGGCACAGCTAACTTGATTGGGATATGTTGTCATCCGATCGATTGGAAAACTAAAAGTTCCCACTTCGCTATTCAAAGAGCCCCCACATGTCTGTCTCGGATCTGAACAAGTTGTTCCCCTCCATTGTGAAGTACAAACACACAGAAAACCACTGGTTTGATCAGTACAGGTACCACCGTTTTGACACGGATTGGACAGACACTCATTTATCTCTTGTTCGCATAAACTTCCAGTATATCCGGAAATACAGACACAAGTAAACGAATTACCATTTGGAAGACATGATCCATGACTACATGGGTTATTATCACAAGTTGTACCCGTTTGAGTCACACATCCATTAAGTCCTACACCATTACCAACATAACCTCCTGGACACCTACACTCTCGGAAAGCAGTTGAAATGGCCATATTTTCATAGCACTGAGCCATTGGATGACAACCACCATTATTCACACGACAGGTGCCCACAAATTGACACGTAGTTCCTACCGTATATAAAATAATAGAGGGTTAATATAATTATTAATACATAAAACATGTTAAAACATACCGTCCCCATTATAGCCGGGTGGACAAGCAGAGCATATTCTTGACCCAATTGTGTTAATACATTGGACACGAGGTGCTACAGAACATCCACCATTGATTGTCTCACATTCATTGATATCATGACAGTAATAACCATTTCCAGTGAAACCGGGAGGACAGGGCCCACAAAAGAATGTGCCTGGTAAATTAATACATTGCACAGTGGGGTTAGTTGAACAATGGGGTGTTCCCTCAGTGCATTCGTTGATATCCACAATACACGCGGGATTTTGACCGGTCGATGTCCAGCCCTTTATTAGTTAAATCAAAATAATAATAATAATTATGAATACATTATATAGAAATACCTGATCACAAATGCAACGATAATTTGGTGAACCGGCAACACTTCTTTGTTGGTTAACACACGTCCCGTGACCACAAAGAGCCTCATTAGTAGCCGATGAACAGTCATCGTGAGGTGATGTACAATGTGTGCCATACCAGTTAGCCGTACACATACACCGGTAACCGCCGGCATTGTTAATACAAGTGGCACCGTTCTGACAGCCCAATTCTGTACCGTAAAAACGTTGACATTCATTGACATCTGTATCACATGTCGGTCCCTAAGTATATAATTAATGGTCATTATTAAGAGTAGTTATATTTATATATGACATGCACTTACTTCCCAGGCATCGATGCACTGACAGATAAATCCATTATAGGTATCGACACACGAACCACCATTCCTGCACGGGTTACTCTGGCACTCATTTGTTTCTAAAAGCTATCAATAGATTGTATAAAAGAAAAAAAAATTATCAAATTTGCTAAAATAATTTTATATGTAATATCAGAATAAAATCAATTAAACTAAGATTACTATGAATTTAGTTAGTGTTTTGATTGTAATCTTAATCGGAAAGTAATGTTTAATAATAAAATATCAAACGAAAGCAAACCTGAGTTAACCGGTTGAGTGATGTATCGATTCTCTGTATTTTTCTAAGAGTTCGCCTAACAGTGATTGGAGACATAGCATTACTACCGGTGCCTAACATACGATTCAATTTATTGGTACTATCATTGAATGATGTGTGTTGTGCTCTCAATACGGCTATAGTAGTGATAACATTAGCCATTTGGGTCTTTAATGTTTCCACATTATCTTGTATTTGACTAACTTTACTGTTACTTAAACCCTCCAGATTAGTGTCTTTGGCCAACTCGGCTATTCGGGACAAGTCTTGTCCATCGATCATCACTTTACCGCCGACACCTGTCTTGAAGTTAATATCCTTATTATTGGCAGTTTCAAAGAATATGTGACCATCTTTGACCACTATTTTAGATCTAAAAATATAATTATTTTGTTAAATAAATTAATGATTTTATTTGATTTTATTATAAGCTTACTGTCCATCAAAAGGATCGATAAAACTGTTAGAAATACAGCAAATAATTGCTATAAACAATACAAATAAACTTAATCTAAATTTACTTTTAGACCTCATTTTTTATTAATTCATAATTAAAAAACAAGTTTAAGTAAATATTTAATTATTAACTTAAAAAAGTATATAATTGAATGCAATACAATCGTATAATGAAATAATCTATTGGAGAGCGGTATCAATGAATTCAATGATGATGTAGGCGTTAATCATGTTATCCGATATGTTAGTTACGGTTAGATTTCGGTCATTAATATCTGTCCGCATAATTAACAACACCCTCTCTCTCTCTCTCTCTCTCTCTCTCTCTCTCTCTCTCTCTCTCTCTCTCTCTCTCTCTCTCTCTCTCTCTCTCTCTCTCTCTCTCTCTCTCTCTCTCTCTCTCTCTCTCTCTCTCTCTCTCTATCAATGATTGACAGATCATTAATGAAAATTAATTGATTTTCAATAACTTGTATATCAATATTAAGTCTCCAAAATATGTCCAAAATAGTTATAACTTATAACCATATTATGTAATTTTTATTAAGTATCAAATAACAGTTAAGTTAATAATTTTATGAACAGTCATAAAAATATCTTAAATATAATGTTCAGTAACTTTTGATTTTTTTCCGAGAAATAGTGGGTCGAAAAATCAGAGAGTCTTAAACAGCGGCGATGCTATTAAATTCAATTTTCTGGTCAACAATATGTTGGATTTAAAAGTGACCAAGGGCAATGTTGTTGATAATTTAAAACTAAACAAGATTGTAATTGGTCATTTTTTAATTAATTGAATGATTGGTTATATAATATACAATCGACTGTTAAAAAATTGTAAAAATGATAGTCGACTGCAATTATCTGACCAATCATACAATTAATTAAAAAATGACCAATTACAATCTTATTTACTTTAAAATTATCCACATTGACCATGGTCACTTTTAAATCCAACTTATTGTTGACCAGATAATTGAAATTAATAGCATCGCCGCTGTTTAAGACTCTCTCTCTCGAAAAATTGTAAAATAATTAGATATTTTAGTTGAAACGATTTAAAACATAATTTTCAATTATTCAATATTTACCGATACTTTAAAATTTTTATTATTTTACATTAGATTTTTTTGATAGTTATGTTAATTGATTTAATAAAAAATAATATAAATATATATAATATAAACATTATTAAAAAATATTATACAGTTTATTAAATTATTTTATTTTCAATGAATTTAATTGATATGAGTAGTCATTAGATATCAAACTTTTCAATACAAAAATTAAGTCCCTGTTCTTCGTATTCTTTTTTAGTAATACAAAGTCTACTCATGAGATCACTATTTTGTGCCAAACATTTGCCGCTCTCCCAGATATAAGTGATTGGGTTTTCGGGAATACATACGTTAACATCATATAAATGAGGAGCCATTGAACGGATATCCGTATAAATTCGCTCTTTTATACCTTTAAAACAAGCATTTCCTCCTAAAACATAAATCAATTAATTAGTAAACAATTGGATAAATACCACTAAAAGTCGGATTTAGTACAAACCTATGACAAGTATATTCTCATATAAATGTGGTCTCACTTCTTCACGTATACTGTCTATTGAGTGACCAATAGTATGTGATATACCGATCTGATCGATGTCCACATCGCTCGGATAGAAGAGCAGTTCTGGCACTTGAAAGCGTTCGTTATTCATACGAATCACTTGATGATCAGTTATGGGTGATTTGTCTTCAGGATTGCGTACATATCCTCTCTTAATAATGGTATAGTCAGGCAAAATATAATCGCGAACTATTGAGTTCTTCCTTGTCCTGGATATCTCTAAATCCTTCCAAAACTGATTTGATACATAACAACAGTCCTCTTTCATCTGATTCACTACATATGTCTCATCCAAGACATTCAGCTGTCTGTAAGATATAATATCTTTCAAGTGATTTGTGAGCGCTTTGCCGCCGACATCTATCCTGCGAATCGATTCAGTAATTCTTTTGTTTTTAATAAACGGAACGATATGTGTAAACGAGAATCCAGTGTCAACCACAAGAGTGGCCAACGAAGTCTTGTTTGTCTCTGAATACTTATGTGCGGCCAAATGTGGACCACTTGTGCGCAATAGACTCGCAAAGCCATACTCTTCATACAAGATTTCTGTTAAATTTTCTTGAATTGGTTTAAAATTAAGTGTCGGTTCTGTTATGATGAGAGTGGTGTCTGAATAGTCGACTTTGAGTTTGGTTTTAAAGATATAGTCCCAGATTTGTCGCTCTAAATCATAGTTAATTAGATATCCCTTTTGAAATGGTATCAAATAAAACATCTGAGAATAGTCTTTGCATTCTTCCATCTGATCGCCAATGAATGGACGCCGCCTTTCGCTCTTCACTTTTGTAATACAATTTGGTATAACTCTTAATGAATAAAAAGATGACAACAATAAAAACAATGGTCAGTCTTAAGATGTCTTAAGATTTCATTAGTTCATATCAAAAACAGACTTACTTGGGATAGGAATCGGTGGCGAAACCAACTTTGATGGCGTGGGCGCCGTTGTCGACCACCAATGTTTGAGACATTGTTTGGCACCAAATAAGAGATTGTCAATCAATTTAGATGTCTTTAGATGTGATGTTTAAAAGTGATTTGATTTACAAAACAATAGTTAAATCATATGTTGTTATGATTTAAAAGTCATCACTATTTAAATGTTGACTATTTTGCGGCAAATAGATTATACACAAATGCAGACTCCATGTGTTGGTACAATAAAACAGTGTAAATATAATACATTTACATACATTTAATGTACAATACAAATATTTTTTCAATGGAGTGAATATTTGTGGTTATATTAACAAAAGCATATATGAATCTAAACAATGATTGAAAGTGCGCTAAACTTAACACATAATTATCACTGAATTTGATTTACATTAAGACTTGACCACCGATTATGACTACAAACGAGTCAATTGGCGACAAATTTATCTCTCATCGCATGTTATCTTCATTTGATATCAACGATGAATTACTTCAGAAACTTAATACAAAAGGATTTACTCTAAAATCAGAGATACAGGCCGTCAGTGATGACACCTTAAGATTGATGTGTAACTTAAGTGATGAACAATTGAATACAATCAATGAATTGATCCGAAAGTCACACAAGACTATCATTAATCACTTAACGGTTAGTCATATAAGAAAGTTATCGGGCAATCGGATTCACACGAGTTTACCATCACTGGACATTGCACTCGGAGGTGGTCTTGAAGTGTCAAAAGTGACACAAATTTGTGGTGAAGGAGGCGTTGGAAAGACACAAATCTGGTATCAATTTGTAAAACAGATATTATATATAATATGACATGAATTGACTGAAATGTATATATATTTATGAAATAGTATGCAATTATGTATTACCGTTCAAATACCCGAACAATTTGGTGGTCTTTCGTCTCACGCGTTATATATCGATACGGAAAACAATTTAAGACCCGAGAGATTGCAATCTATGGCCGCCTTTTGTCTGGAATCATATCCTGAGCTTAAACAACGATATTGTGCCGAATCTATGGTATCAAATGTTCACCTCTTCTCGTGTAATACAAACTCAAGAGATCTTTTTGAACTAATAATGAGTCGAATCGAGCATTTTCTCGATCACCACCAAGAAGTAAGACTTGTTATCATCGATAGTATCGCTAATCTATTCAGATATGACTATAAAGGCAATGAATTTCAACGAGAATATGAAATATCACAAATGGGTCACAAAATTAAATCTATAGCTCATCGCAAAAGAGTTGCCGTTAGTCTTAAAAACATTTTAATGGTTTTATTATTTACTGATATTTTTAATTTTTGGGAATATCTTTATTTTTAAACAGTTCCTCATTTCAAATCAAGTAACTTATATTCCTGTTGAGGGTAAAGACACACCAGCTTTGGGAAAGTTATGGCAAACTTATTGTTCCACAAGTTTTCTAATCAAAAGATACGGTGAATACAGAAAGACATACACTTTAAAGTCAGTCAACATCGAAACGGACAGACATTTCTTCTTTCAGATAACGGTATTATTAACAATACTATTGATTGTATTTTTTAAATTTATTATATATTCTTCAGAAAAATGGTATCAAAGAGGTACTTCCAGATGAAGTTGTTGATGCAATAATAAACAATAATAAATTATAAAAGAGTAACATAAGTAATTTAAGCAATATTACCGGTAATTGATTTTTTAATAATATCAATGATTTAGTCAACATATATCCTATTATTATATTATTACCAGTATTTATAAATTATAAGTTATAATATATTTATGACAATTAGAAGTCATTTATTTCAATTTCATTTAATTTTATAATTTTCATTAAATATCCAGTTTAAAATTTATAATTATTTATAACAACAAAAAAAACATTTGTACCAGTATTTTTTTAGTATATTTGTAAATTAAAATGACCGGTACACTATAGCAGTATTGTATTTAAAAACAAACAAACAAAAACAATTATTTATAATAAGATTACCGGTAATAATTTGATTTTGTTTATAAACCTTAACTATAATATATTACAGTAACTTAATTTTAAAAATTTGTATTATTACTATCAAATGAATAAAAATGAGTTTTGATTGCAATAATAAATTGACTAAATTAACAAATATTGCGCGTATTATCACATAAAGTAAATGTTTAAAAAGAGATTATAAGACAATTGAATCAAATATTCAATGAATTTGATATAAAATAAGGCAAATATATTAACGTCTTCTTCTCTTACGAGTTGTCGTTGTTTTGCGTATATTAGGCACAGATTCAACACATTGGATGAGATTTGGCTCAATTTGAATAGATTGAGATTCACAATCATTTTCATTTAGTGGAACCGTTTCGTCGACTGAGTTATACTTCTGCGTCCATTCTTTCCATTGGTCTTCATAATGAAGACGCCAATTACTCCATTGTTTGATATCCATTTGGTTAGTATTTCCATAAATCTCCAGATACTTGTAGTATTGATCCCGAATAGTATTAAATGCTATACTGTTAGCAAACGGCAATTGACTGATGGGATCGAAATAACGCGCCGGTAGGTTAGTCACCGGACAGATATCATTTGGCGTCTCTTTTATCTTTGTCTTTGACAATGAATTAATGAATGAATCAAATGTCTGATTGTCACTAAATGTAATGAATGTTCGCGAATGTTGTCTATTATCCGACTGAGAACTGCAATCATCGACTAAACTGTTGTCGATTTCTTGTATCAAAGGCATTGCTATTGAATTATATCTAATAAAAGGTCCATTAATCACATGTTTATCAATAAATTTAGATGTCTTCTGATTTTTCTCGAACTGATTTCTCTGATACTCTTCAAGTGATTTCAAATTTTGTTTTTCAGTGATTAACGCCTCTTCTAATAACTCCTTTTGTGTCAATACTTTTGGCACAATTTTTTCTTTAAGAGGTTTGGATTTATTTAAAGGACTGTAAATAGATTTATTTAAATCTCCAGTTTTCAAAACTTTAGGATTCCTTAATTCACGTCTTGTAATGATTTTTCTCATCTCAGGGATGTCTAACTCGAGCGGAACTTTCTCTATAATTGCACTTTTAATCTCAGATTTAGTTGACTTCTTATTCTTGTTGGTCTTCTTCACCGTAGCGACAGTTGTTATGCGTTTTCTTTCACTTTTATTTTTATCATCAACTTCTGTATCACTTTTCGGTTCGTCATTTTCATCAATTGAAAAGTCAGAATCAACGCTATCGTCACTATCAGTGGTATCACTATTGAAGTCCGTGTCGTTGTCATCCTTTAATTATCGAAACAATAATTGTTAGACAATTGAAATGTAATTAAATATCAATTGATAAAAGACCTCTTGAAACCCGCCGTAAATTTTGTCATAAAACTGGTCGACATATTCTTCAGTGTCCAACAGCTGTGACATCTTTGAACCGGCATTTGGCCGACGAATACGATTAAATGAAAGCGACATTGAATGCGATGGGAAATAATCAGATGATGTCTACAATGGGTTTCAGATGAATGGCTAAAGTGAATCAAATCAACAGCAAATCATCATTAGATGGTAATCAAAGTCAAGACAATAAATACTTACGTTTTGTCACTGAAATCACTTTCAATCAGTCTTTACATTAGAGATGACATAATAACGGAAAACAATAGCAATACTAACAATACATAAGTTTAGTAAATAAAACAGTTATGCATTGCATTGCTATTCAAATGTCACGTGACTCGAGTGTTGACAATATTATGCATATTGTAGTTGTTTTGTGCAGTGATTGACATTTTATTTGGTATTTTCGGTGATTTTGCGGACAATTTTAACGAGTGAATGATTTATTGAGGACTATGTCGGCCACAACTGTACCCGAAACTGTCTTAATCGACCTCAAAGTAGACCGATCTCTATTGAATGCAAACTTTGACTCTTATAGAGTATCGATTGATCCGATGGTAACATATAGTGAATCATTGGCCAAAAATAGTATCAATGAATTTAAACTATCTGAAGATGACTACAGCTATATTAGTTTATCGATGGCCTCACAGTTTAACCATTTGTTTGCCGACCCCTATTGTCCGCAAACCGTATTTCTGACCACAAGTAATGGTCAGATTGTATGTGTTGGCATTGAGCTGTTGTCCGGCAAACTAAGTCAACCGAAAGTTGTCTACAGTATAGCCGATTTTGAATCGGGTCTCATATCGCTTTCATTTCCCAACAATAGTTTAGCGCTAATCGCGATCTCAAACCCGAAAAAGCGTGAACTTTATGTGGTGTCCACTCCTAGCCGGTCGGCCACTGAACCATGGATTCACTTAATGACTATTGATTTGTCTGATTATGAAATAAAAAATTTATTTCAACTTACATGCAGTCAATCAATCGATATGTTTAACAATTTTATTCAAATGGATTGCATATTGAGTTTTGTTGACAACTGTGAAGAGAAAAACTGTGAAGAATTGGACGAAAGTTCACATAAGAGTCCATTTTGTCTTATATTGAATTGGTTGACAATTATTGGAAATATTGATGAATCTAATACTTGGAAAGTTAAGAGATGTCGGCGACTCAAAGGTAGTGATTGGCCTAAATATCTAGCATTTGATTTAGTCGACACTCCCTATGTTTGTATGATTTCGGAAAAAGATTTTAAATTTATTTATGATTCAGACAAACCTATTGTTGAATCTGAGTTGAAAATAAATATCAAATCTGAACCAAATATTTTATATACATATTGTCAATCACTTGAAGATATTTGTGTGACATTTAAACTGCCCGTTCAAATCACAAAACATGATATATTCATTGATTTAAAGCCCAACAAATTTTTGATTAAAATCAAAGAAGTTATTGAGTTTGAGGGCGATCTCTGGCATACAATTGACTCGAATTCATCTGTTTGGACAATTCAATCACAATCAGACTATCAATTGCTTGAAATAACTGTCAATAAATCAGAAAATGGTCTCATTTGGCACGAGTTTATTAAAGATGATAAACAGGGTCAGGAAATTATCAATAAACAATTGGTAGAAGAGATACAACAAAAGTTAAAACATTTGACGAGTGATATGTCTGCTAATGATAATGACTTTCATAGCGATGTTTATAACCCTATGGGACTCGAAGAATGTGATTTTACTGATAATTCATTAGTTTTTAATCGATATAATGGAGACTCACATTTAATTAGCCATAAAATAGACTTAACTGGTAGTCAATGGCTTTTTACAATTGCAACTCAGAAATCATTTAATAGTGATTGCAGTGAATTACCTTATTTTGTGGTCCGACACGATGTGGATGCCATTGTTTGGTCACCTCAAAGTGCACCTGAAATTGAACAATTTAATGTCACACATGTGGCCACATTTGCCGCATTTGGTTATGTTTCGGCTTCCAAAACAAATACACGATTCATTGTCGCTCCCGATGACTGTAGTTATGTTGCCATCGCTGATGGTGTTCGACACATATATCTCTATCGACAACCGGTTCATATAAAAAGTGGTGAACTCAGGAATAGAAAGACTGGAAAAGATATACAAAAAGTTGCAAAACAACACGTTATCAGTTTAAATGACTGTCATTTTATTCTTGGTATTCATGCCATCAATGATAGCATTTTTGTCTTGACTAACGATAAGATATTTCTAATTAAATTATAGACTAAATATCATAATATTTTTATAGATTTAATAAAAAAATATTGAGTGATAATAAATTTTATTTATTGATAATATTTATTAATTACAAATTTTGACAACTTTAACTCATGGATTTTTTTCGGATAATTGGATTAAATAATTACCAGTAAATTATCTATAATTTATTTATTGTTTATAGGGTGGATCGCGATCATAGCATCGACCATATAATCCCAGTGATAATATTGAGTTATCAAAATTATTGAGACTTAATGTCACATCTGATCCAATGTGACCATTATTATTATATATCCATTTATCAATGGCAACTGGTTTGTAGCCTTCAGTAGTAACACTCGGATATGTGTAGTTTGTGGTGAATTTTGCACTGATTTTCAAACTCTTAAATACTGTTTGTCCGGATTTAATTGAATATGTATTGCAATTCTGATCGTTACATCTAAAGACACCACAAAACTCTTCACTTAAAGGATATTGAATTTGTTGTAATCCGTGTCCACTTCTATTGGCCACTAAAAGCCAATAATATTCAGTTTCCAATGATTTCCTATTTATCACTTCATAATCTAATTGACAACAAAAGCCATTATTACAAACTTCTACTGAATTGTGTTCATCTTTTAGTCTAAGAAGTGCTGAATTCTTCAAATTTAAAGTAACGAATGGTTTGTATTGCGATGTATCGATCAAATCCTTCATTTCAATGGTTTTGTTATATCTATTATTAAGACATTTTGCTTCAGTGTTTCTGCTATCGACAGGAATGTCTGCAATCAAGAGTTGGGCCCTTTGGCCAAACATATCCGACTCTATTAGAGGTCCGTTTTGTCCCGAATATATACCACTACCGATTGAGCCTAAGAATTATTTATATACATAGCGGTAATATAGTATTTTATAAGTAATATACAGTACTTGTATGCGACTAATCCTTACCAGAAAGAGGATTTTGCATATCAGCGGCCAATAAATTGACTTTATTAGTGAAGGCCCAGCCGTGTTGTAACTGATTTGCTGTCTTAAATGGTAACTCATCGAACCACCAAAGAGGAAACGCCATTGTTTGTACACCATATCCATTAATAAGACGAGAGCCAGGATTTTCAAACATTATATCAAAACAAATGAAAAGTCCTATTCTTCCGAAAGGAGTGTCGAAATAGGAAAACTCTGATTTTGGCGGAACGTTATAATATAGTTCATGAAATAATTGCATTTTGTGATACTTGGCTACAATTGCACCGTCCGGTCCGAATGCAACCGCTGTATTAAACAAATAATGGCCATCACTTGGACACTGAATATCTTTACTTTTATCACAGTTAACGCGATCACCATAATCGGCCACAATATACAATTGATTTGTTTTAGCGAAACAACTCAATCGGTATGTCTTAACTCTGTCCTTAAACTCTATCGGGTTATCGCACGGGACAACAGTAGTCTTTTTCGGGTCAGGAATCTGTTCAGATATTTCTGCAATTTTAGAGCGCGGGTATCGTGTGTTAATAATGGCATCTTCAGGAAATACCAATATTTTAGCGCCCTTTAGATACAATCATTAAAATTGTTGACATTTATTAGATTTCATTACTAAATAATAATATATACCTCATCTGCAGCTTTTGCGGTCACTATTTCAAAGATATCCAAATTTCTATTCATTATATCTATCGGTTTTTCTTTTGCCAAATCGCCGAGTGGTAAGTGTTGATAAACAGCAGCTCGAAAACAATCATCATTTTTACATTTAATAAAATATTTATTCAAAATTAATAAAAATAAAAACAAATAAATTGTTTTAATAAGTAACATATTAAGTGGTATCAAAATTATTGAAATTTAATAATAAAAAACTTAAAATCAAGTGTTACTATGGAGTAATTAATTGCAGTCTATTATATATAAGTATTACCGTATGACTGACATGAGTACTGGAAAACATGTTTTACATTATTTTTTCAACACATATCTAATCTAACTTTTTATCTCAATATTAAAGTCATGAACTTCTTATATGAAAGTTTAGGATATGTTTTATTGAATGCGATTATATTACGGTAAACATAATTTAATTTTTAAAAAATATACAGTAAATGGAAATATAAAATTATTCGGTGTCTGAACTCAAATCAACGACAAAATCTTCATATTTGGGTTTTTTTGCCGGTGTTCTCGGAGAACGTCTGCGACTGGAACTTCTGGAAGATTCTTGAAAGTCTAATGAGCTTTGTGTAGATCTCGGCTCGCTTTTGACAGTCACACCGCGACCACGGCCTCGACCTCTTGATCTAACAGCTCTACCTCTGCTACGAATGGCAGTATTGTGACTACTAGTCTGTGGTATAGACATGACTTCATTGACAGGAAGGGTTGTTTCAAATTCCACTTCAGATTCCGCACCATTTTCATCACCATTTGTTACTTCAGTTTTTATTGATTTAGCTTTTGTTCGGCTTTCGGCTAAAATTTTGATCAAATCCTGCGAATCACTATTGACTGTATTTTCATTTTTAATTCGTCTGATCTCATCTCTGATATCTTCAACTTTAAGATCTTCTAAAGACAACAAACATTGTTTCATATTTTCTTTCTGAGCCGAATAGACATCATTGATGGCTTCAGTCGATTCCTTTTCCACTAACTCAGTGACAGCAAGAGTTAAGGCATTTTCTGAAAGAAGTCCTAATTTGTGGTTCGAGTCTTCAATTTTATCGAAATATTCTTTAATAATTGTCGTTAAATTAACTCTTTCGGTGATCACTTCATTATCTAAAATAGCTCTCATTTCATTGATATCAATATTGCCCTCCTCTTCATATACACGATTAACGCGTCGCTTCACGTAATGAATTATCTCAGACGGGTTGGCCACTCGTCCATTAAATTGTGCGCCAAACTGTGCTGAATGGAACTGGTGTTTGGAATCAGTATATTCAAGTCTTAGTCGAATTAACGGCAACTTTGGTTGTCGACTATCACCCGTGTGCTCGAGTCTAGCCTTTTGTATCATTTCCTCAACTTTGTCGCGACAATAATCGATAATCATTTCTTCATCGTTTTGAATGATATTTCGTTGAATAAGATCGTGAATATCTATTGATTCCCAAACAAATGGTCTCACAGTTTTCAATTTACGAGATCTTATCCGAAATTGCGGTGTTTTATTCATTTCGTCGAAGAAAACTTCGAGAAGACCAACGTGTTTGGGTAGAGCCTCCGCTTCGCATAGCGATGTGGCCACTGTAGAGCCCGGTTGGTAGACAAAGAACTGTTCCGTTTCATTATAATCACATTCTGGTCGTGACTCGTGTTCGTGACCCCAAATGACCAGTTGTGGTAAATCTGATAGAAATTTTTCCGGTAAATACTTAGTATTTGGATGTTTAATGCGATTCTGATGTACGACAACTATCTTAAACCAGTCGTCTTCATTAGTCTCAGGCATACAATAATTAAACTTATTGTCAGTGAATATTCTGTATAGTCTTTCTTCATTGACTGATCCCAAACCAAACAAAGCTATCTTACAGTTACTCTTTTCTAACAGAATCGGAGTCAATAGTATTTCGTCAACGTTTGTATATTTGCCAAAATAGTTGACGAGTCCCGCACTGGACAGTGTATCCAATGCTGTGATGTGATTCGGTCCGATCGGGTCGTCGTGATTGCCGTGAATGGTAAACACAGGCAATGATATGTTAAGATTATCGTCCAAATAATTGGCAAACTTTTTATCGTTCTTGTAATGAGAAAAATTGTCGGTTTGATCCGAAACTATACGGAACTGAATGGGTTTATCACCGAAACAATTCTCGCGAAAGAGGTTTACTGTCTTTTCCAAAGTGGCAAACGATGGCTTATTGTGATGAAATAAATCGCCGCCCAAAAGAAGTAGATCCACGTCTTCATCTTTGGCCATATGTAACACTTCCTCGAATGTCCGGAAAGAGTCATCGCCTGACAAATCAAGTAATTAATTTCAAATTATCATTCAATTAATACAATCAACGATTCAATCGATCAATCATTTGCGCCAAAACCACAAATACCTCTTTCGGGATGTCTTTCATTGTAACCAATATGAAGATCACTGGCAACGAGTATACGAAACGTTTTACTATAATCAATGTCAGACATGATATCAATGTGTGTCCAATGATCTCAATGTATTAATCTGTGGTTAATCTGATGACACTCTTCATCGATAATCATGTATACAATGTCTAACACTTGATGTCAATGAATGCAAAACAAAATCAACGATCACTTCAATACAAAATACAATACAAAGCATTGCATCACTTGAGTAGTGAATTACAGTATATATGAATGACTCTATTCATAGATTACGCATACATTTGCAATACTTTTAGCGCCAAACACTTGACTTACGGTAAGTGTAAAACATATTATTATTATTATAGTATTCAATATACACTCAAGTTATGCATATTTTTTTATCAAAATATTAATAATTCAAGTATAAATAAATCTAATTTTGTTTAACTTAACAATAAATCGATAAATTTTTTAACATTAACATATATCAAAAATATTAGAAAATCTTTTTAATTTTAATTTTATGTATTTTTCATATTTTAAAATTTATTGCTTAAATGTTTTGTCTCTAATTATAGATAATAATAATCAATTCTATACTTTAATAAACTACTGTATTATTACAGTACATGTACTCTATTCTACTCTATTTATTAATAGTGACGTCATTTATTATTACAGTCTATAACTGATAATAAAATGATATGATTTTTTGCACACAAATATATTAATAATACTTATAGTACTAATTAGTGTTGAGATTTTTATTCCCAAATCCCGTATTGTTATTACTATTTATTATTAATTATAATTATTTTGAAAACAAAACGACATAAAATCTTGTTTGACAACACTATTACTAATATTATTGAAACAAATATAACGTATTGTTATATATTTATAACGAGAGTCGTATGTATATACTGCGTGACATTCGTCACATATTTATAATGTTTTCATAGTATTGTTAATACGAGTCTAGAATTGAATGTTGTTTTCCAGTGTTGTCTCGATTTCTCAATAATACAAACAATTATAATATGTTTACTATATATTGAATGAACTGTTAATTGCATTCACTTTGAAATACATTTAGTGTTTTGTATTGATTAACATTTTGATAGTAATTATCATAACATTTGATGAACGCATACAATGGTATATAACAACACGCGTCACGCGCTTATACCTGTGATGGGCCACAAAATAGCATTGAAGACAATAGAGTTAGTGAATGACCAGCGAGTGGTGATCGGTCGGGAAAAGTCATGCGACCAACGCATCGACTCTATTGAAGTGTCCCGACGTCACGCTTATGTCACTCATGAAGATAACAATTGGTTTATCACTGACTTAGAGGTTAGTCTAACATAAAGATCATCCGTTATATTGCAATCAGATTTTGCCATTTGTCGGCTTTAAGTCTGAAACCAGTTATAAATATTTAGACTAATTTATAAAAGTCCTATATTTACAGCTTTAAGTAGTTTAACGATTAGTACTATTTTTGAGTTATGAAGGAGTTATGAGTTTATAACTGGTTTAAGACTTAAAGGACTCATTTGTTTCATAAAAACTCATTATTAGCTAATAATTAAAGCATTGTTTCATTTGATAACTTATTTAGAGTACAAACGGATTGTTCATAAATAGCATAAAACTGATCGCTTTTACGCCATATTGTCTGCAAAGTGGAGATAAAATATCGTTTGGACCGTTAGATCAATCGGAGATCATCTTTAAATATGTGGACAACTATTGTAACGATAAAAATGTGATTAAGAATAACAATAGTAGTCATGCAGTGAAAAGGAAAATGAGTGGCGATTGTGACCATCAATTAAGTCATTTGGTGACCAAACGTGTCTGCACCGAGTGGTCAGACCTATTGGATTCGGAACTCTGTTGCGCCATATGTAGTGAATTGTTTGTGTTTGCTGTGTCTCTCAACTGTGGTCACACTTTTTGTTTGTCATGCATTGAACAATGGAAACACTCAAGAGATGGTCTCAAACCAAGACATGACGACGGAAATGAAGAGTCGACCACTTCTCACGAAACACATTGCTGTCCCGTATGTCGCCAAGAGATCACTTCACAGAACAGAGTTCTAGTATTGGACAATACCATCGATCACATCATTGAGAAGTTGTCGCCCAAACTGTTTGAATACCGAAAACAATTAATTGCTGAAAGAAAACAATTGTATTTCAGCTAATTATTTATGCCATTCAATGGATCCTTCACTTCATTATTCAATACATCGATTTCATCATTTTGTTTATACTGTATTATTATATATAGCATTACTTTCATATTATATATAGTTCTCTATTATTTATCTCAGAAATAATATTTATTATTTATTTGTCATTTGTTTGTCAAAATTACATTATTACATAATATGCCACATTATAAATCATATGTTTATTTATTTAACRTGTTTTCTTTTGTTTAATAAAACATTTAATTTATATCAGATATAAATATACAATAATAAATTTATTATATCAAATTATTTTAATATAATGAGACAATATAATACTGTACTTATCAATTACGGTAAGTGAGTATAGATAAGTAAGTAATGATGGGTTACAAAATTATTATATTAATAATGAAATATTGTAGATGTACTACTTTAACATTATAAAGTACAGTATATTGCATAAAATCTCGGCTATTTACTACTACCACTAAAAGTGGTATAACTTTAAATATAAAAAATATAGAAAGGGGTGATATATATCATTGGAAAGGTTTTTATATACACTTTCCAATGATAATAAGCACACCATTCCTAATAGTGAGCGCGACCATTGAAAGTCCGCCCGAAAACATGACAACCGAAAAAAATAGGGGTAGTGTATGTGCTCTACACATAAATCACTGCTATTGCCCCCACCATCGCTAAAATAACCGAAATTATTTACCCGAATGGCGGGCTTACAGTTAAATTTTTTAAATTAATTATACATATTATTAATTATTATATACTTATTTATTAATTTTAAAAATTATTTTTTTCCTGTGATTTATTTATCGATTTTTATGAGCAGTTAAAAAAAGCCGAGATTTTATGAAATATACTGTACTATATAATACTCTATATTAATAGATTTAATAATTTAATGATAAAGTAATTGCGATTATCGCTCATATGCTGCTTACGCGATAACATCCAATAAAAAACAGGTTTTCAAACTTCAGTGAAACTATGTTTTTATCATTTAAAATATGGTTATAATGACTAAAAAATATATATTTTCAAGGATATAATGTTCTAATCTTTCCATTTTTTATAAATAGTTTTTTATTTATTAACAAAAAACATCACTTTATGTGTTATCTAACAATTTATTAGTGATTGAGACTTAAAGTTCAATAAGAATCAATAAAACTAATGATAAACTTTTAATAATAATAACTAATAAAAAAAGTCAATTTTATATTTATATTTTAATTGTAATAATAACGATAATGTAATTTTTAGACAATAATGTTATCCACAATAATTGATATAGTTTTTGCATTTCTAAACGTTTGTAATATTTATGTCTCATTTATTAGACAAACAATTAAGTCATTAATCAAATTGAGTTTTAATAAGTCATTATCATTGGCAACATATTTGTGTTTCAAATCAATGCGTTTATCTTTAGATGTCTTCATAGATATCACAGCTTTTGTGTTGACACCGTCACGAAAGGCAAAGGTTCTCCCGATTACAGACAGACTATTATTGCAATCGACACAAGAACTGACCGAACAAATCAAATTAGGAAAAGTATTGAAATAATATTTATAAAAATTGTCTTTTAATTAAAACAGTAATTTTATTTTAAATGTATTTCTCATATTTTTTAGTTAAAGAGTCAAACATTAGTGAAGGCATATATTGACCGAATAAAATCTGTTCAGCCGGTCATCAATGCAGTGGTCGACCAGAGATATACAGAAGCATTACTCGAAGCCATTGAAATTGATAAGAGAGTATTGCATGAACTTTACGGTAATGATCCGTTGATACCCGGAGTGTCCATTCATGACCAACCCTTACTTGGAATTCCATTATCTGTTAAAAATAGTATTGGAGTGGAAGGGATGGCTTTTGATGCGGGACATGAACCACGAAAAGGAGAAAAGAGTAAAACCGATTCAAAAGTCATTCAATCACTTCGAAAGGCCGGTGCTATTCCACTGGTGATGACAAATGTACCCGAACTGACTTCGTGGTGGGATTCTTCAAATAAAATTTATGGACAAACAAACAATCCATACGATTTGTCTCGTATTCCCGGCGGTTCTTCTGGTGGTGAGGCAGCTCTCATAGCATCTGCCGGTTCTTTAATAGGTGTGGGTTCTGACACGGGTGGTTCCATCAGAGTTCCCGCATGTTTTTGTGGAATTTTTGGTCACAGAACAACTCCTGGTGTCGTTCCTACTGACAATCAATTTCCTGCCGTTGATGCCGAGAAAAACACTATATTATCTGTCGGTCCAATGACCAGATATGCCAAAGATATTTTACCGATGCTTAAAGTAATGTCTAACTCAAGCCATAAATTGAAACTCAACGAAGATGTCGATCTGTCAAAAGTGAAGATTTATTATATGGAAGATAACTGGAATCCATTGGAAACTAGAGTTTCATCTGAGATAAAACATGCCATACGAAGAGTTGTCAAACATTTTCAACAAAAATATGGCAATTATACTAAAAAAATTTATTTTGATAAACTATCAGATGGTTTGCTAATTTGGATTTATTCTCTAAAACGAAAATCAAATGTATCGCCATTTGATGACAAAAAGATGACGGATGAAAATTATGATAAATTTCAAATGATTTTAGATTTGATTAAATATTTTTTTAATTTATCTGTCAATACATTGTCTACTTTAGTAATGAAGTCTCTCTTTGTGTTCACTCCAAGTATTAGTTCAGATTTTGGCCAAAATTATGTTCATTTGGGCCGTGAATTAAAGCTAGAGTTAAAACAATTATTAGGTATTATTTAATTTAGTTTTTTATATGTCGTTATCATAATTATTTTTTTTTGATTATTTTAAATAATTAGCTAAGGATGGGATTTTAATATATCCGACATACCCGGAACCGCCACCAAAACATATGTCAACAATTGTTAAACTTCCTAATATTTCCTATACGACTGCAATAAGTACATTAGGAGTACCGGTAACTAACTGTCCATTAGGTTTAACAAAAAGCGGATATCCAATAGGTTTACAGATTGTGGGTTCACCATTCAATGATCGCTTGACTATAGCTGTGGCCAATGAGTTAGAAAAGGCATTTGGAGGCTGGGTATCACCAACTAATATAGTTTGCTAATCATTTTAATTATTTATATTTTTTGTAGTGTATATAATAAAGTTTGATTTAATGTATCTGTTATTTAATAGTATGTTTAAAGCGTTTTCATGAATCACGATATACTGTATAATTCTAGTATATTTTTACAGATATTATATTATTATATTATATAATATCTGTTATTTTTGTAAAATATTCTTATACCGTAAGTTGAATAATTAAATTTTACATTTATGTTGTATAGTGTAGCTTATATATAATAACTAAAGCTAATATAAGATAAATAACAATTAATTAATTTAACTAAACTATTACAATATAACTAAATTTTAATATTAGTAATCTAATTAAATAATATTTTTTAAAATTATGTTAAACTTATAATTTACAACATATAAGACCAGATACTGTGGTTATTGACATAATTATTTTCTCAATATGTACTCTCACAACAACATAAATATAAATCAACAAATTAAACAATAGCTTCTTATACAGCATTTTATTATGTTTTTCATATGAATTTTTAAAAGTTTTCATAAATTAAATAAATCTATATTAGTGAGTTTTTTTGTAGTAAAAAATTTTTTATGTATTAAAATGTAATATTTTTAATATGCATATATGCAAAAATATGCAAACATTTATTATTATATTGTTTATTAATTAAAAATACCGATAATATAAAAATATTTAAAAATTACTCAAAACGCAAAAATTTATAAAGCAATCATTTTTTATAAAACTTGATAATAATTTTTAACGAAATGTTTTTAAGACATTTATTATGAAAATATTTTCAATTGTTTTTTAACTTTAAGATAAAAAGTCTATTTTTATATTTATAAATTTAATGTATTTTTAAATCAATAATCAATGTTTGTTGTATTGATTTTCTGATTATTTTGTATATTTTTACTCAATTATAAAATTTAGATAATTATGCTATTTATTATATGCTATCGATAAATAAAGATCTATAAAAATAATTACTAGTTTTGTTATTAGTTTTGACAGTAATTTAAAATTAATGAAAAACAATTAATTTGATTATTATTTGTTGTCAATTGATTTCTTTTCAGACGATTGTTTGAAGACTGAAGATTTGGCTGAAGAGCTATCTTTGGTGATCACCGGACGACTCGGTCGGGCAATAGTTATTGTCTGGATATCATAGTTATCGACTTTTTTGTTAAACCGAAACCAATAGATGAATAGTAAGATCAAAATAATGACTACAATTATGGCGAAAATTGTAAATAATATGGCAATCGGTATGTAATATATTTTCCAAAACGGCAAATACGGACAAAAAATCTTTATGTCTTTCCTTTTGCAATTCAAATCTATTTGATTTTCACTCTAAAAAACATTAATTTTTTCAATTAAAACTTATAGTCAAAGTTGTGATATATTAGACAAACTTCTAATAGATAGTGACATTCATGGATGAAATCTCTGATATGTTCGTTGTTATTGCCAATAGTTTTGGTCTCAAAGAAGTAGACAATTTGATTATCGCTGTCAACAAACGTGGCATCAATTTTGGTAAAGTCTATCTTACTGGTCGACCATCTGATAGAGTGATCCTTAACTTTCCAGCCATTATTTGAACAATAGGCCAACACATCCTTTCCACTGTCTATGCATTTAATTTATTAAAAATAATCTTTAAAAACAATTTTAAAAAATTATTAAAATAATTGACAGTAAAATAATACCGGAAATAAGTAAAATGCCAAACGATTGAAAATAAACAATTGTTTTAATTAATGTTTTAGGAATTTTGAAAAATGTTTTCGTGTCTATTATGTTGAGAAAATCAATTGGTATATCTCCTGTAACTATATTATTGATTTTTTGCCAACCATTCAATGAATAGCTTGTGTATAGTATTTCATCCAAATTACTATATTTATTATACTAAATACAAAATTATTTAAAATTTAGTTAATTATAAATTTTACAAATATTTTGATTTAATTAACGAAATGTTTATTTTGTTGTTATAGGCATTTACTTGTAAATTATAAAATACTTCAACAGTGTTGACACAATACTCGTCAAAATCAATAATGAAAGTAATGGCAAAATTGTTTAGTCCCGTATCACTCAATAAACTGTTATTAACAGTAAGGATGTTATCAAAGTGATAGTTATATATCGGATTTTGTGATATCGGAACCATTGAATATCTCTTGTTGTGGTCTGACATAAGGTAGGAATCGTTGACAAACCTCGTAATCGTTGTAAATGATTGCAAATGCTTTGTCGGATCATCACTGAGTTTGGGACATAGTATTGAATTGTCAGTACTTAATACTCGGTCGAAATCATATAAAAGTGATACAAATAATGATAACCAAATGTAAGATGTGTTCAACATTTCTAATAAATTTCTTAACTATTTTCAAGTTAACTAAATAACAGTAAATTTAAAGTTTGAATTAATCACTGCTGTAATAGAATTCAATTCTTAAATATGATTTAAATTGAGAAAACACGTGAATTTAATATTAAACAAACTCTTAGCTAAAGAGTAATTAATAATTATTTGTTTTTTAATTATAATTAAAACAATTTTCTAATTGATGGTAGTTTTTGTCATACAAACAATAGATATTGTGAACAACTAATTAAAACTGTTTTATAATATTAATTAACTGTTATTAACGGTAGTTATCATCTGTTAATAATTTTATAATTAATAGTGTATTACTTTACTATTTTATTCATAAGTATTCTAAATTTGAATTTATAAGTTATACAATACAACTACAGTATGTATATACTGTATAAATATAGTAAAATTTTTAACATTGATTTAATTTTTATGACAAATTGTGAGAAAAGTAATTAATTTTCAGTAAATTTTTGAGATCTTTTGTTGGGGTTTAGTATAATTAATCAGTTTGTTATAGATTAGTGTATATACATATAAAACAATATATTTATACATGCAATGTATAAATTAATTATTATTTACAATTAAATTGTATGTTTATATGAGAATTGATAAAAAATGATTTTATAGTTTTAAAAATAAATAACTCAATGTATTTCTTCAATATATATCACAGAAAGTACAGCATTTCCTAATACTTTGTCATTTCGTTATATTTTTGATTTTTTCAATTTCAGTATTATTACAATCAATATTTTTTTCAGATATTAACCAATAGGTTGTCATATTTCCTTTGCCTTTGATGGCAATCTCTCCGCGAGAGACTGTAATGAATGTGTTGAATGAGTCCAACAGGTTTTTGGTCGATTGACTTATATGTATCTTAAGAGCTTAAAGATACCAAAAATAAAACAATTATTTTTTTAAAACTTTTATATAAACGTAATTTCAAACTAACGCAATCCATTTGACTCCATCCTTGAGGCTGTGTTTACAGTATCGCCTAATTTTCAACAATTGATTAAATAATGCAATAGTATTGACAATAATATTAATATTACCGAAAAGGCAATATCTGGGCATTTTTAGACCGACCACTCCGGCCACACACGAACCAGAATGCAGACCAATTCGTAGCTTAAGTTTTAGATCGGGTCGATGTCTGATCTTAAATGAGATGACACTATTGAGTAGTGAGAGCGCCATTCTTGCAATTTCTCGGGCGTGTCTGAGACCATTGCGTACGGGAAGTCCCGATACTACCATATATGCATCGCCAATGGTCTCAACTTTATAGACATCAAAGCTTTCAATGGTTGAGTCAAATGTAGTATACAAGTCGTTCAATAAATCGACGACCTTTTAATATATCAGATAGTGATTAAAAATATTATATTTATTTTATACTAATGATAGTTAAATGATATTAACTTTGTTTAAATTTAACAATACCTGCATTGGTGTGCTTTGAGCCGACAATGTGGTAAAGCCTACGATATCACTGAAATATATGGTAACACTATCATAGGCTTCAGCTCTCACTGCTTCTCCTCTAATTAGTTGACTCGCGACGGGTCTAAATTTTTTATATAAAATTATTATAATATTATAATTTGTTTAAATTAAAATAAATTATGTCATACTTTGGCAGCAATTGGTAGAGTAAGTCTTCGGCTTTACGCTTCTCTTCTAAATAATCGGCAGTCCTTTCCTGTACTTGAGTTAAAAATATTAAACTCATCAAAAAATTTGCAAATTATATGTATTATGCATTTTATAATAATTAAAAAAACTTAATTATTATAGTTAGTACAGTATATTATAACTGTGATTATAATAGGACATCAATATGTTAGTTAAATTATTAATAAAGTTATTTATGATAAAATAGTATTATTTTGTTAAAAAACTTGATGTATCACTAAATAGGATATACCTAATGATTCCAGATTATTGGCGTACTGTTCCATTCGTGACAATAGATTATCCAATATATTGCTGCTCTCATTTGCCCTATATATGTATATACAGTATATCATAGTTTTTAATTTTATTGTTTAAATTTTATTTGCAAAAAATTAAAAACTTTAGTGAAGTTTAAACTAAAAGCACACAAAAATTACTGTCAATGACTTACTTATTAACTTTTCTCATAATTGATTGCAAACATATAAAGTCTGGCCTTTCATTGATATCTTCAGACCAACACTTTCTAATCATTGACAGTACTTCTTCGTCAGCCATCGTGTCTTCAAGTAGTGGTCGAAAACCTTCACTACAAACCCGATCGACTATTTCTATAGATTTTTAAAATTATATAATAATATAATATGTTTTTAATTAAGTGATGATTAACATTAACAATAATCTGAATTAATTAACTAAAATAAAATAAAATTAACTTATTATAGAATAAAATATGACAATTAAGACATTATTTTATAAAAATATATACATATTTATGTATGAAATGAATACTTATTATATAAAAAATTACTAAATAATAAATTATTTGCTTACCTCTAGGGCTGAGCTCACAGTGTTGGCCACAATAAAAGGGTCCCTGTCGTAGGACTATCTCGTGAGCTATAATTGCAAAACTATAGATATCACCTATAATTCACATAAAGATAAACAAATCATTAATTGTTTAAAATTTCATTAGTTTTCTTTATGAAAGCATTTCATTTAAATATGTTTCAAACATTGAAATGTTATTAAATATATTGTTTTAATAATTGAATAATTAATTATTACACAAAAAGTGGATAGAAGTAATAAATAGTTTTTATTAAATTTTTATCTTATAATTTACTAAATATGAAAAACAAATTAAATAACTGAGAAAATTATAATAGAAATAACTGTAATAATATGTTATTTATTTGTAATACCTTTTTGTGTTGGTTTGGGATAAACTTGTTTAGAAATAAGCAGTTCAGGTGGTGTCCATAACTTTTCTAAAAGTTATAGAAAAAACAAACATAAAATAATTGTTATTAAAATAAATATATTGATTGAATAAATGAAAATAAATGACTTCTCCAAAAGGCATAAGACTCGTGATCGGTGTCACACTTTCGCAATGATTGTAAACCAAAATCGGTAATCTTGAGTACAAATCTTGAGTCGACCACACAATTAGATGACTTGAGGTTTCCGTGGACATGCATTTCACTGTTATGCAAGTATGCCATCCCTTTGATGATGTCGTGCATTAATGAGTATCTGAACATCCAATCGAGTTTGATCTCATCATTCTCTAAGATGTCTTGTAATGAGCCTTTGGGACAATATTCAGTAACAATACAACAGTTGGGTGGGTCGAGACACGCCCCCAGAAAGCGCACGACGTGGTTGTGCTGCAGATCTTTCATCTATTTATTTAATAATTAATTTTATATAATTATAATTTAGTGTTTGTTTTGATTAGATTTTTAGATTAGATTTCCTCACGTGTTTTAGTTCAATAAGTAGGGAACGGTTGATATCAACCCTTAATTTATCGATGGGTTTAACGGCCACAACAATCCCTTTATAAATCCCAGTTCGAGCAAAGATCTGAAACGACTTGTTTGTATTATCCATTAGTGACAGTGTATCAGATGATAATGAAGTCTAAAAATTATAAATTTTAAGATATATTATTCATTTTTCATTATATTTTTTTACAAAGTTTATGCATATTAAAAAATTAATTAAATATAAACATATGTTTGTAATGTATGGTTAACTAATTTTTCAAAGTAGTTTTTTACTAAAAATATATGTACTTTTTTTAATTAATAATTTTAATCTTTGTTTATTAATAATTATGTAAACTTTAAATTAAAATATTGTACATAAATAAAATTTTAGCCTTGTTAACATATGAAATTTATGTAAATTTATTTAAATATTTTCATAATTTAATTTGCTGATAATATAATACTGTATATACAGATAACTCAACTTTGATTTGCATATTATTAATGGTAAATAATGTTATAAATTATAATATATTAGATGAAAGACATACTTTAGACTTGGATGAGACAATAGTTGTATCATTGAATATGATATCTCTATAATCTATTTTCCATAAAAGTCTATCCAATTCCTGTTCATACATCCAATTCTTATACATCACGAATAATAAAACCAAAACCAATAGAAATCCAATTAATGGTATGAATGCCCACTGCCATAGACTTTCTATAATCAACCTATCATTAGATATATTTACAAAAATGTAGAAAATTTAAATTACAAAACATGTAATTACTGGGACAACTTTGACCATCAAATCCACAAACAGGTTCAGCTAACGGTGGCTCTCCATTGAGCCATTCAATTGAATCCGTTAACTCCAATACCTTCAAAATATTAGTAAATATTAAATGAATATAAGTTTTTTATGTATTGAAAAATTAAATTTCACAAAAATACCGGTAAAGCAGATGATTTATTAGGCATCAAAAACAGTCCGACCGGATAAATGCCTAATTTTGATGATTTACTTTTAGACCATTTTCTAGCAATTAATGTGTAATTTCCCTCTGCGTCTCCAAAATCATTGATTTGAACCAAATAACCCATAGCACCTGTATGTTAACAATTTAATAACATTCAAATATAATTAAGTAAAATATTTAAATGCCTCAATAATACTGTAGATAAATTATACAAACTTTGATACTCTCTATTTCTAATATAATTAATTATAGTTTTTCCGTCGTAAGGATTTTCATTAATCTTAAGACTATCATTGAGTGCCCGGGCGTATACATATACAGCATCGTAAAGGTAAGCTCCTTCCGCCGGCACCTAATCATCAAAATTGTTTGTTTTTTAATTATTTGTATAATTTGAATCTTGTGATTACCCGTTTTAGTCCACCCCATTCCCACGTAGGGTTTGGAAAATGAAAGGGTGCCATTTGCATATACCGGTTCACTTTAATTGAAAACTTTTCAAATTCAATGGCAGGAGACGGCACTACACCTATATATGACTGAAATGACTTTTCTGCTAACTCTATAATCTCGAAATCATCGTTTAATAATCCTATTATTTTGACAATAATTTATTAGTATTATATGATATAAAATATAACAATTTAATATATATATATATATATAATTCATACTTTTTAAAAAAACTTTTATAAAATTCAAGTCATGATTACCTTTGAAATACCTGTCCGGATAATGTCTATCATACTGTTCTACATCAACGCCAACCACAAAATATTGGCCATCTTTTAGCAGACCTTGTTGTTCAAGACTTAGCATTAGACCCATGTGTTCAAAATAAAAACCAATTATGACATAAACTTAATGTAATAAAAAATATTTATTTATAATTAATTAATGTGTTATTTTATTAATAATTAAATAATAATATTATTTAACTAAAATATCTCACTTCTTGTTATATCAAAAGTTTGTTTAACAATTTTTTCAAATGGATTTTCAGTATATCCGTAATGATAAGTATCAGTCCATGTGCTGACACGCGTTACATCAATATTATGTAATCGTAATGTGTTTTGTATGGTACGTGCAATTGCTGTAAAGTCGCGGTCGGAGCTCTTTGAGTACAAGAGCACTACTTTATGCCATTGAAATTTGAGTAAAACTGAAGTCACAGATTTGGATATCTGTGTGTCTGGCGGTCGGGTTCGGGCAAAGGTCGAGAATAAACGTTTGTTTGATGTCTCGGGATGTGCACAGAACTGACAGATTATATTTGTATTGATAGACATTAATTAGGATAAATTGGGAGTCAAATAATTAATTACAAACTAATTAATAACTACTCTCAATATGATCTCATGCATAGTCAGAGCCTTTAAATTTAATTATATTTGTTTAATAGTTAGAGTACATTGACTTCACACTAATTAACAACTAAACCACTAAAAACATGAGTTTAATAATAAAATGTTTTAACTATATGTTAGAGTCGACACTATTGTTATATAATCATAGTTTCATTATTAATGGATAGTATCGGTAAAATTTCATTAAAGGGTCGGACACATCATTAAATTAATTATACCTCTATTCTATAAAAATTATTTTAATTGATTTTTTTTATTAAAATTGCTTTCTTTTGATACAAAAGTTTTACGACAAATATATCAAAATAAATAAGCATTGATACATAAACCTTATATTGCAAAATAATGTAATTATCATCAATGTATTAGTCTGTATAAGATAATAACATTGATAATTGGTAAAATTTATAACATTATAAACTGTACTGTATTTACTGTATCATAGCTTAAGTCAATCAATTATATCATTGACAGCACTAAACCCAATGGTCAGCAATGAATAGTAATGTTGTTTTGAAAATAACATTTCCTTTCGCATATGTTATCACATCTGATGATAGATTTAATAGATTTTATATGATATGTCAAACTGTGCCGACAGTCTCTTACTTTATTGTCGACACAAATCCAAAGTCACATTACATGACATTAGTTTTAATAATTTATTGATTTGTTTTGTGAAAAACAGTATATATTTGTTTGTCAATTACATGTAAATTTATATTATCTTTTAATATGATATACACTGTATATTATACAGAATACTGTCTAACAATCATTATTATAACATTTCTTGCTTATAGAGCTTTTCTATATGTTGTATAACTGTTCTAAAAATTAGTCAAACTATATATTATTTGTATCACAACTAACCTCTAATAGTAACAAATATATGTAATAACTTATAAAATATAAAGTGTTTGATAAATTGATGAACACATTAGTATTTCCGATTATACTGTATTGGTAAACATATCATATTATTTGCATTAAAAAATATTTAATATCTAAATCTATAAAAGTTGTTAATTACAATCCTTATAAATTTATAAATTAACAATTAATTAACACAATTATTGTTTGAAAGTACTGTGAGTTAGGTTTAAATATTCAAATATTTAGTTTATAAATAATTATAAATTAGTCAAACAATAATTAACAAAATTCTAATATTAATATTGTATTTTATTTCAACTTTTATTTTTTTTACTAAAATACTATATTTTACTGTTTCAATAAAATATAATTTCAATAAATATACAAATTATTTTAATTTGCAATCTCACACATAATATACAATTTTGAAAAATATTATTAGAGAGAAAATCTATATAAATAATAACTATAAATATATACTAATTATAATACAAATATTCAATTTTTACATAATTAAAATAATAAATATATTTATATATTTATAATAAGTGTGCACTTCAGTACTACATAGACTGACCACCCAATTTTTTAGTAAACCTGTATTATACTATTAATTATATGAATTTCACCTGTATTTTCCTGTATATGAACTTTTACATTCCTGTATGTTAATCTGCATTTAAATATTTTATATAATATATTCTATTTCATATAAATTAAGAAAATTTTAAGTAAATTTTAATGTAATAAATATCCAAAAATGAAAAAACTATTTAAATATATTTTAAATATTTGCGTTACATTATTATTATTATTATTATTATTATTATTATTATTATTATTATTATTATTATTATTATTATTATTATTATTATTATTATTATTATTATTATTATTATTATTATTATTATTATTATTATTATTATTATTATTATTATTATTATTATTATTATTATTATTATTATTATTATTATTATTATTATTATTATTATTATTATTATTATTATTATTATTATTATTATTATTATTATTATTATTATTATTATTATTATTATTATTATTATTATTATTATTATTATTATTATTATTATTATTATTATTATTATTATTATATATATATATATTTATATTCACACTGTATATTAGAAAAATACTAATAAATTTTAGAAAAAGAAAATGTAACTCATAACTAATTTAATAAATTTTTTAAAATCAATTAGTTATACATATTTCAAAACTGTATATTACATTATACGGGTCAACGCTTTTCCTATCGCTTGTATCCTATATTTCATAATGAAATTTTCATTCCTATCAATATATAATACAGGCGGCACCTGTATGTGTGGTCAGTCTAGTACTACAGTGTAATTAATAAGAAATTTTAATATTATGAAGATTACTCATTGGATTGCTTTTAGATAAAAGACATTAAAAATAATTAAATATAAAAAATATTGTTATATAATAATACAATTATTTCCTTATTTAATGAGTTTACAGATCTTTTTATAAATTAATTTCTTTTTCAATTTGATTCACTAATTAGTGGATTTGTTTTCAACTATAAATGCATAGACAATATATTTATTTATTAAAATTATATATTAATAAATCAAAAAAAATTTTTGTCTAATATAAAATATAGTGTTTGTATACCAGATTTTAGAGAAAATATGTGACAATAAACTGTCAAATATTTATATAATATAATTCTTTGATCAAAAACTATTAGTTTATGAATCACTTAACCAAATAACACACTTAACAATCAATATTCATAAATGATATCTTTATTTGTTATATATGTTAATCCGCTCGAAGGTTTGAATTTAATTTATTTATGTTTTTACTAATACTTGAAATTTTAAATTTGCACTAAATTTTATTAAATAAGATTTTGCAGATTTTTTCTAGAGATTAATCAACATTTTATTATAAATAAATTATGCATTCATACAATGTATTTAATTTTTTATAATACTTATTTGCATATTCTGTGATAAATAAATTTTTAAAAATTATCTTAAATTATTAAATACTATTGTAGTTGTATTAATAATTATGCTGTATATTCATTATAAAGTATACCTACAATTATAATATTATAATTAAAAAAGATACAGTACAAATATGTTTTTACAATATAGGATAGAGAAATGTGTTTATATTATAATCAGTATTACAATAAAATAGGAAAAATCTAATTTTCTAATTTTTTAAAAATTTCTATAAAAACATATAAAGAGATTATTTAACTGTAATAAGTAAATTTAATTATAAATTATAAGTAAATGTTTTGAAATTTTAAATAATGTTAAGTTTTTATATATTTTCTAATAAAAAATCAATATTAATAAAATAATAATTAAATATTGTTTGCTTTTAATTAGAAAATTATTTTTATTATTGAAGTCTATATTTAAATTTTATTGCTATAAGCATATGTTCAATAAACATATGCATTTATCATTTAATTTACAGTAGTTTATAATATAAAAATTACAATTAATAAAAAATTAATTTATTAAAATTAAATATTTAAAATGATTATTTCTTAGATTTTTTAGAAAGGTTGTTTCATTATAATTTTTTTATCTAAAATAATATTATTTATCCTTTTTTATAAAGTTTTGATTATTACTGTATGCATACATGTATAATATTTTAATAAATTTTAAAATCTTTAAAAACATTTTTTTATTAACCATAAAATACTTTTAATAAGTAGTTTTATCAAAATTAAGAAGCAATTAAATGAATCATTTTTATTAGTTTTGGTGACATTTTTACGAGAGTCATGTGAATGACTTTGTTGTCAAACCACATAAAAATATTAATAGATATTTAGGTAAAACTAAAATACAATAATATTGTATAAAAATTGTTTGTATTTAGTGTAGGATTTTTTTAAATTAGTAAAATTACTTACATATGAAATCATAGGCATATTGAATGAGTGGGCCATTCGTGCCTCAAAAACACAGGTTTCTTGTGGTCCGATATAACAGGATATCCTTCCCTCAGCCCAAAGTTGTGCCGTTTGTCTAATGCTTTCCGATTCATTGCCATAGGTTTCGGCAATAATAAAGTCGAGAGTATGATTGTTGACCAGTGGCTGATATTCATTGATCTCGGCGACGGCCAAACTGATGGCTCCCGATATTTGAAGGCCGGGTCGCGAGTATTTCTCATCGCCGACTTGTCTTTGACTTCCAGTTATATAACCCATTAAAAACTTTTCGCTTTGGATAACACCGAATATAAGCGACAAACTTATGATAAAAACATTGATTGATACAAACATTTGTTTTATTTTTAAAAAATCAAATTAACTTTAAATTTGAATTTTTATTTAATTTCAATAAATTAAATAAATCTAATTTTTTCATTTTTATAATGAATTAATATATTGAACACATAGTCGTCAATTGCAATCAATCAACAAGTAATGAAAAGCTGTGATTAGGAAACAAGTGTTGAACAACACATTGACTAACAGTTAGCTCATAACCCATATATGATAAAGTATGAGAAGCACAGACACGAGTCTATTGGCACTGTTATCCACTGAGAGACTCAACATTTTGAAACACATCAAACTTACTCCAAGTGCTCTCCACATCTCGTGCCGTAAGATATATAAACCGACTCTTTTGTATTCAATGACAACGAAAGATAAATAATATAAAAGATATGGTGTGTTGTTAATGACATTTACAAACTTTTTTATTCAAAATATTTCTTAATATAATTCAATGCTATTTAAAAAATAAACAAAATTATAATTTACATATAATTTTACTATAATTTATTGCTCACTGAATTTACTTAGCATTAACAAACAAATTATATACTGTACATTATATAAATATAATTTAATTTTTTATTTTAATGTTATATAATGTTTTTAACTATAATAATACTAAAATTTGAGAACTTCATGATTTAGCATTAATTAAATACTTGAAAATTATACAGTATTACCGTAATATAATAATTTATCACTTATAACATTATATAACATATTGTATAACTAGTTAAAACTAGGCTAACAACCTTTAACTGACAAATTATAGTATTTTAAGCAGTTTTCACCAAAATATATATCTAATATAAATTATACAATAAAGTAATCATGGTCATACTTAACTATTATTTTTATACAGGTATATATGTTGTATAATTATAAATGTTGTCTATAAGTTATAATAACTGCTTATAAATAATTACATAAAAATTAATTACTAGACTTAAAGAATTAAAAAAAACAATAGTTAAAAAAGTTATTATAATGATGAGGGCGTCGGGCGCTTACATTAAATAGTAATTGAATAACTATTTATTAAAATGAGTCTACTGTTTAATACATTAGCTAATTAAAATTTATTTATGGATTTCATAAATTTTGATATTATGTTATACTAAATAAATGAGTGTATAATTTAATAATTCAAACAATAATTAATTGTTTTTATTAATAATTCAAAAGTTTATTACCGGTAAATGAAATGTCCAAAAATATAAACATAAGTTTATTTTTTAAAAATATTTTTATTTAATATGAAAAATCAGTAAAATAAATATCAACTGAAATCAATCTTTTTCGGCAATTAGTGTCAAGTGGTGTTCAATTTCCTGTTCGGTTAGCGCCCGAAATAAACCACTGCTGTCTACTATTCCCACCTGAACCTCATTGGGTTTGAATTCAATTGACAATACATTAGAAAGTGTTGTAATCGCCAATTGAATGGTTTCCTTCTGGTCGTAATCAGTTCGCTTCTTCAGCTTCTTTTCCAATTGATTTTGCGCCTCAACTGCTTTGACGCCAACAGCACAACCTCGGTATCCACAGTAATAACCGGCCGGATCTGTCTTAAATAGCAGTGGTTTACCTGATAGTGAAGTAAAGTTAAACATTGATTATTAAAAGAAATAAACTATGGATGCAATGTAAACCTTCTTCGTAAGCAATTAACATCATTGAAGTGCCTAATGGTCTCATTTCGGCATTTTGTGTGTACACCTGAGCGATATCAGCCAGTTTTCGGGCTAACACTTCAATAGGCATTGAATAGCCGTACTTATACTTGAAGTTTGCCGCTTCATAACGAGCCCTTTGCACCTGAATATCAATTTAAGTATTTATTATTATGTCTTAACCATTAATACCAAGTATTACCTGTGACACAGAGTCGGGAACAATACCAGTGATGACACATCCAATGTTTGGTGTAATACGGTAAAGATTAGTCACAGACGACGGATCGATCAGTTTGTCGGCCACTTTCTTCTGTGTTACGACAACAGCACAGTCTTTACCTTTGAGACCCAATGAGGTGATCGACGCCTGATTTATGGCTTTGAAAGCATACTCTGCGGACACAAAACAATGCAATCAATTACTTTTGTCAACAGTTTTGAGTAACGGATACCAACCGACTTGATATAGACGTCCTTCGGGTGAAAAAATAGTGATGTGTCGGTCAAAACCCGCTGAACTTCCTCTTGACATCTCTTCTTAATTGTTCAGATAATAACCAAATAAGCGATCAATTGATTGACAATTCAATGAAATACTTGAATAACAAAAACAATATTCAATTCATTCAGTGATTCAGCACTTGTTTGGACTCAAACTCAACACATATTACGTTCACTTTGTATTCAATTCACAAATAGTGTAATCAGTTTGAAGTGATTGGGAGTGATATGTATTGAGGGAATCATTCATTGGAATCATTGATTACACAACAATTGAATGCAATAATTGGGCTCAAAGTTAATGACAATACATTGAAAACTAATTATTTCAATGAATTTATTATGAAATTTGAATATAAAGAGTGTTTTGTTTGAATTTATATAATATTTGTTGACTAATAATGCGGTGATAATAGTGACCAATCAATCGGTAAAAATGGTATACTTTCGGTGTATGGACGAGATCTCTGGCCACATATCGGGCGAAATAGATGTTATGAAATGGAACCCAAAGATGGATCTCATTGTATTCGCACTGAAGAGCGCCGACATTGTTGTCCATCGGCTCTATTCGTGGCAAAAGATATGGCATTTGCCGAAACCCAAACTCAAGACATTGGCCGACGACAAGACCGACACAACTACGGCAAGATTTGTCCGGGACATTGAATGGCGACCCGACGGCAAAATACTGGCCATTGCTTACGAGTGCGATATCGATTCGAGTGACACCAAAGATGGCAAGTCGTGTCTGTTTTTGCACGACGTCGAGACATCCAAAATGTTGCACAAGATTGTCATCGACGGTAAAATCAATTGTATTAATTGGCAACAAAAGGAACCGTCGGTTTCGTCCAATTTCAACAGTGATATTAATCGTTTGAATTTATCGGACAAATATTCGGCAATTTCACCGTTTATTAGTCTTTTACCAAAAGCTAATTCAGTTCCCAAAGGGTTTATGAGAGGATCAAGTCGTAAGACATCAGACGACAACATTAATGATATGATGAAAGTGGAAAACCAGAAGACATTGAATGTATTGGCCATCGGAACTGAAAATGGTTTTATTGAGTTATACGCTTTCGGTGTCTATAAAATGGCCAAATTTTATATGACAGACAATAATCCCATCAGATATTTAGCGCTTTCCAGTGATCTGTCGCTAATCACTGCATTTGTTGAATATATTGACGACGAATGTCTTGAAGAAAACATTACGAATAGTCGTTATTCAATGATTAGCTATAATCTGAATGTTTTAAAGCAAAGAAGTTATGAAATATTGATGATCTCTCAAATCTACGCCCAATCCATCTCTCAATTGTCTTATTTGAATGAAACGATGCGCGAAATTCTTGAAGCGTGGGAAGATGTCATGGTTGAGATTGACTCAAAACTATCCAATTATGTGTCACTACAGAGAAGTCATTCAAAATCAAGCGCTGAGACTAAAGATAACTTAATACCGCTGATGGCCGACGAGTTTTTAGAGCTGTTGGTGTTGGGAAAAGCCAGCGCTTCACTCGAAAAGTTTCTCAATGATCTAACAGATAAAGGTCTCAAAAAGTTAGGACATTCCATAGAGTTGGCCTATTCTAACATACAGAAGCTCGTCGTTAAAAATGTTGAAAGAGTTCTTCAGCACATTTACTGTCATTTTAATACATTGAAGGGTATGGCTCTTTGGGAGGAGAAGTTTGGCGAAGTTGGTCTCGACATCGTTGCCGTCAATAATACTTTAAAAACTATCGGATCTTTTCTATTAAAATCAACTGAATTACAGCAAGTGATTGATAACTCTATGCGAAATGTTAAAGCATTTATACGATGGCTATACACAGCAATGGTCAGACTCTTAGATAACGAGCCGTCCTCTCAAAGCGAGTTAACTAAAGTCTCGCAACAGGACATCCAATTTGTTACTGAATTTATTAAAGAGAACTTCGAGTTTGAGTCATCATCTAATACAAGCCGACCAACTGCTAGTAATTTTACATTAGAAAGAGTTGGACAATATCTTAAAGATAAAGACCTGACATCAATCAATTCATCAATCAATGATATTACCATAAATCCATGGATTCAATATTTAGAAGAGAGACCAAATCTGACTAATACTGATCCAAAAACTTTATATCTTTACGAACACAAATCTAAAACCTCATTCATTGGTGAACATAAACTTCTGGATCAATCGGTTCGGTTGGCATTCACCGGACCATTCAATGTCATCACTGACTCACTCGGCAATGGCTTGCGTTCAAAGTTATCAGACTTGTTATATATACCAAGCAATGAATTACTTAAAGTCAATCACATATCAAATATCAGTTTAGGATATTTTTATTTGTCTTTTATAAACAAAAGTAAACCAAACAAACAAATGTTTATAATTCGTCAAACAATTGCTAATCATTGTGCCATTGATGTCGTGTCTATTGTTTTCTATTTTAACTCAAAACTATTATCTCTTATAGACTCTCAGTTTTATACAGAAAACATAATAACTTTGTTATTAACTGATGAAGAGTCCAATCAATCATTTTTGGTTCAAATGCCACTCAATTTATTGGACAATAATTTTAAGCCAATTTCAGGTGATTTTAATCACATAAATTCAATAAATTTTGACATAAATTCATTTTCATCGGAATCGGGATTTATATTCCGAACTTTGGATAATATGGTTATGTTTGCTGTGAGTGGTGTCCGCAAAGTGGCCTGTCTTTCATTTGCATCTAAACGCAGAGTTAGACTCTTTGAAATGGATGTGTCTGAAGATGACGACGAAGAACAGTCAGAAATTATGAATGATCTCAACAGTAGTAGTGTTTCGGGACAATCGACTGATAAATCAATGAGTTTTAAAGAGACTATAATTTAACCGAATATTTTTTGTTGTTAATTATAATTAAAAAAAAAACAAATTATTTAATTTATTAAAGTTTATACTACTTGTACTAATTGTATAGAACTTTATTTATACTAATGGACAAAACAGGTATTACCAAAATGGTAACCTACATAAAGTGATCTTGAGCAGGTGGGTTAAGCCATGGGTGATGTAATGCTTGTAATGCTGTCAGTCTAGCTTCAGGATCAACAACAGTTAGTTTGCGTATGAAGTCATACATCAAATACTGTGCCTGTTGTGGGTTACAGTGTTCGGCATACCGTTCCTCAAAGCGTTGTGTTCTCCATAATCCCGAACCGCAAAATGAATAATCTAGAGTTTTGCCCAAACTATACATATCATTAGGATGGGTGCGTGTGTTTTCCGACGGGTCATCCATTTCAGGCGCACTCATAGCTTGTGTATAGACTTCATCCAATTCATTGATTAGTAGTAAATCGGGTTCATTGTTCTCATAGATGAAGCATTCCTCGAAATCTACTAATTTGAAGATATATTGTGGATTCAATTTATCGGATGGACTGTTGTATACTTTGTAGACAATGTTGGTTGGATTTAGTGACATATGTGACACTGTATATGACTTACCTTTGAATGTTGTTTGCATATAAAACAATGCATTAGAGATGTCGCGAACCCAAAGTCGGCAATAATACTCTGGTAAACACCAATTTTCAAATGACTTCATAAACTTATTTAGATGTCCGTCCATCAGCTCCATAGTGAAGGCACAGTAATTGAATGGAAAGCCTGTTTGGCTAAAATCTATCTTGTAAGCACCGTTTTTTAAATTATTTACACGCGCTATTGTTTCAATCATTTTAATTATATTTCACGCGCTATTGACAGCTATTACTATTATACAGTAATCATATAATACATTTGTATAATACCATTATAATTAGGTTAAGGTTGCGGTCCGAACACCAGGTTAGGTAACGGAGCGAACACTAATACAATAGATTAGGTTATGTTAACAATTGTGTAAATAGGTTAGGTTAGTTAAATAGAAAATGATCTTATTTTTGCTTAAACTTATTTACTTTTAATTTATTAATTATAAAAATACGTGTAAATATCGCGTGAAATACAATTAAAATGATTGAAACAATAGCGCGTGTAAATAATATAAAAAACGGTGCTTACAACATAGATCGGCTCCGCCTGTTTGTCGATCGGATAACTCAATGAAGTCGAGCGCTTTGATAATATTATTGTGATTCATACGAAGCAGAAGATATGCCTCTTTACGGAACGCCTCCACCGACTTATCAATGGTTTCCAATTCTACCCTATAGTGAGCTAAAGAAACTATTTTACACGCAAAGAACTGATCGGTTGGCTCATTGTTAACTAATTTACATACTTTCATAATGTGGTGGTCATGACGTGTATCTCCCAGTGATATCTTGTCTGTTATAAGATATCCATTTCCATGATTTGCTAAAATCTGCAAATAGTGTTGATAGTCAGGGTCTGGCGGTTGTTGTTGTTGTATCTGACGAGGCCATGGTTTCATGAGTCCTTCACCAGCTCTGTTCCAAGTCGGGTAATAGTCGGGCCAATTAGCGACTGTGTCGTAACCAATTCCTTCATAGTTTGGCTCTAATAGTGATGGATCTAATTGTTTTCTCTGAGAGTCCATTTGTTGTTGATCCTGATTTTCAGGAATCAATGGATCCAAACCCAGAAAGTATTGATTTCCAGACATTTCTTAATATTACGATCTCTGGTAACAATTTAATGGAATTTAATTAAAGACTAAGAATAACTAAACTTTAATTTAAGAAATTAAAAAATTATTGTTGTAATTGTTGTAATTGTTGTAATATTTAAAATTTATAATTTAAAAAATATTAAACAAAAGTAGAAAAAGTCATAAATTAAATCCCAACGAGTGCTGCACAGGGATATAATAACTGAGGGATTATCACTTAATTTGACCACAAAAAACAAAAATAAATCGATAGCCATTAGACATGTCAAACAACAATAATAACTCGAATACTAGTTCTCATTCAAGTACTTCGAGTTCAAAGACCAATTCAAGCCGACGAGGAATCACATCGCAAACTATAATTCCCGATGAAGTGGGTTCTCCCGATTGTCCCGTATGTCTCAATCGGGTACAGAACAGGGCGTACACTAACCGGTGTTTGCATGAGTTTTGTTATTCCTGTATTAAGGAGTGGAGTCAACAACACAACCGGTGTCCTGTCTGTCGGGGAGTCTATAGTAATATATTGCATAACATACGATCTAAAGAAGACTACGATATAGAGGTAGTCGAGGAACCAATTGAAGATGGTGTTGGAGCACTGGTTACTCTGGGCAACTCAGGTATAGCTATGTTGGTGACACCCCCTGAAAATGGTGTGTATCTCATAGAACCCCGAGAAACACCGTATGGTATTAGACATAATATTATGTTTTACGGCCCAAACCAGGTATTCCTCTTACATAACGTCAACCAAAATATGGTTCTGACAACTGCTGAAAGACTCGAACCAATTCTTAGAGAACTGGGAGCAACACCTTATCGACCACACAATGGTAGACACTCACCATTCCTTAGAAGACATCGACATCAACAGTGATTAAACCATTAAATATGAGATTGAAATAGAAATTATGTCAGAATAAAGGTTTGCATATTATTTAATTAAATTCTTACAATTAATTACTCTAAACTTTTTTTTGAGTATTAAATATACTCTTTATTAAGTTCTATATAAATAAGTAAAAATAAAATCTAATTTTTCTTATCTTTATCAGTGTTGGTATAATAGAAATATTTTTACATTAAGGAAAATATATTATTAAATTGTTAATATAATATAAATTAGACAGAAAACTATTTTTGATAAATACTGTAGTAATATTAATTGATAATTATATTGTAAAAAACATTTTTAAAATAATTATAGCATACTATACAATACTTAATACGATATTTGGAAGTATTGTAATCATTAATCAGTGATAGTAATAATCATCATATATTGATAATAGTTAATATAAATTAATCAATATCTTATAAATTATAAGTTATAATCTTATAAATTAATTATAACACTAAACTATATGTTTGTGTTAAGTTGTAATATAAAATTATTTATTGTAGTTACAAAGTATAAATATTATTGAAATTTGAAAATTTATTACTTTTACTAATAATTTAAAGTTTAATGAAGATTATTACAACAAAACTAAATAAAAAGTTATCAAAACTAATATCTTTTTATAAAAATATAATCAATAATTACAAATATTCAGTATTTGATGAATAAATGATAAAATCATTAAATGTTTGTATTTTTTGTTGTCTTATTTTCATTCATTCGTTTGAAATGATTGTCCATTTCCTTTAAAACTATCCGAAACTTCAATAACGCCCTTAAATAATAAAAAAGTTTAATTAATTAAATTAGTTTTAAAAAATATTAAATGTTGCCATAAATATACCAAATAAGACCAGTAATTACAAATACTAAGAAAACTACTGCAATGCAAATGATGGGCCAAATGATAAAATCATTTGATGTGTTTGAAGAACTCTTGACATTACTGTCAGCAAAGACTATATAATTATTTTTTTGTTAGATTTTTCAATATTTAATAATATTTTATTTTGTTATAATTGTCAAATATTTTGCTTACCATGGTTTACACCATAAGATATTTGTAGCTCAAGTGATATAAAAATTAAGACTAATTTAGTCAGTGATAACATTATCGCACAAAATTATCTCATAAAACCATAAAATATGCAAATAATTGATAAATTATTTAAATATAAGTTTTTTCAAATAATTAACTGTATGTTATTAAAGACAAAATATTCTCGTGATCACTCATACTATTAATACTGTATAATGTAAACAATTTATTTTACTATAAAACTTTTTATTATACTATAATCGTTATATACATAAATTGTCATAGATAATAATAGGCTAAATCATTTAATGTTAATATCAAAATATTATACAAACATTTTATAGATTACTTATTAATTAAAAATAATTATTATTATAAATGGAAAAAGTTTTCAAATCATTAGATTAGTGAGATTTTTTTGATAATTAAAAAATATATTGAATTATAATTTATTTGATAAAGTGGTCAGTTATTTAACTTTGTCTCGTATTGTATTGACTTTGTTCATAACTGGGCGGTGGATCATAATTGGGAAGTATTGACATTACAGACGTTGTGCCGTAATTTAAATGATTATTAGAATAAAGTGGAGGTCTGTCCTCCAATTGTACGACTGGTCTATCATTTTGTCGACTATTATCTCGAATGAAGGCCCGAAAGTTAGAAATAGTGGACACGTGTACCGGTTCATCCCGTGACCGACCATTTGATAATTGGTGTCTTCTAACGGATCTATAGGAACAGGTGATGCGAATGATTCCTAATATAATTAATAAGACACCGATAACGCAGAGCACTGTTATTAATATTGGCGACACATTGTCCCCAAAAGCAAACTTTGCTACAATTGTCACAATGAATATACATATTCCTAGTCTTAATACAGATTTGCCCAAAAAGTAGAAATCGCGGTCATATTTGGTGTTACGGACAATATTATCGGTTACGGGAAGTGTGGTATCGGTTGATGGGACAGACATGTTGTTGTTGTTGTTTTAGTGCACTGTTTTCACTATAAAATCAAGTAATTTTTTTAAAACAACTTTTAATCATAAAATTACGTGATTTTATATGTCATACAATTATTATCAGTGAGATGTCAGGGAAACAAAACGATTATTATCCGCATAACTAAAAAAGGTTATGAAATCTCTATTTTTGATATTTTCAAATCAATTTAATCTCTAAACACTTCTACAAACTTTAATTAATAAACAATACGATTGATGTTAAAGCACTAATTATTAATTATTGTCAGTATTGTTTAAACAACTGATATAATAAAAATAATTATTTACTATATTTAATGCTATACATATATATTTAATATGTATTGTATATCATATGTTATATATACACTAATACAGTAGTTCTAACAAAAGTTATTAAAACAAATTAAAATCAACTATTTTATTGATTTAATATTTTACAGATATTATTATTGACAACAATAATGATTTTACAATAATCAATGTTAAATCAATTATAAGTCAATATTCAAATTTTTAATTTAACTTAAAATCTACAGCAATATTAATTGATATTAAACTAATTGACATTTTATTATCTATTATATAATATAAACTAAATGTAATTTTATGTCCATTTATCGGGGAAGACATAATCTCTCCATTGCTGAGAGTGTCTGTGAGCGTAAAACTCATTGAGAGTCACATCGGGTAGTGCACCGTCAGGTAGTGTACTATAGACAGGTCGACCCCAGAGAGTGCCGACCTTCCAGTCGGGAACCCGTTTCATGAGATCTCTCTCCACTTCACGATTGTATCTCAAGTGACGTAAATATCTAAAGAATAAAATTAATAAATAGAGAGTTAGTGTCAATTGATGGTCAAGTGGTCAGTGATGTCCTAACGCTCGATCCCTTTCCGCCTGAATAAGTGGTTCGATGGCATTGAAGTGATCGAAACGTTCAATCATCAGTTTTCCCATATATTTCCTCCTTTTATTCATATAATACAATGCATATCCTGTCATCACTACATGCATTGTCATCAATGTCCAGTCTTCAGATCAGTTAGAGGACATCAAAGGACAGTCGTATTAGTCATATATCAACAGATATTGTAAATAAAAATCACTTACTTTTGAACAGTTTTTGCGGCAAAACGCGGCCGTACTGTATGTCCGCGTATCCACCTTTCGGTGGCATTTCCTGTCTGAAACTGGCCGTCGAATCGGAACTCATGATTAGCTTCAGTGGTCACCCGGATATCACTACAATTGATCCTCAAATTAATGCATTGTTTTTCACAAATCTTGTGTTTATTTTTTTGCAAACTTAGGGACCGATTAGTCATTGAAATCCCATAATATGTGAAACGTTGACAACATTTATGTGAAACCCATTGAAGTGTTGATTGCATTCAATAAACACATGTTTACAACGTTTGCGACGTTTTGTTGATTTAAATGTGATTTTCAAAGTAATGACTTTGAAGTGACAACTGTTTAAACCACAAGAAGTATGGGTCGCAAGAAATTATTGCTAGACTTACAGCACAGACACTCATCAGATGACAGCGATAGTGATGACGGACTGTCTGTCGATTCGGACGAAGAGTTACAGAAAGCTTTCGCTAAGGGAGAGCTGAAGACTGGACTCAATCAAGTGGTGGCTCTTAGACCTGTTGAAGAGCACATCAACGATAAGACAGCCATGAAAGCTAAGTTGGATCAGATTCGGCTCGACATGGATTGGATTGAACGGCTTGATTCGGTTGACTTACCGGCCAAAGTGACACCAGAAGTGCAACAAATGTTTGGCGACATTGATCTCAAACTAAACAAAAGAGGAGAAATTGCTGCCGAAGATAATGAATTGTCTGACAAAGCAGACAACGATTTTAAGCGCGAAATGCTTTTCTATCGTAGGGCACAAACCGCTGTCCTCGAAGGTATTCCTAGACTTAAAAAATTGGGAATCATAACCAAACGGCCGAACGATTATTTCGCCGAAATGGCCAAAAACGATGACCACATGAAGAAAGTACGTGAAAATCTTATCAGAAAACAATCAGCAATTGAAGCCTCGGATAAGGCAAAGAAAATGCGAGAATTAAAAAAATACGGCAAAAGGATTCAGACAGAAGTGATGCTTAAGAGACAAAAAGAAAAACGAGAAATAATGAATCGGCTCAAGAAGTATAAGACAGGAAAAGATGATAATCTTAACTTTTTAGACAACCAACACAATGACAATCAGGCGGGCGGTAGTAGTAGTGGTGGTAAAGGCAAAGGAAAACAAATGAAACAAAACAAGAAACAGAAGTATAAGAGCGCGAGGTTTGGATACGGCGGACAAAAGAAACGATCGAAGTATAACTCGTCGAACAGTTCGGCAGATATGACCAAATTTAGCCGAAATAAACACTCAAAAGCCAATAGTAAAGGCAAAGCACGTCCGGGAAAATCGGTTCGACAGAGAAATAGAAATAAACGATAAACACATTATTTGTTTTCCATTTAATTTTGTATTTATTTAATGACTAAATATATTTTAATGTTTCATTTTAAACAATTTAATTAAATGAAAATCAATAGATTTAACATTTATAACATAAGAAATCAAATGATATCTATTCATAAAATTTTGTTTTGTCTAATTTGCTAATAAATGTTCATAAAAGTTGATAATTGGCAGTAATTTAACAAAAAAATCATCAAAAATGGCAATGATATTAATTTATGTAAATTAAAGTGAAATGAATTATGTTTAGATATTAATGAAATATAAAACGGTATTATAGCGTACATATGAATTAGTGCACGCATTATATCAATACTGTATTTTTGATAAATTTAATGTCATTTTTCAAATGATTGTTTACTTATTGTTATTTATAATACTCGTTGAGTTGATGGACACTCAAAGTCAATGATAGCAAACTCTGTGTCCTTTGATGATACTGTGACTTTTAATCCAGTTATGCGTATCCATCGGACAGGTCGACGACCTCTCAGATCAACCGTAACCCAGGAATTCTTTTTTCTAAATAGAGAGTCATTATTGTCTTTAATATCGATATATTCATCTTCGTCTTCATTTTTGACTTGTACTTTGAAATCATAGGTACGACTATCTAAATCCCAGAGCCGTACTCTGAATCTATCTATAAGACATGTCTGGGAGAGATAGAACTCGAGGAAATTGCCGTCACCTATATTGTGGTAATAATAATTGGTTTCCTTATCTTTGAGGGAAGCAATTGAGTTGCAAAACGTGAAAATTCCATTTTGAAAGTCTAAGAACTGTTTAGTATTACGAATGGGATATTTGCTGACATCGTGTTTTGGGATCAAATAACCCGTTTGTCTGTCAAATTCAAGTTCAACGTTAGCCCGTTTGATGAGAAAGTTATCATCAAATACTAAGTCGCGGATATTGAAAGAGCTTCTGGAGTCTGTAATCATAATCTTCACGTATTTGATTCGTTTTTCCTCAAAGTAAACCCAATTCCAAAACTTAGTCCAAATCTCATTGTTTTTGAGGACAACAATCCAATCCTTGCGATTCGTGGACAAACTCACCTCAAAACATACTTCACACTCTTCGGGTAATAGAAAGTGTAAATAATTATTATATCTGAGTTTATCCAACTTATAGATCAACACATTTGTCGGGTCTCGCGGCATAATATCGCGCAATCGGTACACGTCATTGATATCGCGGGCCTTTTCGTCCATAAATTTGACGCAACCATTCATAAGATCTTTATTCAATGAACTCTTCGCGATGTGATATAATTCATCGACAGAATGAATACTAAGACAAGACCTCTTGTGAATCGCCAAGTTTTGAGCCAATGTAGCGACCAATGGATGAAACTTTAGTTTAAGTGCCGTTGAGGCCAACTCTATGGCCACCGAGAGTTCGCACTCGACTCGTCCGTAATATATATATTCAAGAAGTTTTTTGAAAGCATCGACAGTAGTTCCAGTCATTTGGAAAACACTCGCTTCTTCTACATTCTCTTGTTGTGCGTGTCTTCTCTCTCTTTCTATGGCTTCTCTAACCAGTTGTCTCTTATCCTTTAAGATTTCAATCACCTCTCGATGTGCGGGTATATCGATATTGTCGACAACAAACCTGATGTCAGTTGTGTTGTCATCCAATCGTTTGTTTTTCAACAGTTGTTGATTGCGATTGAAGTCTTCATCATTTTTGTGATCAATTTTGATGATAATTGGCTGTGTTTTCATTGTCATACACTTCTTGTTGTGTACTTCATCAGTGACTGTTGGTGTAGATGTTGTTGAATGGCATTCAAGCGATCGTTTAGACATTGGATCAGTTGTTGTTGTGGTCAGTCTTTAAACCAATTGAGTCCTAAATGAGTCAATCATTCAATAAAATACAAACTCAAGCTTTGTTTGCAGGGATTGTCTATAAATTGCATTTTAAATTGACTCTCTATTCACACAAATTGAGTGTTAATTATAATATAATAAATTAAATTAATATTAATATTAATGTAATATCGATTCAATTAATGATAAATACAATTGATTACTAACTAAATGTTATTTAATAATAATAATATCAATATTTTCTATAAATATATAAGAGATTTCATCAATGGAAATATGTAACAAAACTAAATATTATTTAAATCTTATATTTAATAAAATATAAAAGTATTTTAGGAAATACTATATAATGTTTTGATGTATTATTGTATTAATATATGAATTGATAAAAACTTTTAACAACTGTTTTGAACTTTGATATTAAGATTACACTATCATTACTATTATACTGTATTATATTTTATACACTAGTATTGCTAAGGTATTAAAATATACTATACTTAGAGGTAGTAATAAAATTATTATAATTTAGTTGTTAATATTATAGATAAACAAACTAAATCATAACAACAATATTCATAACCAAACAAATATTTATTATTATAAAATGTAAAATAAATTTTATTATTAAAAAAATTAGTCTTATAGTTACCTTTTGATTTTATTTATCAATTCGTTGTACACAATATGTACAGTATTACAAATATGCAAAAAATAACAAAAAATAAATTACCAAAAAAAACAGTGATTAATACAAAAACTAGTTAAAGTAAATTAACAAATAAATAAATTGCATTATAGATTTATAGACGAATAAGTATTAAAGAAAAAAATTATTAAGTTATTATACTATAATAAAACTTTATACATATAATAATAATACTGTGTGTTATCGATAACTAAAGTTTGTTAAAAATGTATTACCGGTATATTAAAAAAAATTATATTTTAGTGTTATTATATATAGACTACAAATAAAAAAATTTCATTATTTGATAATATGATGATTTGTAATAAAGTGAAAATGAAGTCATTGACCGAATTACTTATAATACTTAGTAAAGCATTAGTTTATAAAAACTATTGTTTTTTATTGAATTTTATGCCAAACTATTGCCTAAAGTTGCGTCTAAAGGACCACTAGTTGCTCGACTCTTCTCTTTGTTATCGTAGCGGACAATAACCGCATCGCCGGCAACATTGACCAAACATTGAGACTATTTAATCAAATTATTATTACAGGTAATTATATAATTATATTATAGACGAGATTACCTGATTTTTATGTGGATTATAAATCAGGAGAAGTTGTGTGATATGAAAGGACGTCATAGCATTACCGCCCAGAGCTGACACATGGGAGCGGACGATAGCAAACACTTCAGTCAAAAAACTATGTATAAAACCACTTAAACCACCAAACTATTCAAAGAAATGATTAGACAATAAGTAAATACAGTTAATATAATAAGTAATACCTCTCTAATACTAGTACTCTCTCTTATAAAGAAAAAATCAAGATTTCCCAAATAGCTCTCAATTTGACCGCTGGGTATATAACTCAATGGAGTCAACTCTATGCCAAAGTGTTCAGTGGTTGCAATCTTTTATTTAATTTAAATATTTTTAATAAACTTATTTTAATAAAAACAAATAATTTATTACATGATATGGTACTCCATTAGGACAAAGATTTTGGACATTTTGATCACTGGCTTTTTGTTCATCAATTGGATCCATTGTAAAGACTAATTCAGAATCTCCAATCTCTAGACAGTAAAAATGTTTAGTAGTAATGAGACATATGCTATGTTATTGACAAACCCGTGTGTTTCCGACTTCTAATTGTTGTCTTAACGGGTGGACCGATGCCAATGGCAGTGCCAACGACTGTGATTTGTACTAAATCTGCTTCTGGCAAATCCACTCTGAATTTTAAATCTGTTAGACAGCAGGGAATCAAACGACGATATTTCACAAAAAGACTCTAAAAATAAATAATTAAATAGTAATTAATATAATTTTTAAATTTAAATACCTGTATAATCCAATCAAATTGATGTCCAAATTGTTTAATTGATGTGAGTTTAGTCCTATAGACTTGTGTAAACATTTGTAAGTTGCAAATCAATTGGTTTCTCATCCCCGGTAATGATTCACTATTGCATATCTAAATAAGTATAAAAATATATTACTTACTAAATAATTGACTGAAATTAAGTCTAACTATTATATACAGTAAATCATTTATACTTCATATCCTTTAGGAACGTCTGAATCAATCATAAGAGCAATAATATCTGCATCTTCTGTGTCATCAACTTCTAAAAGAACACAACTTTCTTTGTTTCCATTATTTAAATCAATCTTTGGATTACTGTTGCCATCAAATATCATATCATTTGGATCTTCGTTGTCCTCTTCCTTATTCTCATTGATATTAACACCGTTTTGTATCGAAGTATTACCTGTCGTCAGATTATAATGTTCGCGATTTTTTACAATACTTTCTGTAATAAGCGATTGAATTTCATTTAGTTTTGAACATTGAATGCCTTTTCCGGACGAAATCTTTGGTGGAGATGGAGGACTCAATGGTGATAAAAAAGCACCGGTTCCAGTGGCCACAGCTATCAACATATTCTCACCGAATGACACCTGAATCGAAATGTTAAACAAAGCATTCATTGCTTTGACTTTTAATTTGCTCAGCATTTGTCTATGCAATTCATACTCCAAAAACGGAAGTCCCTATCAATTAATATTATATTTTTATAATAATTAAACAATTTTGCTATAAATCAAATCAATACATACATCGGATATCTCTTTAGCGCACTGTTCGCCTTTAGAATCTTTTTTGGATCGACACACCCGGGCCTGTATGAGTGTGCCGTGACCTATGGTAGGAATTCCTTCTGGCGGCTCAATAGTCATAAATAGCACGTCCGGCACTTTAGCTCTCTTGCAAATCATGCACTTGACTAAAGTGGCCGGAAATGGTACCGAAGTTTCCAAATAAGGAATGTGACACAAATGACAATGATTTTGATTCATTTGACTTTTATCTTCTAAATGTATATGATTTTGAGCTAAACTAATGTCTACTTTAAGATTTTTATTTATAATATTTGATTCATTTTCAATGATTGTATCCTTTTTGTTATCATAGGTGTAAATTGAAGTTTGATTAAAAAGATTGGAAATGTTATGTTCAGAATCACCCGTTTTAAGGACAGCGGCCGTACCCGAAGCCGACAGAATGCATATCTCATCACAAATATATGTCGATTCCGTATAACCTAACACTGCATTACATGCAAGCGCTCTATTATGCGAACGAATCTCTTTTCTCAATTCAGTCCACCAAACGTCTCGAGTTTCGGGATCGTCGGGATTATTGATCTGATCTATTGATTAAAAATATAATTTACAGTTACCGGAAAATTACAGTTTTTCATATTCAACTAATTTACCTAATAATTTAACGGAACGGGCGGAGACAACACCTCCGATATGAAGAATAAGGTTAGATGGAAATGACTTCATCGTAATAAAAGGATATTCCTATCAATAAAATAAGTTTTTTAAGTTCATATTATATTAAAATAATATTTGGGAAATAATAACTCATACTAAAAGATGAAAACTCTCCGGTGATATAATGTATTTACGACCCGAACCGGTGCTACCACTCAAATAGCTCAATCCTGAATGTGATTTAAATATATAAATTGTTAAACAAATAATACTAATAATAATTACCGCTAATAATAAACAAATTTATACCAAACCTTTAGGTGTTGTTCCAGTCAGGTCTGGTTCGGAAAGTCTTCTTTGTCCTAAATGACTAATTCTTGTCGGAGACATTGACTTATTTGGTGTAATAAAGGGCGCCGTTACAGAAGTTGGTGTTATGTTAGCATTTAATGGCGGCGAAGTGGATGCCAAGTGATTATCATCGTTTGGATTTGGAGACCTACTCAATAAAACGTTACTGTAATCAAACGGTACCACTATTGGCAATGTGTCGGTTACACTGGTCGAGGGTTGTGTTACGGTCACAGGTTGTGAGGCAACACGTTTAAGAGGTTTAGTTTGTTTATTGTCGTTCTCGGGGATTGAAGTCTCGGCTTCGAGTGAAAGCCCAACGACTGGCCGTTTCTTTTTCACTGAATGTCGAATCAGTTTGAATAGAGATGAAGAGAAACGTGGAGATGGGGAAGGGGTTCTACGGGTTAGTGGTGGAGATGGTGTGGAGGAATTGGATGACCAGTTGTTAGGTATCGATAACGAAAGGTTTGACAAGAATGCCACACCAATTGGAGCTAAACATTGGCTATTGGGTCAGTTCGGTTCGGTTCGTGTCAATCAATCATTTGGTGGTTTCATTATTAGTAAATTATAGTTTCAGACATATGAACCATATAATCAAGAAGTGGTCAAGAAGTGGTCAGACAACACATAAATGTTTTGACAAACAAACAGGAAGTGAGAAATATGAAGAAATAGGAAAAAGAAAGAGAGATATAGAGAAACACCAAAATCAGTCATTGATTAACATTTTGATACAATGAAAAAGTAGCGACACTTTGTTTGGGTTCGGGTTTCTATATATTTCTATTAAAATTCTAGACTTGTCTTACATATGAAATTTGCAAATTAGTTTGCATTTACTTTTTAAAACATGTTATTATAACTGCATTAAACAGATTCTTACTCAGATGTATTAACAAACTGTGAGGACAGGGGTCCTGAATGATGGCTGGACTCAACTTTCTTTAATAGGACAGCCGTACCGATTCCTCGCACCACAATTCCTGACTCCCCCTCCATATCGAAATATTGTTGATAACTGTTGACAACGACAACATAAAATAAAAAGTATAATAAATTGAATAAATCTCAAGTCGTGTGATATAAATAAGTAGAATAAAAACAAATAAAATAAATATATATAAAATTTATATTTAAGTTTACAGTATAATTAAAATTTAGTAATATTTTAGTGTCTAAATATAATTTTTTAAAATCATGTTAAGTCACATAACATTTGAATGATTGCCAATAATTATTTGACTAATTAGTGTAATAAATAAAATGATGTTAAAACACACACATACCTGACGACAGCATTTCCGCCCAAATCAATGGCTTTAATACCAATCTTTCGTTGAACTTCACCCGAAATTTTTGAGAACAAGGCCTGTCGGGCCTCATTTGAGGCACGAGGGGTTCGGATCTTATCGATCCATTGATATTCCGGGTCGTGATTAACCACCAATTCTTCAACAAACCCGAAAATAGCATCACATGTAAACCCACTGGGAATAGCCGGTGAATAGAAAAATTTGAAACCACAGGACGACTGACGGTATCGGTTTGCGTCGGAAAATAGTGCGACTTTGACCACACAGTTAATCTCTCCCCGTATGCCATGCATTGTGTCATATATTGGAAACCAACCGCTCATCACATGTCGCGAGTCTTTACTCAATAACGGATTCAAATCGATGTATACCTTTCCGATGGCATCGTTGGCCGAATATGTGTCGTAATCCATAACCCGTATCTGTAAGGGTTCGTCCTGTAGTTCTTCGTCGTCCACTTCAAATCGAAACCATTCAGACTTCCAGAACGGGTTCAGTGATCGGCGATACACTTCAGTCTTGTAGGTCGTGTTACCCAACTTTACCTATTATCACAACACACTGGCCATTGAGTACCGATCGGTCAAATCATGATAATCAATGCAAACCTCAACAAATGCATCGGACGTATCGCTAGACTTGTCCATAACGGGTAGATTACGGCCGGCCAACACCCGAACTTTGACCTTTCCCGGCATTTTCAATACTATATAATCATATGACACGTGTGTGTGTTTTGTTTGTCATCGCATAACCAAACAATTTATAGTCGACTCAAATCATCAAATGTTTTATTACATTATTATTATTATTATTCATATTATTATTATTTAATAGTTTTTGTATTTTAGTTTATCTTTCAAAAGACAGTCTAATTGTGAGCGCATGCGTCACACCATATGATTGACGTAATAGTACTTTAATTTTAAATACCTTTAAAAACACATTCAACTCATTATATTAATAACAGTAACAAAAAAACTTTGCAATTAATTAAATTTATTTTTATTATTAATTTTAATTACAATATTATATTTAGAACTAAAAATTTTATTTCACAAACAATTAATTAGTTGGTATTGTATATAATATAATATAATTAGATAATATAAAACAGTTCATAAATAGTTTTGTATATTATTTTTATTAATTATAAAAAATGAAAATAATAAAATATATATCAAATTGTTTGCAAACTTTAAGCCTCTCAGTGGTATTAATGTTACATTTGATCACAAATATCTATCGCAATAAATGGATTAACAATTTTATTGACCATAAAATAATATATCAAAAAATATTTTTATAATTTTGGACTATTTTTATAAACATTAAATAAATTAATATAAATTGTATTAAAATCTTATAATAATATATAAGTTTAGTTATATAAGTTGTGATAAAAGTCTCATAAAATATTATATTATAGGTCTTTAAAAGTATTAAATGATAATTAAATTGTAAATCAAATAAAATTATAGAATTTAATCTTTAAATATAATGTATAATATAATAATAAATATATGTTTTTTGAGGTCAAAAGTCAACTAAACTTTAATAATAGAATTATTATGAATGACACGAAATGTAGACAAAAACATGAGTTGACTGTAAGTCAAGTGTCAAAAGTTGTGTCAATCAATGAAAAGTTGAAATTTGTTTGAAATAAATGATTCTATTATTCAATGATTTACTGTTTGTCGACAAGTATTTCATCTGATATTTAAAGACCAAAACAATGTCCAGCAATCAGATGATGAATAAGAAGAAGAAGATAATCATGAAAAAAGAATTGCCGTTTTGTATCAACAAAAATATCTTAAGTGGAAAAGGTATGACCAGTTAGTCGGCGACCAAAACATTGAATTGAATTTTTCGTTGATTTTTTCAAGAATACCGAAGACTTATACGCGAAGAAAGGGAGAGACAAATAGCAGAAAAGTATTTGAAGAAAAAGGGACACAATTTGAATGATTTGATTGGTCTGCCGTTACCGCCGTTTCGCGACGCGGCCACCAATTATGACTTTTGTTTGTTTATGATATATATATATATGATATGAACCACACATTGTCTTTGATTATCTCTGTCTGTAGATAAAGGCTCTCGAATTGTGGCCAAATATTTAACAGAAATCAAGAAACAGACGACTGTTGATGACAACACTGCTCTCACTTTGGTTTTGGCAAAATTGAGGGCTAAATGGCACCAAAAACACGACGAATTGGTCGCACAACTCAATGAAGAAGTGTTTTGGAAGAGTTTATATAAACAAAAGCAAAGAGAGTTAGAAGAAAATGTGAGAAAACATATAAAAATAAAGAAGTGGTGTGTTATGTGTCGACAAGAGGCCAGACGGGAGTATACGTGTTGTCCTAACGGAAGATACTGTTGTTTTATTCATAAGGCAACACATAAAACACATTTTATTAATTGTCGCTCAAAAAAGGGATTTTAATACAAGATTTATGTATTTTTTGACTTTATTTTATTTAATTGTGATTTAATTTACTCTTTTGTTACCTATTATCTTGAGGTGAATATCAAATTATCAATTAATTATTATTTAATAATTAGGTTTTAATTAATCGTAATTTTGTTGTTTTTGTTATATAATATAGTCTTACGGTATAATTCTTGTTTAGTCATAAAAATATTTATAAAAAATTGTTTTGTTAGTTAAAACATTTTTGGATTAGTTAAAAATACAGTATTTGAGACTAAATATGAAATTAATTAATAACTTATTATAATTTTAATACTATATTGATATTGTCGATCAATAATTATGTTTTCTTAATGACACCAATTTTATAATTAGATTTGATTTTTTCGGCGTTATCTGAATGGTTGCCCACAAAGCCAAAGGTAGCGTCTTTTCCGGCGTAATTCATAATAGTATCGACACCTCCGGGATGTGAGTCCAAAAACTTTGTCACATCAAACACTTGATCGCTAATTATAATCCAAAGCGAACTTTTAGTGTTGTGTTTAGACACTTCCTCAACGGTATACTCTTTATCTTTGGACATACTCTCCGACATTTTGTTTTTTGAATTTGTTTTGTCTCTACTCATTGTCTTATCGTTAGACAAATTTTTTTCACTCATTTTGTTTTCAAAGTATTTTCAATTTTCCGTTGTCTTTCCAATCATTGGTAATAATAATTATTATATATTGTATACTGTATTATATGTAATAATTTATACAATAGTTTTAATTGTTTATATATTATTTTGTCCTAACCTAACATAACACATATACTATTAATTGTTGTAAACTAAATTAAAATTTATAGAAATATTATAACGAGACAACAATATTTTATAATACGAATTATATGTACTTTAAATCAAATAAATGCAAATAATATAATTAATTGATATTAAATTTACGTGCTTTTGTATCTCTAAATACATTTGTAATTAATTTAAAATTTTCGATTTTTGAAGCACTTTTATCAACTATCAGATCCTATTCCTAACTATTTTTAGTTGATTTTGAAGACAATGGGAAAGAAAGAGAAGGTAAAGCGTATCCCATCGGACGCACCGACAGCTCTAATCGCACCATCAGATTATGAGCACATATACAAAGGACAGAAGAATAACTCTAAAGGAAAGGGAGGAACGGCTGCCAAACGCATTCCATCGGACGCACCGACGGCACTGATTGCTCCATCAGATTATGAGCACATATACAAAGGCGAAAAGGGATCGAAAAAAGGTGGCGGAGGTAAAGCTAAGCGTATCCCATCCGACGCACCAACAGCTTTGATTGCTCCTTCAGATTATGAACACATTTACAAAGGCGGCAACAAATCTAAAGCACCGGTCAAACGGCTGCCATCAGACGCACCAACAGCTCTGATCGCACCATCAGATTATGAACATATCTACAAAGGAGCCACACGTACAGCAAAAGGTGGTGGTCGTACCAGTGCTGAACAGATACCCAATTCTGTGATCAAACTAATCGACGATTATGTGCGACAACAGCCCAAACAATATGATCACAACTGATGGTCACAAACATTGTTTACACTTATTTTATCTTATATTTCAAATTCTTTATATTTTTAAATTTTATTTTTAATATTTTTATATCAAATTTCCATCAAATGTTAATTAATTGCTGTTTTGTTTTAATGTTTTAAATAAATTACTAATTTAATATACAGTATTATAAATTAACTAAATAATAATAACATTTGTATTTTAATTGTTATTTATTAGATATTTATTAATAAATTAGATTCATATAAAAGTATTTTATTTTTACTTTTTACAAATTATGTACTTTGTATTACAAGTTTATTACATTTGGTTGAAACCTCTTGTTTTGGTTGATTCACATTATTAGTCTCACTATTTTTAACCCAAACACCGGTCGGTTTTATTAAACATTTAATAGCCTATTATTAAATATATGAAATAACAATCAATAAAAAATTCAAAGTATATTAAGATTATAATTTAATAAAACCTCAATTATTGGTAAATTAGATGTAAAAACTTGATATAAAGCAATAATTGGTATAAAAATAATTGAAGAAACACATAATAACCAACCAATGGCTTCGGCGTAAACGGGATATTGATATTCACCATAAGTTGTCGGTCCTCTAAACACAAATTGCAGCACAAGTAGTGTCTAATTGTCAAATAAATATTTAATAAATTTATGTACAATATTAAAAAAAGTCCTATTTTACAATTATGATTATGGGTGCAGCAAACTTATAAATAATTTTCCAGTATAGACGTGGAAAGGGGTAAAAACCAATCATCTCTTTTATATTGTCCATAAAATTGTCGATACCGTAAACCCAGGCAACGACTGTCACTTCAAAAAGTGCTATAAATAATGCAGAATAAGGTACACAATATGTATCCATTAATTGCAAAATATAGATCCCACCCTATTATTGTATATAAATTTCAATATATTTTTAATTATTTTATAAATTGTTTATTACATTAGTACACATGAAAAGTCCGGCCAAAAACATAATAATACAGACAACCAATAAAACCCACACTTTTCTATGTCTTAATTTGTCGGGTTGTTGATCAACAATTGTGATGACAATGGCTTCAATTAGTGTCATTTCACTACCAAATCCAAGCGTTAATATCATCAAAAAGAATAGACACGACCAGAGAGGAGATACTGGCAATAGTGAGAGGGCTGACGGATAGGCTATAAATGCCAGTCCAACCCCTTAATACATACAATAATACAAATTCAATAATAAATTATATTAAAAAAACTAATTAATAATAGTTACCCTGATCAACCACTTTATCAACACTTTGATTCAAATCGGTTGCCATAAATCCAATAATACTAAAAATAGCAAAACCTAAAATAAATAAATAAATTCAATTTTATACATAATATTAATACAATTAATAATATAAAAATTACCAGCATATATACTAGTCAATGAATTGCATAGAGTTATTAATAATGAATCCCTATAATAAAAAATTATTATAATATATTAATATATCTATGAAATATATATCTTATTATTACTTAAGACAATTATTTTTAACCGGATTATAACTGGATAATGTAATAACACCACCCATACAAATGGAAAGGGAGAAAAATATCTGACTGGCCGCATCTGACCAAACACTAACGTTCCATATTTTGTCCCATTTCGGCACTATGTAGTACTCAATGCCATTAATTGCACCCTCCAGTGAGGCTCCTCTTCCCAATAATATTGTTATCATTATATATGGAAACATAGCTGTAAAGTATGAAACTTTTCCCAATCCTTTAACACCTTTAGATATGGCAAAAAACATGAGTATCCACGCAATCATTAAACATATGACCAGTCGATAGTTAAGTGAACCCAACTCTTCAATACCATCACTCATTTGCAACACATGACGGCTTTAATTTATATAATAAATCAAAATTAAATAAATTATACAACAATTGTGTAACAAATAATCAATAATTCATTTATATTCTCACTGAAAAAATTCATCGCTTGGACTCTTAAATAGCTTATTGTTTTCATCACTTGAATTCACTTTCAATATGTGACAGTCTATTGACAAAACACTTAATTTAAAAAAATAATTAAATCAATTATAATTAAATCAATACATTTAGTATTCCATTGATTATTGCAATCACTCCATGGAAGGCCAGGTAGTTTAGTGAATGTTGCATAGAGAAAGTAAATTGCCCATGCTACTACTATGTTATAGTATATACCAACATACATGTTCATTACAAACCTATTCAATACAATTAATCAAATTTATATTTAATTATATCAGAAATTATTAATTAAATAAATCCAATACATGGCTAATCCAATTCCTTTAAACAGTGGAGATATAATCCAAACTAATATTACAAATAGATATTCTCAATAAATGTTTTTATACTATAAATAAAAATAATAAAAAATGTTGTATACCTCCCATCGGTCCTTGACTTGAGTACTGTCCCAGTGCTGACTCGAGAAAGAAAAATGAAAGTCCGACTATTGCTAAACTAATTAAATAGGGAACGAAAAAAGTGCCTAAAATTTATATTAACAAATGTATTAAATTAATTAAATTAGTATTTATTTTAATAATTGTATCAAATGAAAAAATAATTAACAGTACAAACCTCCACCATTTTTATAGCATAAATAGGGAAATCTATTTTAATAAAAAGATTTACTGATTTATAATTATTCAAAATGTTTAGCTAATGATCCAAACCTCCACACATTTCCCAACCCAACCGCATAACTCAATGATGTGAGAAAATATTCAAACTTATTGGCAAACTTCTCCCTTTCAACTTTATCCACATTATTATCAGTCATTATAATATAATTATTAATATATTTTTATAATTTTGCATTTATTTTAACAATTATTTTTGCATATAATTAAAACATTTAATACTTTATTATATTTATTTAATAATTTTTAAAAAAAAAATACGTTTAACTGAGAGATGCAGTAATGATCCTTAACGTTTGAAAATTTACTATAAAAAACAATATTAAAAATATTTAATTAATAATTTTGATTTACCGCTACTTAAAAATAATGAAATTCTATCATTTATTGCTATTTATATAATTTTATTAACTCTATAAAAAATTCTTAAAAACAATTAAAATCATTTATTACTGCATAACATTAACAACACAAACGAAATGTTACTATTTATACATTGGTTTTCGGAGATTCTCTCTATAATAATATTTTTAAAATTCCATATTTTTAGGTTCCCGGGAACTTATTTTTATGTAGTATTTAGTTGTCAAACTTTAATTAGTTAATTTATAATTTAATATTATCTCATTATTTTGAGAAACATTATAATTAACTTATTCTATAAAAATATATGTTGCTTATATACTGTATATATTTTAAATTTTTTTATAAATATTCTAAAAAATTCTTAAGTGTTTTGGTCTTTTTTCAGGCTATCTTACAATTATATTTTTTTCATTAATAAGTTAAAATATTTTATACTTTTAGGAAAATTAAAATTATTATATGTCGGAACTTCTTTTTGAAATAATTGTCTAAACATTATTTGTAAATAATTAAAATAACTGATAAAAATTAATTCGTATCTATTTTCTCAGTCATACAATAACATAATATATTTATATTAATTGCAATGATCTTTAGATACCATAAAATAATAAACACAAACCAAAATAAAATTTGTGAAATTAGTTGTAAAATTACAAGTACCGTAACTTTTTAATTATTATATGCTTTTGGAAATCATCATCAAATATAATATAAATGATAATAACTTATATCTCATAGTATTTAACATATACAGGTAGAACTGTTACATTTTCTCAATGTATAAGTCTAATAATTATTTTTAAAAACTAATACATTAATAATAAATTATTTTTTATGTTTATATAAATATATGATAATTATATTGTATTAATTTAGACAATAACATTTAATCATTTGAATAAAGTATAATAAAACTCATTTAAAAATAAGTATGAAAGTAAAAATTCACATTTTATTTGTTTTAAAAATATTTATTGCAAATATCAATATTTATTAAATAAAAAACACTTTATATAAATATAGATGAAAATAAATGTTATTATCCAATGGGTGCTCTAGTAGTATGATTGTGTTGGACTATCCATATCGAGTCTATAGGCTTTTCAGGCTAATAATGAATATTAAAGATAAAATTATTAATTATTTTTAAAATGAAAACTTTTACTAATAGTCTCACATGATTTATTTGGATTTGTTTTATAAAAACATGAGTATCATTGACTATATTCATTACAGAGTAGCCGTATTTGATAGTTCTAAAGGCAGACCAGGGAGGGGGTGGGTCAACAAACTTTTCGGGTTCGGGATCGCCATCCATACCCTAAAACAATATTAATATAAATTATTTATTGGTATTATTATTATTATTAAAATTAGTCAAGTCTTACAGCGGCACCACTTATTATATGGACTGTAGTAAAGGGATTAACGTATGGAGTATTTGATTGATCCATCTAACAGTTAATCAATTAATTTATAAATTTTAATAAATTCAATAACTATTATTATATTTACAATGCGTTTATAAACGGGATATAATCTGTCGTAATAGTGATAGTGACCCCAAAAGGTAACGTCCACTCCCTGTCGATGCAGTATTTCCTCCAATTCAAGTATTTTGGTGTCAGTATCGCCCGTCTTATTAAATAATAATTTATAAAAAATTATATTATAATAATTTAAAATATAGTCATCATTACATCAATAGTCATGCCATCGACACAGTCAGCATCAGTTGTGGAGCAATACAGTGATCGGTGTCCCAAACCTATAATCCATGGATGTTTAGCTCTATTTTGTGGTCGATTAGCTTCAGTGAGAATCTGTTCCAACCAACGCTTCTGTAGCCGGACTTTCTCATTGCTTCCGTTCTCAATACGAAAGTAAAATTCAGTGGAAAAGGCGACAAACAATGCCTTTCCTAAAGTAAATGTATAAAATTCGTTGTCATTGTTTTGTGGCATTTTGAACCTTCGTTTATAATTATATCCATAATCACTATAATTAATAATAAATTCAATTAATTATAACTTTTGTTGACATAGTTTATATAATTTTTAAACCAAAAAAAAATAATAATTCTAACTGATCTCTAGCGGACCAATACTCATGATTTCCTGGAATCACCAAATATGGTATCTTAGAGGCTATCGGTTCAATGGCTCTCATAAATCCATCTCCAAGTGTCCCTTTAAATGTATACAACTCATAAGCGATATCTCCTATAATATTTGTTGTCAAATAAAATTTATATATAGTTTGGCTTATTATATATAATATGATTAATGTTGTATAAAATGTCAAGTTTATGATAATACCTATATGTATGACTGCATCAAAAGCATCTTTTTCTGTCATTTCAATTAAAGATGGTATTGAATATCCCTTAATCCAACCCATATCACCAAATATGACAACTCTCGGTACCCATTGATTGTCTGTCCTCATTGTCTTGAATATATGCTCTTCACTCCAGTCCTGAGGTGATCCAACTCTGTACTCTGAATTAATTATATGTAAGAAAAAACAAACAAATATAAAAAATAAGATAAAACATAGAAATAATTGGTTTTGCATTTAAATTAGTCAAAACTAATTATTTCAAATCACAACCTCTATAATCATTTCTTCATTAAATTTATCATAAAAAAGGTCATCAAATAAATAATAAATAAAAAACAGTAAAAGTTTGTATTTTTTAAATAATCTATTTATCAAAAGTAATGTTTGTTTACTGTATTTGGTATTAGACTTGAGTTTCTTAAGCGTCACGTAATGAATATATTGTAACTTATTGTCATTCTTCAGGAGTAATGAATATCCGGTCTCAATGTGAGAGTACTCTCCTTTATAGACACCGTAAGTGACGGCTGTCTTATTGGTCTGTCGTCTCTCACTCCATATAATTACCATTTGTGACAAATTATCTAATTTTTATGTCATTTTAGTTGACACATAAAACAATACAACAAAATTATACATTACTATCTAATAATTTAATTTTATACATAATAATACTGTATATTACTATTAGTATTATTATTATCGAAATTATTTTACCTCCGATTGCAATATGTATCTGCTTTTGATGAGATATCTTCTTAATAGTTCTGGCAAATAATGAAATGTATAAAAATAATAAAAATAAATTTAATAGTCAACCAAAAGATTATCCATATTTTTAATTTATTAAAATAAATAAAAATATAATTATAATGAATTTAAATTAAAACTTTAAAAAATTGTTTTATTATATGTTTGAATAATTACGGAATGGCTAGACTTCTATCATTTGTATAATTATGTTCTTTACAGTCAGTGATTGTAATTATAGTTGAAATCAATAACAACCAAAATATTTCAAACGATTTCTCCATAACTGTCATAAATTGAATTCTAGTTTATTATTATTTTTTACAAAATTGTAATCAAAAAATTAATTTAATTCAATATTTTTTTAACGAATTTCTTTTACGGTATAAGAAATAGAGAGGAAATAAATGCAACAATGATTTTGGTTTGAATTATAACATTTATATACATGTTTTACGATAAATTGTTATATACTGTATATATTTTAGTGATTGAAATATTTTTTTTTGTTTACCGGTAATCTATTATTGATATCATTTTTAAGAATTTCATGTCTATAATTTTTTTTAAAAAAATTGTCAGTAACTATTAAAAATGTTTTTTTAGTATTATATACCGTATTACATTTATATTTACAATAATAATAACATTGTAAGTATTATTAATAATAATAGTAATAATTAGAATTAGTATAAAATATTATTTTAAGCAAATTGTAAACATATTGAATATTTTTTTTAATTTTTAAAAAATTTTCATTACTGTACTGTGTATACATATAATATTATAAAATTATTGAAAATACTGAATTGTCCAAACAATTTATAAACATATTATATACTAACTATAATAATACTGTAACTATACTATAACAGTAATAATAATAGTAGTAGAAGTAGTGTAGAATTTACAATAATAATTAAATTTATACTTTATATTTTTATATAAAATATCACAAATAATTAAATAATTGTTTTATAAAATAGTTTAACTTAAATATAAAATATTTTCAATATACTTACAATTGATGTGTTGTCATCCGAAACTTTAAGCGAATAGATATCAGTTTCGACACTAATACAAGTGTCTCACATTCAACGCTTATACAGTACTGTATAACTGTTAAAATCTAATAGTTTTTTGTCTATTTTTTTGGTTATAAATGAGATATATTTTAGAAAAATTATTTGTCTCTAAAGTTTTTAAGGATTTGTATTTTTGGTGATTAATCATATCAATTGTAAGTGTTTTTAAAAAATATATTTTATAATTATGTATTCTGATATCAATAAAATATTAAATAAATTATAAATTAAATTAACAGATTTTTATTAACAATATGTTGATATTTTGTTAGTGAATCATACGGTATGTGCAAAATATTAAAATTAAATATTTATATTACAGTATATTAATAAATAAAATGAAATTACAAGTTAATATAACTAATAAAATTTATTTTATTAATTGTTTCTTATATAAATATACTTAATAACATAAAATTATCATGCAACTTTAATAACTTGGTTTTATTTATTATTTTAACACTAAAAAAATAATGTAAATGCATGTTTGCTAATAGAAATTAAATTATAAGCACTAGAAATATTATATGGATATAAATTACAAATAATAAATGCATAGTAATGAATAACTTAAACATTTAAATGAAAATGACATTTACAAATACATTATATTACAAACAATAATTATATTAAAAATGAGATGATTATGATAATAATTGGGTGCTTATTCATCATTGGTATGTATGTATATATAGGTATATCATAAGTTGATAGTTATTTGACAGCACCGATTGGTTTTGCGTTTTTTGCCACTCGTTTCGGCTAATGTAACACTTTTAGACTCTTCTCGCAGACATTTCTATTAATTAAAAATCAAAATTAGTTTCAAAATAATTTATAAACAAATAATAACTATTAAATTACTTCATTGTAGATATCTTTAGCCATTTCATGGAAAGCGGTCTCCAAATTGATATTTTCCTTAGCGCTGGTCTCAAAATATTTGAAACCGTGATTAACGGCCAGTGCTTCGGCAATCTCTGACTTAACCACCCGTTTTGTCGGTACATCACATTTGTTGCCAATTAATATAATTTTTACGCCTTTTCTCGTATTCTATATATATTTAATGAGATTTCAGTTAAAAATAAAAACATAGTTTTATATTCCCATAATTTAGATACTCATATAAATGATTGTAATTATGATAGTAAAAAACAAATGAAATAAAATTTAATTGAATGTTTTAAAATGCTTACAGCATTTATATGTTTAATCCAACGAGTTTTGATGCTATCAAAGCTTTTACTTGAAGTTATATCATAAACAAGTAGTACTCCCAGTGCTCCCCTATAGTATGATGTGGTTATTGAGTCATATTTTTCCTGACCTGATGTATCCCTAAAAAATATAAACATATATAAACTATAATAGTAATATTTAAAAAATTTATAAATATAAATTTATGAAAATAAAACATAAAAATTTAAATTGAGATGAATTACATTGAGTTTTTGTTTTTTTAAAATAAAAAATATTCAATAACATTATACCGTATAATACTGTATTTACGTAAAATTTATTTATATTATAAAAAACAAAATTATTTACAAACAGACAAAAACCAGATTTTTCTCACTACTGTTTATTCAAATAATTTATATAATTTATATATATATATAAAGTTTGAAAACACAGATTCACTCACCAAATCTGGAGTTTAATAATTTTGTTTTGATAAGTAATGGTTCGGATCCTGAAATCAATACCTGAAAAACGCAAACAAAAAACATGAGATAATGATATTGTTTTTTATTATTTTAATGATATTTAAAGTATTAAATAAACAAAAAATATTTTCTTGTGGGAACTTTCTCTTTATATTTGTTTAATACCAGTATTATAAAACATAACATATGTTTCTAATGCAGTAAATTATTAATATATACCGTATGAATCATTATATATGGATTATTATTTTTTTTATATAATAATATATTATATATACTGTAAAAGACATGCAAAACATACCGATTGTGGGCACCGATTGCGGCAAAAAGGTTTCGCCGTGAAATCGCTGCAAAATACTAGTCTTTCCAACACAAGAGTCGCCAACAATAATAAGTTTGAAGAGATGGTCATATGATGAACGACTATTAACTGGAGACTCCAATGACTCCATCATTACATACAATATATTTATTTTTTAAAAATTGTTTAAATAGGTCTTCGATTTTTTAAATAAATTATTTACATTAACAACAAAAATAAGAATTACAATATTATACAATAGAGTATTATTTAAAATATATTAAATGAAATTAACAATTTTAATTTTATTAAATAATAAGATTAAATATATAGTTGAGTCACAAATATAATTAATAAATTTATATTATTAAAATGTCAATAATTATATTATTAATATTAAGGATACAGTAGTGAAAATCGACAACAAATACAAATCGATAACAACTTTAAAAAGAGAGCAAAAAATATATAAATTATTTTCCAATTGAAAAGTTGCTGTTCTTAACATAGAATTTATATTTTAGTGCAATAGTTGTGAGTCATATGATTGTTAATAAAACTGACAGCAATAGCTCCGGGTGTTAGTCATAGAGAAAAATAGAGAGATAGAGAGGGAGAGAGAGTGGGAGCCGACGCACAACATCGACAGCACAGTCGGGTCAAGGAATACGACTGTTCCTATGGTTTACGATATGTCCAACAAGTTTTACGAACAACTGTTTTATTCAAACATACAATAGATATATGGATTGTCACGATATTGTATAATAATATATAGCATATACAGTATGTTGTTGTTGTGATAATATATCATTTAATAACGCATATGAGAGTACCTGTGCTCTCTCTCTCTCTCTCTCTCTCTCTCTCTCCACTATTGTTCATATAAACATTGCCTCTGATTATACTGTAGTTAACATTCCCTTAGAAAAGCAATCCTTTTCCGCAATTTTTTCATTAATTTTAGTTATACGGTATGTGTATTGTTATCGTATTATACAGTATATATACAAAACATGTAATTGCTATATGACTAGCATTTTGTTATTGTTATAATAACTTATGATATTATTTCTGTATATACTATATATTCCTTATATTATATAAATTGATAACTCAAATGATAATAAAAATGCGTTTAATTCACTCTCATTTACTGTAATTATTATATTATAAAAATTATAATATATAATAAGTAAGTTAATGTATGTTTATAATAATTATTAAAATCTATTTATAAACTTCTTTAATAATATTTATAATAATAATAATAATAATACCGTGAATACAAAGTTTTGCCTTTAGTTGTTGTTGTTTTTCCTACTGTTTTGTAAATATTATAATGAGTTCATAATTAATAAATTGCTGTACTTTTTATGATACTATGCTTTCATTTTTATTAACATATTGTATTATATCATTTAGTTAATTATGAATATATTAAAATTTAATACAATTATTTTCATTATATAAGTGTTATGATTGTATAGTAACTTTAAAAATATCTTTTAAATGGTTTCTGAATTATTTATTAAATAAAATGCCAAAATTATAAGCATTTTAAGTTTTTTCGAAAATACATAAGTACCATGTTTATCTATTTTAAAAGTCAAAACATAAACAATTTTTTGTTACCGTAATTGAATTGTTATCAAATTTTATATAAATTACAAGTTATATATTTATTTTTTACTGTTTAGATAATTATAATTTTATAAAAATATTTTTTGTGAATGTATTTCATAAAATGAATAAAAATATTTTTGATAGTCATATAAAAAACTTAAAAACATAAAATCAATTACCGGATGTGTCAAAACATATAATATCCTAATTTGTGTATCATTTGACCCGATCTTTAACTACTATTTAGTTTCATATCTAATCATAATATTGTATGAAATCTTTGTTAACTTCACATAACCTGTTGTGAAGCCGTAAAATATGAGATTTAATGATTAAAAGAGTGAAAGTAAGTTAAACTCAATAATTAGAAATTGTTTTTCTTTATTAAAGACATAATATTAATAACAACAATAATATAATCTGTATTAATAAATAAAATAAAATAAAATATATAAACCATTTAATAATTATTATTTTATAGTTTAATTTAATTATATTTTACTAATATAACATATCTGAAAATATTATTATTTAAATTTTAACTATATATATGGATATAGATACATACATATATATATATATAAAGTATGAGTATAAATATAAGATTAACATTACTATAAATTTACATAGTTTGATACACGTAATAATTTAAAACAATTTTGTATAAAAGTTTATATCTTAAATTATAAAAATATATATAATATAGTAATATATAAATGCAATAATAATATTGATGTAAATATAAGTGAAGACTTTGAACTGAATTTGATTGTAATGAATAAAAATTCACTACATTTTTGGTTATAAATACCTTGACTTCACTTATTTGTATATTTGCTGTATAATTGTCGGCCAAATCAAAATTGCAAACGAAGGGGAGGGGAGGGGAGGGGAGGGGTAGAGACTTTAAGAAGATATTGTTTAAATCAATTGATGTCAAATTCAAAGCCATAATATAAGACATTCATTAATTGATTTAAACAATAAAATTATGATTTAAATAAATATTTTATAAAATTTTCACTTAAAATCTTTCAAAAATCATATATTTATAAAAACCCTTTTTATCAAAAGATTAATTTTGATAAAAACTAATTAAATTATTTAAATTATTTAAATGCGAACGTTCTTAAGGTCTCTACCCTCCCCTTCGTTTGCAAAAGTTTGTTTTGACTGACACCCCCTCCCCAACTGCGAACGTAATATGTGAGTCGCCCCTAAGTAAAATTTTCAAAAAAAACTTTGAAAAAGTTTTGTTTTCTGAAATCTATACGAGCTTTTTGTGTGTGTGTGTGTGTGTCTGTCCGTAGCATTTTTTTGTGCAAATTTTAAAATTCTGACTTCAGATTCTGTTAGAGGACTACTAATAATGAATTGAAAAGTTGCATCAAAAATGATCTATCTCTTCGGTAACATAGACAAAATGGCGGCCAAAGTAAAGAAAATTTTAAGATATAAGAATTATATAAGAAGTATAGATTTGAATAAAGCATCAAAAACAAGCATAAAAAATATGCATTAAAATTTTGATATCTCTTCGGGAACATAGAGAAAATGGCGGCCAAAGTAAAAAATTTTAGGTAAAAATTTTAACGTTTAGAATTGTATAGAGCATCAAAAATGAGATATAATAGATCAAAATTATTATTTTATTTTTTCAAAAAATGGCGGCAAAAGTATAATTTTAGCTGTTTATTTTGTTATACTTTTGATTCCCCACATGACTATAGTTGAGATCATTTAGTCAGACTGTCATTTAAAAATCAACTGACAATTTTCGAACATAATATTTTATGTCAAAGTTTTTTTTCTAATAATGCTTTCTAGCATTCTTAACTGGTATTAATTTTTAAACTAAATTGTTATTTTTGTAAACAAAACAAAATATATGAGTAAACAAAAAGTTATTTTTAAATACTTTAATATTAATAACATTCTCAACATTTAATTGTTTTGAATATTTTTTTATACTAATAATAATAATCATTGTTTAATAAAAATAATGTTTTTATATACATTAAATAAAATTCAATATTAATATTAAGAAAAGTTTTAATAAAAAATATAAGTTAATGATAATAATTATGTATTAAAATATAGATTAAAGTGACCGACTTATTGGGCATACAAAACACAGATTAAATAATTGTGTCTAGATAATTTTAATAAAAATATATTTTTTATTAATTATTTAAATTGGAAAAATAAAATCTTATAAAAATGTTTTAAACTTTTAAATTATAAATAATTATAAAAATATAACATAAATAATAAAATAAATTTCTTTAATAAGATAATGATATACTGTAATTATAAAGTTTATTGTAAATTTAAAAATGTTAGTTATTTATATTTTTTAATAATTAAATAATTTTTAATTCAATTAGATGATAAATTATAATCTAAATATAAATCAAATTAAAAATAAATATTTAATTAATTAATTCAATTATAATGCAATCTCTATCTTTATACAACATATTTGTTTATAATATCACATAATAATACAATATAAATAAAAAATAATTAATAAAGTAATAAAAGTTAATATTAACTTAATTATTAATTTAACTTTACAAAACATTTTTTATAATTTTTAATTTATTTTTTAAAATTTTATATCAATTGATTAATTATCTTATTATCAATATAAGGCGTGGTTCACATATTATGTTCGCACTTGAGGAAAGGGGGTTAGGCAAAGCGAATTTTTGCGAATGATGGGGAGGGGTAGAGAGTTTAAAAACTAACGCATTTAGATATTTTATTTCTTGTGGTGGAGGGGGGGGGTAGCGGTTAGGGACATGCGAACGTAATTTTTATAAATGACTACATGCGAACAATTGCGAACATAGGGGAGGGAGGGGGTCTAGATTTTTTTAAAAGTGCGAACGTATTATGTGAACAGCCCCTAATCAATATATATATATAGTATACCTGTATAAATTTATGTATTATATTAAATATTTACATAGCATAATATACAGTAATATAATATATTATACATACTTTATTATCTATTTTTTTTAAATTGTCGGCTTAAAGATCTGAGTTTCGGGTGACAACTGATATCATTTATTAGTGAAAATTATAAATATTTTATAAAAATAATTATAACTTTTCTTAATTTTAAGATAATTAATTGTTTTAAAACGTAAAATAGAAAAGTTATTTATATGTATTAAAAATTAAAGAAAATAACTACTGTTTGTGTATAATAGAAATTTAACACAAATAAGTCTAATTGTTTAATAATAATAATTATTAATAAAATTAAATATATAATCTAATATATTATTTTATAATAAAAATCTATAATAAAAATATTACTCTAACAAATAATACACTATAATCACTAAAACTAAATAATTTGTCGCTAATGATTGTTGACTAAATTTATAGTTTTAATGTTTGTACCAATTATTATAATATAAAAACATTTTTGCAACAAATGTTCATAAAGTCAAAGATCTCATTATTTATCCGTAGATCTGAAAACCAAATAATTACAATATATTAGGTTTGGTTTTTATTATCATATTTTATAAGTTAGTGTAAAACA